TGTCGGCTCCCTTAAGGGAAAACTCTACGTCAAGATTACTGAAGCCCGTGGTCTCAGGCCAGGCTTTGATCCGTATGTGGTATGCGTGTTCGAGTGGAACGAGGTCATCTCCAAGAGTGCCCAGGATGAGGAAGAAGCGTCCATCGAGCGCCGAGAGAAGGAAAAGGAGAAGTCCGAGCGCGAGGCGGGGCGGCCGATGGCGATTCCGATGAAGAGCCGCCAGAGCAGCAACAACAGCGCAATGGAGGGTCACGATTTCAGGGGAAAATCGCCCGTCACGGATCCGCATTGGAACCATGAGGCCACTTTGTATGTTTCCTCTCCCGGTCGCTTGTATTACTGGCTAACCAGAACAGTGACGTTCTTGGAGAAGAGTCGGAGATCGATGTTTCGGTTTATGATCGCAACAACCAGGAAGCGTTCCTTGGGCACGTACGGCTGTCCCTGAACCTCAAGGAGGACCACAGTCGGCTGGAGGGCTGGTTCCCATTGTCGGCGCGCGGAGCCGGCGATTCTCAGATCTCCGGCGAGATTCACCTGGAGATGCTCTTCGAGAAGACAGAGAAGAAGCAGGTGGGACCAAATGACTTTCAGATTCTGAAACTCATCGGCAAGGGGACGTTTGGACAGGTGTATCAAGTCATGAAGAAAGATACGCACCGGATCTACGCCATGAAGGTTCTGTCGAAGAAGGTGATCATTCAGAAGAAAGAGGTCGCTCATACGCTAGGCGAACGCAATATCCTGGTTCGGACTGCCATGGCGGCTTCTCCCTTCATCGTCGGCCTCAAATTCTCCTTCCAAACACCCACCGATCTGTATCTCGTGACAGACTACATGTCGGGTGGCGAACTGTTCTGGCACCTGCAAAAGGAAGGGCGCTTCCAGGAGGCGCGGGCCAAGTTTTACATTGCCGAGTTGATTCTAGCTCTTCAACACCTGCACGACCACGATATTGTTTATCGTGACCTAAAGCCCGAAAACATCCTGCTCGACGCTAATGGACATATCGCGCTGTGCGACTTTGGTCTGTCCAAGGCCAATCTAACGCAGAACGATACCACAAACACATTCTGCGGAACCACTGAATATCTTGCTCCTGAGGTCTTACTTGATGAGCAAGGGTACACGAAGATGGTCGACTTTTGGTCGCTTGGCGTTCTGGTCTTCGAGATGTGCTGTGGGTGGAGCCCATTCTACGCGGAGGATACCCAGCAAATGTACAAGAACATCGCGTTTGGCAAGGTTCGCTTCCCTCGGGACGCACTCAGCACCGAGGGTAGGAACTTCGTCAAGGGCTTGCTGAACCGAAACCCCAAGCACCGCCTGGGCGCCAAGGGAGACGCGAAGGAGCTGATGGCTCACCCATTCTTTCATGACATCGACTGGGAGGCGCTTGCCCGCAAGGATGTCATTCCGCCTTTCAAGCCCAAGCTCAAGTCTGACACCGACACGTCCAACTTCGATCCCGAGTTCACCAACGCTCTTGACAACAGTGCCTCGCTGAACGATCGCGCCGCTGCGTTGGCTAATGGATTCATGCCCGCCTCCACGCCACTGTCGCCAGGAATGCAGGCCAACTTCAAGGGCTTTACCTTTGTCAATGAGAACTCGATCGATCACCACATGAAGCACGACCCGAGCGACCACATGGACGAGGATCCGGAGACGTGGCAGCGGGCACACCACCATGCCAGCTCCACCGACCAGCGAATGAGTGGTATCCACAAGAACAACGACGGCGGCGAGCCGGGCATCTTCAACGTTGATGATAATTTTGATATGTGATAACGTCCTCAAGATGCATGACACTGGAGTTTATCTTTTTTCTTTCCCTTTTCCCGACTTTTGCATATACTACCTTGTTTCCGTTTTGTACATGCCATCAATCCGTGGGGTGTTTCCAAGACCTGGTGCTCCCTTTCGTTGATTCTATTACAAGTGATATGATCAAACTTTGGCTCCATCTACGATGACCTTGTGGACGAGACCTTCTGGGCGAGAATAATGATCTTTCGCCGTCGACCGGCTTTCATAAGCTTGATGGCCCAAGTGGCTTTGCTTTCTCCATTTTTCCTTTATCTATCAACTTTACAGACCATCCGGATAGATGGGTTAGATATCCCTTTGAGCCAGGCTACCTACATTCTGCAAATGCTTTTTTTTTCCTGGAGGTTGATTGGCTACTGCTTTGATCTTCTACGACAGAAACAGCGACGGAAAATTCCACACATCCGGTTGGCTCGGTTGCTTCCTTTCTGAGGTCGCTCTGGAAGTGTTGCTGTCATGTGTTTGAGATTGCTCGGTTCAGATAGCCAGGTAGCTAAATGAATGTGATCCAGCAATCGCTGGTATTGAATGATTACTCCTTGTTTAGTAGGCTCGCATGAGATAGAATACAAGCAAATTGACAACAATAAAGCCAAGACAGTATCCGTCCTGATCAACGTCAAAGACTCTATTCAGTAAGGCTACTGGGAACGAAGCAAAACGGGATTGGGATTGCTGCGTGTACGCTGGACAGGAGAACCCGTAGCTCACTGCGGTCAATCGAGCCATCATCGTCCGCCAGTATAGACTTGACTAGGTAGGGTATAATTCTCTTACACCCATTTCGAACTGCTGATGATTTCGATTGTCCAGTCAGGATAGAATAGTATTCATGAACTAGTTATTCGGGTAATCATTCGCTTGGAACTTTTCAGCTCTTTGGCTGCTTTTGGAACCCTTCTAGTAGGTTCATCTTTACAGTCTCGCTCTAAATTACACCATTTGAGGGCCTCTCCTCTGAAGCACGTATATAGATTCCCACTAATCTTGGTCATTGGTCTTGATTGCTCTGTCTGAGAGCTTGACGTGGTTGCTCTAATACGTAAGGCTGGATTGATTTCCAGGTGTCTACGTCGGCGCCAGTGGGCTCAACAGTCTCTGAACGGGCTTGGCCAACTCAGAAACTTCTGCGGACGGAATCTCCTTCTTGTGATTCCGTTTTTCCTGATTGAACTTGTATCGTTCTACTTGCGCAATGGCAAGTTTGAGTTTGGCTTGGTCAGTTTGTGTTTTATTCTATGCTGTCAGGCTCGAGACCTTCATCTGGTGCTGGACTTTAAGCTTCTATCTCCGGGCAGACAATTTTCGAAGGTGGGGTTCGAACGAGAAAATCTAACGATAAAGGAAGATATTCAGACGACGAGTAAAAAGAAAACATCGAGTCAGAAAGTACGATCCGTAAGAAGGTCCATTGTGGATAAGTGTTGATGAGAACGCAGCGGTATAAACGCAGTTGTATTTGGGTAGATTGACGCAGTCAATGAAGCAAACTATCCGAATGTAACCCCTAAGTAAGCTGCAGTAGAATATCCATTAAAGTACATGTATAGGCTGTTTGGCTTAAGGATTGAGCTTAACAGATGTAAATAATCGGCGATGGGTAGGGTAGAGGTAAAGATTTGGAGAGAGGGGCGACGGAGTAAAGCTATGATTGATAGCTCCGCTATACTTATAAGATATATTCACTAAGCTTGAAGTACTAATTGTAAATATAGTCAACGAATCCAGTAAATCCAACAATGAAGCAGGCAGTGAATGTAAGCTTTAAGAAAGCGACTGTATGCTTGGATGGCAAATGTCTCTGACCTTCGTGAAAGAGGTGATTTGATGCAATAGATGTTAGGCTCCCTCTTTCAAACGTTGTATGACTGCCACTGCTCTGCCGAACTGATCCAATGCTCTAAGCAGGCTCCAAGCTGGCTGGCTAGGGTTTGGATAGATTGGTCCGTCCCTACTGTATGCAACTGAGTATATCTTGCAATTTCCTTGGTAGATATGAAGAATTTACCGACTCTAGTAAACGAAGAATAGCTTGTTAAAGACCACTTTCAAACATCCTTTGATATCTTTTTCCTGTTGCCTGAAGGTTGATTGCGTAGGTCTCCTTGTTTTACTGCTAGGATATCTACGGTCTACGCATCTTGTAGAGTCGGTGAAATGACACGCTGCAGTACGATGATGGCTTGGAGTCTGAGAGAGTCGTAATGAAAGAGTTGCATAGTCGAAGGTCCTGTCTTAAATATGATGTCTTTGATCTTGCAGATGTTGCCAGTGACACTAGAAAGCGATATAGGTGTAATCCAGTGTAGTTCGAGCTGAAAATGGCCCTCTTCCCCGCATCAATATCCCATCACTTCCACTACGTACGACACTAGACATCTAAAATCCTATATCTGAGGACCGGATGCTGAGCAGTTTATAGTGAGAGTGTCGAAAGTCCGCTGGTGGTGCACCAAGGCTGAAATTATGCATCCAACTGCTGTATTCTCTGTACTAGGAACTCAAAGACACTGATTATATGTTGTATATGTCCTATATGGTCTGTATGGTCTGTATCTTCTTGTAGCATACTCTTCATTTACATTATAATAAAAGTATTGCCTTGCTATTGATCCACCTACTTAATCAGAATTCCATTTACCTCTCCGTAACAATGAGTTCAATATCTGATCCTTTCACCTTCTTTGCTGGACTCACCAAGCAGTATTGCGTTTAACTCAACAAAATAAGCGAATCTGGATTTACTAATCGAAATTGTAATATGAGGGTAGTGAAGCAAGCAAGATGCTTGAGGTATATAGAGCCCCTTACCCCCTAAGCAATCTGCATCTCTTTTCTCTCCATCGACTTTATCATATTCACCGAGGACAAACCCCGAACCAAACAGCCTATACATGGGCTCCTAGATCTCCCTGTTATCTCTGATATCCGCCAGCTATCTCCCTCTTTGCCTCTATGGCTGCGTGCTGCTTCAATGCAACCACTGCATTGGCCGCAATATCTTCCTTGGTACATTTGGAAGTGACCAAGACTGCTCGGATCCTCATCTTTGAACTCTTCCAGGTTCAAAACAGAAGGCATATCTTCAGAGTGTCACATCGAGACCGAAGATGTTAACTGGTCATTGGTCTCTGGATCGATCTTTGGTCAGTCAAAATTTCGAAATCAACATGCATTTCGGATCTGCCATGGCAGATTCGCCGTTGAAAAGGTCTGTCTTTGGAACTCCACCTCCAGCTGCATGATACTGACTGTTTATCAGTTTTGCTTTGATTCTTTGGCAAACGAGATCTCCAAAAGGTGCGGCTCAGGGACAGATGACAGCTGTCTTCGTTGGTCTTGTGGCTGTTGCGGGTGAGCTCGTTAACATCCCACATGTTGAGGGTCTCATGCCCTCTACATCACAGCTACTCCATTTCGACTTACACATTTTCCATCAAGGTAGGTTCTCGCAGGCGAACCGACGTAGGGACGTTGCTAAGCCAGATAGCAATCATCATGTCTCCTAAGCGGGGCCAGCTTGTTGCTGCTGCCGGCACCCGGAAGCGCCTGTTACGGCTTTATGACACGAGCAATGACAACAACTTTGGAACCGTGATGCAAGAAGACGTTACGGAGGCATTGCTGGACTTAGTCGACGCGTTTTCAAACATGGAGACCGTGCATCGTCAGGCCCATGGAATTACCGGAAATAAGAAGGGTCGTCTCGTATGTTTTGGTGCCGTGTCCCTTGTGTTTTGGTACCTTATCACTGACGTCTGGAAGGTTCAGGTTACGAGGAGTACCTGCGTGGTCGTCGCCTCGAGTTGAGTCACATTCGTCTCCCATACGCCAACGTTACTGCCGATGATTGGGCCCTTTACCGCAACGTCAAAGCCTTGCGCCTGCTTCCGGGCGATGCCAGATACGTTGCCTGGGCTGCTGCTCTCCAGTTCTTCTTGGCCGCGGTCAAGTCGACTGTGGTGCGTTACTTTGGTGATGAGTCTGATGTCGTCAACGGTCTTCCTCGCTTGCAGGAGATCGACAACACTTTCCCACTCGTTCTTGAGACCATTTAAGAGGCTTTTGGGGGGTTGGCGCGTCGTTGACGTTTTGGTAGCGTTCTCTTGATGTATGTAGGGCTTCTCAACGTTGCGGCGTTGGTTGAAATAAAGCTTTTCATAAACAACATAGTACAAACACCAAAACGACAACAAAAATGGCCAAGAGAAACCACGATGTTGGTATTGCAAAGGGAAGAGGGAAACAGAGGATTACCCCGGCAAGTATTGCCCTCATTATCTTCCAGAATAGGGTGAGAGCTCAAGCTCTGATCCTGATAAAGCCGGAAGACCATGAGGCCGGTGGTCCATACCCTACAAGTCCTGTCAGACTCAATCGCTGGGTCCCTGGAAAGATAGCTATATGCAGCTCAGGATCAACTGGTGTTTGTCCCAGGTGAGCGCGATCGACTTGAAGGAACCGATACTACTTCCCCCATCCACCAACGAATACTCGGTCCCAGACGGCCTTGAGTCTGACTTCGTTTACACAGAAGCAATCTGCTTGATACCTTGGTCCTAATACGGAGGGATGACAATTGGACTCCTGCTTTGCGCATTATCTATGAAGGATGGACTTGTGTGCGTCCAACATGAGCCTGTCCAAAATGCTCTGTCTGGGCAAGGACTTGTCGACCTTTTTTTACCGGACAAAACTCCAGTCAATCGGGCAGTGGATTGGCGAGATTATCACCATGACAGACAGGGTCAAGCCCTGGGTTTATTACGGCGACTACAGGGCCTCTGCCGGACACAACGCCCACATCATTAATGGCAAGCTGGTAAATCAGGATGTCATCTCCGACGGTTAACTACACAGGGCTAAGGTGTCAGTATTAACAACTTATCAGACTTTGCTGATTCGACATGGCCCGTCCGCCGCAAAACAGTGGTGTGAAAAGCGCAAGTTGACTTATGATCCGTCTCGGTCACCACACGGCTGGGATGGATGTCTGTCCCAACTTTTCAGCATGGCAGTCTTTGATGAAGCGCATTTATTGCCCAACAAAGACTCGCGGATATCAATCACAGCGAAATGGATGAACGCCTCCTTCAGTCTTCTGCTAACGGCGACGTCGTGCTTTGACGGTGTTGTTATCTTTGCGTCTCGGATCAAGGAAGCAGAACGGCTTGAGACCGTTTTCGCTGAAACCCAGCATTCTGCTCCGGTCATTGACTGTCAAGAGACCTCTATGGAGCGGCACTCGCACATTCAAGAATTCAAGACGCCGGCTACCAGGTCCTGGGTACGGTTAAGTCCAAAGCCGCTATGGGCCTCTTTTGGAAATTCGCCGTCTTAGGGTCATTTCATGAGTAAACAGTGTAGATAGCTTTACCATACTACAGCTCACTCTCTCTCTCTCTCTCTCTCAGCGCTTTATAGCGTAGACATAGTTGATCGGCTATGATCCGTTTCATGAATTTCAGGTAAATATTGTAGGGCGGATAATCCGTCTGTATCAACCCGGAGCATAGAGCTATGATAAAACCGTGTAAGCTGGCTGACAAAGCTTTCTGAGCTTCGCATTTATTGCTCTAGCAAGGCTGGCATCACTCATGTGCGAGAAAGTCCAGGGTTTCAGAGATAAAGGACCTACTGGCCTGGTAGGCAACTCTGTGCAATCTATACACTCCCGATGATGCAAGGTGCATGAACAAGTAGACATATTGTATTTCATTGTCTGTCATAGCATGGCGCGAAGCGTCCGCCGTAGTTTCTTTGGAGAGTCGTACATTCGCTGATTGTGGATCTTTAAGGCAGTATATAGTGAATAATCAAGTACAGGTACAGAGCATATAGAACAGGACCAGTGGTGCTCTAGGCATCAGTTATCGATGGATTGATTGCATAGTTGATGTACAGTGGGGGTTCAAAAGTATTTTGGCCCCCACCTTTTGCCGCTAGAATCACCGCTTTCCATTTCTATCTATTCTGCCACTTCAACGCCTGTGTACGCGATTTGATTCTATTCCAATACACATCTCGATGGCGCGATCTAAGGAGCTTACACCTACTATTCGTGCTCGAATCTGCGAGCTACATGATATTGGATGGGGATACAAGCGTATTCATACGCGATATCCCCAGATACCTCTCTCTACCATCCAATATACTATTAAAAAACAGAATCAACGCAATGATCAGCAATCCTTACCCCGAAGTGGTCGTCCAAAAGCCTTAACTAGTGAGCAACAGAATTATCTACTTGATCTTGCAACTAAGGATCCTCATATTAAGATGCGTGAGCTGCAGATTGCAGTTGATACCTCCCCATCAAATGGCACGGTTTGTCGACTATTCCGGAGTCTACATATGCGCAAATGGAAGCAATGAAATCGACCAGAAATCGAAGAAGAGAATACTATTAAGCGTTTACAATAGGCCCAATCCTATGCAGACTCAGGTTATTGGTCTGGCCACCATACTTCCCTGATCTGAATTCCAATCGAGAATCTATGGGCAGTTATGAAAGGGGTTATTTATGAGCACTATCCAGAGCTTGAGCATGCCCCAGATACTGAGGATACTCTAAGGCATCTTATGGAGGCAGTAAAGGAGGCATGGCATGTAATTGATGAGAGGGTCCTGCAGCATCTATCTAATACTATACCTCACCGTGTGCAGGCAATCCTTGATGCGGATGGATGGTATACAAAATACTAGCTTCTATAGGGGCAGACTAGATCAAAATGGAAAGCGGTGATCTTTGCGGCATAAGGGGGTCTAAATACTTTGAACCCCCACTGTAGTTACATTGACAGAACTTAGAATGAGATAAAAGGTTGTGCAAGACAAACTTGAGACAGGATCTGGTGTTGAGTTGAAAGAATCCTCCGTACCGGGCAGCATTGGATGCCAGAGGATGAAGATAATTTACAGACTTCCAAGGTAAATTACAGAGGGTGACAGGGCCAGTAGCCATCGACACAGGTACTCGACGGGATGTCAGGATAGCTACACTACGGCTTCAACGAATTTTTGAGACATGAAGATGAATTCACTCTAATTCCATTTTAATCGTAAAAAAGGTCATTTCATGACATCTCATAGAAGAATGTTTAAGCAAAGTTTTCACTCTCCAATCCTCTATTTCTTGGTGGCCTTCTGGGCGGCCTTGGTGACCTTACCGGCACCAGCGGCGGACTTCTCGACGGACTTGACGACACCAACCTATAAACATGTCAGCTTCAGATCTTCTCAAAATATTTTAACGGGGAGTACATACCGCAACGGTCTGGCGCATGTCACGGACGGCGAAACGACCAAGAGGGGGGTAGTCGGTGAAGGACTCGACACACATGGGCTTGGAAGGAATCATCTTGACGATAGCGGCATCACCGGACTTGATGAACTTGGGGTTGTTCTCAACAGACTTTCCGGTACGGCGGTCAATCTTCTCAAGGAGCTCAGCGAACTTGCAAGCAATGTGGGCAGTGTGGCAGTCGAGGACGGGGGCGTAACCAGCGCCGACCTGACCGGGGTGGTTGAGGACGATGACCTGGGCGTTGAAGGAGGCAGCACCCAGAGGGGGTCGTTCTTGGAGTCACCGGCGACGTTACCACGGCGAACTTCCTTGACGGAAACGTTCTTGACGTTGAAACCGACGTTGTCACCGGGGACACCCTCCTGGAGCTGCTGGTGGTGCATCTCGACGGACTTGACTTCAGTGGTGACGTTGGCGGGGGCGAAGGTGACGACCATGCCGGGCTTGATGACACCGGTCTCGACACGGCCGACGGGGACCGTTCCGATACCAGAGATCTTGTAGACATCCTGGAGGGGAAGACGGAGGGGCTTGTTGGAGGGACGGACGGGAGGCTCAATGGCGTCGATGGCCTCAATGAGGGTCTTACCAGTGACCTTGCCGGCCTTGGTCTCCTTCTCCCATCCCTTGTACCAGGGGCAGTTGGAGGAGGGCTCAAGCATGTTGTCACCGTTGAAACCGGAGATGGGGACGAAGGGAACGGCCTTGGGGTTGTAGCCGACCTTCTTGATGAAGTTGGAGGTTTCCTTGACAATTTCGTTGTAACGATCCTCGGACCACTTGCAGGTGTCCATCTTGTTGAGGGCAACGATGAGCTGCTTGACACCGAGGGTGAAAGCAAGCAGAGCGTGCTCACGGGTCTGGCCATCCTTGGAGATACCAGCCTCGAACTCACCAGTACCGGAGGCAATGATGAGGATAGCGCAGTCAGCCTGGGAGGTACCAGTGATCATGTTCTTGATGAAGTCACGGTGACCGGGAGCATCTTGAGATAGTGTTAGCTACGGTGCCACAACACGTCAGGACAAGAGTCAAAACTTACCAATGACAGTGACCTCATACTTGGGAGTCTGGAACTTCCAGAGGGCAATGTCGATGGTGATACCACGCTCACGCTCGGACTTGAGCTTGTCAAGAACCCAGGCGTACTTGAAGGAACCCTTGCCGAGTTCGGCGGCTTCCTTCTCGAACTTCTCAATAGTACGCTGGTCGATACCACCGCACTTGTAGATCATGTGACCGGTGGTGGTCGACTTGCCGGAATCGACGTGGCCGATAACGACGATGTTGATGTGAGTCTTGTCTTCCTTACTGTAGAGAGAAGATAAAAAGTTAGCCAACCCAGCCTGATGACGGACCGACTTGGACAAGGCCTTTCACTCACCCCATTTTGACGGTTAGGTTTGAACCTTGTAGTTCTTTGTAAGATACTAGAGAAGTTCTGTGAAAATTGCTCAGGTACTACGGCTAGTATGCGTAGAGGTACTGAGCAAAGATGTTAGTTGGGAAGATGAAAGAAAGAAGAGGACGGAATAGGAAGAAGGGGAAGATATACGTACTGAAGCGGACGAGGAGGGAAAAGAAGAAAAATTTTGTGGGAGGGGAGGAGGGGAAATCCTTATATGGAGGGGTCAAGCGAGACCACGACTAAGCGGCGGGCTCAAAACCCTTGGCGAGCCGCTGTTATCATTGGGCCTGGAGGGGTAAACGCCCCACTCTGATAGTGCGGGACCAGCGCAAAATCTTCACTGCGCGGCGGAGTGTCAGTCGGTTGGGCTGTTTCGTTCAGATTTTTCACGCTGTTGTCTGGTGGGAGATCCTGCATTTCCTTGGTTCATGTCCTTTCGGCGCTCCGAGTCTGGATCCACTATCTTTTTTTACAAGCAAAGAAAAGGAGGGAGCGAGAAAATTTTTTCGTCCCTCAACAGTCCTATGCAGTATCTACCTATTTCCCAATGTCTACAGTGGATTTTGGACTGAAAAACTGGGCATCAACGCAGGGGGTTCCAGTACAATCTGTCTATCTACTACTACAACGTACCACACACTACGACGCAGTATATAGTCTACTACGAGCGAGGGGCTTGATTTCCATGTTTGTAACAGAACCCCGCGGCAGCTCATGGTCTCTATTTGGCTCCTAATGGGCAGCACACGGTGGCCCGGCCGAGTGGCGCCCCTCTTTGACCCACAATTAGGATTTTCACTGTAAGGTCGACATGCCCAAAAAAAAAAAAAAAAAAAAAAAAAAAAAAAAAAAAAGGGAAAACTATCGTGTCTACAGCATTAACAAGAAAGGAAAGAAATTTTTTACCTCGCCACTATCGATCCAGTTGCTAGGGAGGCTGGATTGTTGCCGCCGACCTTTGCGTAGATGCCCCTCATCAGCTAGTTGGTTGAACTGAACTAGATTTGTCGGACACCCAAAATGGTTCTCTTTGAGTCACTCAAAAGTTGGGTAGCTCACACGAAGCTACGTAATTATAGCCAATCCAGATCCTATGATTATTACCCCTCTATATGTGGCTGCTAAGAAAAAGAAAGGCGGTAAGAATTACAGAACAAGAAGTAAAAAAGGTGCGGCTAATCCGAATAGTCAAGAGCCTAAATAATCAACAGCTACACATGTAGATAATCGACAACGAGGGGTATCTCTAAAGCTCCAGTCTATGAACAACAAATCATCCAACTGCTGCAAGCACATTAAACAACAGAGAAAAAATAATTAGCGCCTTTTCCATGCTCCATATTCGCCTCGTCATCAGTCTATGAGTCAATCGAGCAGTGCGCTTAGCACAATTATTGCCGTCATTACCATCACTTGATGGCAATGATCAATTTTCTCTCCACCGTGCACCGCATGTAGTACACTGTCATATGCAATTAGCACTCCGCATGATGCAGCTGCCAGCATGACTGCAGCAAGGGAAACACTCACCTTAAGGAATGTAGTCATAGGTTCATCCGCACTCCGAATCTGCAACTGGAAGAAGTATGCACGATCGCCATTGCAATCTTCGGCGGGGCACTGAGCTGTAACGCAGAACAAACACATCCGTGTTAGCCTCTACTGCAAAGCTGAAAACTTCATCTTGCAACCATCAAGCACTTACTGGCCATGCTGTCGGCATTCGCAAACTCTTCCTTCCCACCAAAGACATCTTCCACCTCCTTCTGCTTCATGGTGGTCTTCTCCTGTCTACCGTGCTTCAGCAGATGCTGATAGGGACATGTCCGGCACTCGAATCGGTTGACGCCGAGGGGGTACTCTCGGGTTGGCTCGCCGCGTGAAATGGTCAGAGAATTGCCGCAATTGGGGCAAACTAGCAAGGTGAATAGCTCAAGTCAGTCTCATATCTTTCTACCGAGCTGGTGTCAATCTGGCGGGGTATTGAACTCACATGTCAACATATTGGCCTTTCGCTAGGAATCTGTCTATCAGTGGATATACTAAGTTTCAGACATGTAATGCAGACTATCCTGCTGCTGCGCGACAATCTCACGGCAAGGGACTAAGTTCTGCACGATAAACGAGCAGCTGCCTCAGGCGTATGCCTCTACCCAGCAACGACGTTCGTTAGCGGAGAGGAATTTAATCTTTGCCGCGCGGCTGTATGCAAAATGACAGACAGTCGCCGATTGGACGCGGGGCACATACAGCGGAACGGATGATGTATGACCCGAGCGGTTATCAGGCAACATCTTGTGGGTAGGTAGGCTCTGGATAAGGTACCTGAGTCTATGTACCTCATCTACAGAGTATCACTAAACAGATAAGGGACAGCAGAACTGGAGATCCTAGGACGCTTCGATTTCCCATGGCTAGATAATTTTCCTGCGCTAAATTCCATCAGATCTCTGGGGATCCCAAAAAAGAGCTTGGAGACCAAAATTCATTATTCCCCCTTTTGTCTGCTTATTTGTGGTTGTTGCTCCGATCTGCCGTAACAACCTCCTGTCAAGTCCTATTTCGTACAGCTTCCTACTCTACCCCGCATAGTACCACCAGACCACACCGCAACACTTTTCTGAGACGGACATCAAAAATCTGGAATCGTGCTCATTGATACAAGACATTCTTCACAATCCAATTTTTATCCCGTACTCAGCAAAATGGCGGAAGAAGTGAGCGCTGTTTCCAGCTATGGTGAACTAAGGAAAACTGACCAGATAGGGCGCATCACCTCGCGAACTGGTCGTCGAGGCCTGCCGACGAGACCAGCCTCACCTGGTCGAGCAGGTCATGGAGACAATGAGCGATAAATCGAACGAAGAGGTCGCGGAGTTCTTCAACAGCGTGACAGATGCATTGGGGAACCATGCCCTGCACATCTGTGCGATGTACGGAAGCTGTAGGTCCAGGCTATCCCTCAACCCGGTGCCCGCTACATCTTGATATAGACTAATAATAATCTGCCTTACCAGACGATACAATGGACTTCCTCTTCGACATCCAATACTTCGAATGCGACCCCCTCACCCGCCTCGACAAAGACACCCCCCTCCACAGCGCCGTCCGCTTCGCCAACGAAAAGGACGCCGAGCTCGGCCTCGAAATGATCAAAATGATGTGCGAAGCTGGCTGCGATCCGCGCGTACGGAACAAGCACGGCCAGAAGCCCATTGAGCTGGTCTACAACAACCAAGAAATCAAATCCGCCCTAGAGCAGGCCGAATATATTCTGGCCGAGGGGCTTCGGGACACTGGGGATAATGGGTCGGTACATGATAGCGCCAGTGACAGCGAGTAGGAGCAGATAGATCATTTGACGGCGGATGGCTGACTCTTTCCGGGTATACGACCTTATGACTATATCTCTCTATACATTTTTGGGTCAATAGACTATTTCAACTGTACACTGTCGAGCGTTCTCGTTCATGTTGTTACTTGATCAGCTGCTTTGATGTACTGTAGATCATAAATCACAGCCCATGAGATGGCATTCAACGTATTCTTCTGACCATGTACACTGAGTATGATGAAAAATGCGAAGACAAGTGATAACACCAGTATCAGAATACAGCGGTGCAGGTCGTTTAGCTAGCAGGCTGGGTGAGCGATCAGTATTGTGCCGAATGTGATCAGCCCGTCGAGTATATATATGTCCGTTGAAGATGCCTCCACAAACTGCGAACACCAGTAGAGTATACAGACCCTATAATTTCTTATCTCGTATACTTAACAGTCAATTGAGGGTATCATATTTAATAGATAATAACGGTCACAAAATCACAGGCCAAACTCGGAGCCACCCAAATCTAACCATCACTGTCGTCTGCCTCGTCATCAGAACCAGCACCACGACGTCTTCGACTTCGCCCTGCTGCCTCCCCATCTTCGTCATCTCCGCTCTCGTCTTGATTATCAGCCACCCGAGCACCAGGTAGCCTGATACCTAGACTCCGAGCCAGCCGCGACTCGAATTCCTCCATCTGCGCTCGCTCCGCAGGTGTGGTATCGTCCCCTTCAACAGCGCCCTGACGACCGTAGACTTCCCGCACCAACCCGGCCACTCCCTGAACGCCCACCTCAACCTTACCGCGCGGCCCGACCATGTACTCGATGATTTCTTCTCCGCCGTCCATCTCCCGATTACGGATGAGATATCCCTCCTTACATAGACGCTGGAGAAACCGGTCCGTACGATCGATGGGAGTGTATGTATCAGCATTGGTACGCTTGAGGTAGCGCTCGAGTTTCTGCTCCGGCAAGGAACCACCATTGAGCAGAATCACGGCAATTATGAAGGAATACAGCCCGGTATAGGTGCCTTCAAGCGGCGCTCTTGTCGGTGGAAGGATCTCGGGCTTTCTATATGCGAGAGGAAGGGTACTCGTAAGAATCCAGGATTTGTTTGTGGACGAGGGCCTATCGACTTTTTGGGCGGCTACTTCGGGGTCAGAACATCCTTATCATCTGGCTGTCCTTGTAATCATTGCCACGTACCTCTTCGTTGCTGAATGGTCACCTTCTCCTTCACCGGCAATTCGGCCAATTGCATCCCAAACGTCTCTCGTAATGTCTTCTGCGCTGTCTCGAAGACCATTTTGAATTGGCGGGAACCCCGTTCCCCCAGGACCTTTGTGCTTATGTCTGTCCGGCGGATCGGTTGCCGCGACAGCTCACTCGCCAGCGCTAGCCGGACCAGCTTCTTAACCATAACATCTTCAGAACTCAGCGCGCGAGCGTCGTCCGGGCCGGCATCGTCGTCGCTTTCCGAGTCTGATGTGCGTCTGAGACGGCGACGAGAGTTCTCTGTGGCGACCGGGCCAGCGACCGGCGTTGAAACTTCATCATCATTGTCAGATTCGAGCTGTTGTTCCTACGATTGAGCTTTGGTTTAGTCTGGCAAAGGATAGGTCATGAAAGTGACAAGCGACTCACAGCTCGGCGTTTGCGAACTAGAGGCATGGCGAGGGTGCGGATGTAGAAAACTGATGAACAGCGATGGAGATGTAGATAACTCTCGGCGGACTACTCCGTAGTCAGTAAGCCATAAGCATCGCTGTGCGTAATTAGGCAGGTTCCTGACACAGTGAAGATTGGCCAGACGCGTTTGACGCGCCGTCACTTTTGATAGTGGGACCAGGCGTGATTTATCCGCTTCGGGTAATGATACCTTCCCGTTTTCTTGGCTTGCATTATCTAGGTAGTCTACATGTTGGAATCACATGCAAGCGCCCATAACTCAAAAAAATATATAAAATATATATAAATATATATAAATAAATAAATTAAAAAAAGAGAAGGCGAAAAGAACCAGGAGAGGGCGAACACTGAATCTCTATACTAAACAATTGGTATGCTGCCTTGGTTCTAATACAGCTGCGTTGACTGCATTTGTCCATTCTCAGTGTAGATGCATCCCACAATGACGTATATATCCATTGACCTTCTTCTGTGGGAATTGACGATGAAAACTGTAAGCCATAACATGAGCAGTGCAGTACGAGCAGGCGCGGGTTAGCTTCAGAGCTTTGATGGTGTTCATCAGAATATATAAATATCTAATCGTGACTGATACAAACAATCCCACCAGGTGTATCCAAATGCGAACCAGAGTAACATACGAACAATGAATTAAAGAGAAGCATTTTGTCCCACACAGACAGAAAAGGAAACAAATGTAAGCGAAAGTAGACCACGCTCAGGAGAAAAAAAAAAAAAAGGAAGCAGAAGTAAGAGTGACCCTGTATCACTACATGTCGCTTAGTTGGTTTTCTCATTGACGGCCTCTTTGGCCTGAGTTTTCTTCTTTTGAAGGAACGAGCTGATATAGGCCAACGATTCTTGAGATAGGATCAGACTGGTGCTGATGGCAGCCTTGCCGCCTGCAACCATTCCGTCACCGCCGCACTTCTTGTATTCGGATCCAAAAGTCTCGAAGACATGGCTCTTCACGCCACCAGCCAGACGCACGGGGAAGAAGGCTGTATCGTAGATCGTTCCTTTTATCTTATCTGTGTCCTCCTTGATGATGGGGAATGACGTGTCGAGCTTCGTCAACCCTTGATCTCCGAGGTTATCTACCTGAGCGACATAGGGCGCGACGTAGCCGTAGGGCTTCGACAGGTAGGGCAGTAATGGTTTGGCTATGCGGACGTAGCCTTGGTCGGCATACTCCAAGGACTTGGCAGCATATTTGTTGCTTTTCAAGACGGTGATCGAATCTGAAACGACAGGGTACGAGGTAAGATGCTATGGCACATTGTGATCAGTAACACGTTACACGGACAACTGTCAGGCAATCAAGCAGGCATCCCGAGGAACTTACATCGAGGAAGTGAGAATGGACCTTCTCGCCGTTGACAGAGGGCTCACCCATTGTTCCGTTCTCTGCGTGAGGCATAGAGTCTATTATTCAAGAGATGTAAATTAGCAAAAAGAGGATGGTAGATGTGATGGGATACAATATACCTTTAAGAAGTGAACTGTGGAATCGTGAATGTGAGAATATATCCACCGAGAGAGGTCACAAAGTAAGAAGCTACTTAGGATGGGGGTAGATAAAGGTAGGTGCTTGAGAGTGGTCGGAAAGTATGAGAGATAAGAGTGTAGGAGGATGACTATATACCTTAGATTACAGGAGCGGAATTGGAAATGGGAGGAACTTCAGCACATGTCAATCAATCAGTTCGAACTACCTCTCCTGTATTTATAGAGTTAGTATTATTTGCCATCGCTCGATACTAAAATCAGTCATGGTATGATAGATAGGTGTTGTACGGAGTAGTAGTTTCCCTGTCGATTCCCTCGCCCATTCTATAGTAGGTACCTATTTTATCCTATTATTTTCCTGATGCAGCAGTAGGAGCTTGAACTTTGCATGTGATAGCGGGCCCTGTTTGCTGAAAGCAGGCGCCAAGGAGGGGCTCCCGTTGGTGAAAGTGTATAACCTCATTATCAACGCTCCTACCGTCATCGTCGTATCATCGGAAGAGGGCCTGGAACCCCCGGTAGCTTTCCCGTCCAGAAGTCCGAACCCGAGAATTTCATCTTAAATCATTCGTGTCTCTGTGCCCGGTAATCTGCATCTAATTTGACAGGGGAGGGGAAACACTGTCAGAAACGTTCTGGACAAGGGGGTCCTCGACGTTCAGTCCTCTCTGCCACCCGCTGTTGCTTTTCCAAGGATCGCATCATTGGGCCGAAGCGTTAAGCAGGTCTTTCGATCCATATGTACACTGAAACATGATGAAAAAACTCGGATTACCAGTTCCTGTGCCTTGGCCTTCGTTATCAGTACTCCGTAGTGTGGCAAAGGCGCTTGGAACTCTAGATATTTGGAAAAAGGTCAAAGATGAGAATTAGGTACCTTCCATCCATATGTTGCATATCAATAGACAATAAGTACCTTAGCATTTGCCAAAGAGTTCATATCAACTGTCTCTTTGGTTATGTGTAATGAGTCCATCGAGGACACTAGGTACGCAAGGTTTGACGGTTTGCAGCATGTGATAGTGGGTCAATCGCTAAGAGGATGGGAGATGAGGCCCAGTAGGCCCAGTAGGCTATCAAATATAATAGAGCATGGGATAGGTACTTAGTCAAAGAATTGAGACAGCATCATATATTCATATCCCTTCTGCATAACCATGGTAGTGCATCATTCACTATTGTTCTTCACTGAACTAGGGTATACGAGGAGCTTATCAGTGACTAACAGAAGAGACCGGATTTCTTAGTGTCTCACTCTCATCAAGTTCTCGTCCGGGAACAAATGTAGTGCCCTCTTCTTCGAAAGGACTCACTGCAAAGACAAGAACTGTGATTCGTTACGTCTGATTCGACTAGCCTGCCAGGCGATTTCACTGATTCTTCCCGTCTGCAAAGTTCTTTTAGCTTGGTTCATCGGTGGGCCTGAGCGTCAATCAGCATTTTCTTTCTGTTGCGTCAACCCAGTCCACCGAAATGCTTGAGAAGACAAGGTGCTGTTGCCAACCGTCGTCGTGCTCCGTACTTTTGTTGCGCCTCGTCGGTCATAAACAATTGTATAGAAATACGTCCTGGCGCTGTTCCTAAACCCTTCAGCCCCCGCTCCGTTAACAGACCAGTAGCCGCAAATGCTTGTGCTGCGACCTTCAGAAGACTATTGCATCGCCTATCTGAACAGTGGAGTAGTATTGGCGACCAAGGCCAATTGTCTCAATGGAGTTAATTCGGTCAAAGGCAAACATCGCGAACCTTGTTGAGCCGTGTTGCGTTTTCCTGACCAATCGATATATATATTCAGCCATCCATATGCATGCGATGCAAATCAACAAGAAGTTGAGTGGCGAGCCTAAAATGATTCATCTATCATGTAAATAGAATTGACAGGTACTGAACGATGTTCTTGCGTTACCGGAATGTTAATATTGTTATTGAGTATTGCCTCAAATATGGTGGCATGGCATATGTAGGGGTGAAGCCGTAATCTCCAAGCACACCTAACCGACATGCGTATATGGGATTAAAATCGCCTCAGGTGGACCCCCTCCGCAACAATAGACAACCTTGGATGATCGTCGCAAAAAGAGCAAATGTACCCGACATGGGTCAGAATGCACCATCGCAGCTTAGTTTGCATGGACTCGGAAAGACTTCGACATGGGTTAGAAACCGCCAAATACAGCCGTATGACTGGAACCCCGACGAGGCAATGCGCGGATTGTCGCATGCTTCGTTCGAGTTTGACACAGAGCCCTGTGCCACAGATCATATCTTTCGAACGGTATGCGCCTACTGTTACTGAGCGACAAGGGTAGCTGTATCCTCGGATCCTGAGGCTTGTCTCTACTGTGTTTCCGAGGCGTGGCAACTGATACTGAAATCGATTTGCTGAGGTGTTGGAATCACGAGACCGACCGAGGGCTTGATTGAACTAAGGTTAACGAAGTTTCGATCATTATCTGGGCTGATAGATCGTCAGGGTCTGGCGCGGGATTCGGGATGTACAAAGTTGGAAGGACCACTGCTGACACATGAAGCCGAGTCGAGTGTCTTAACAGTCTTCGTTCGCAGCGGTAAGCAATTAGGATATCTGTTAGTGAACCTGCGTAATAAATCGAGAACGCAAGAATCGAGACATTGAGACAACAGAAGAGAATTGAATTTGTTCATATTTTCATTTCAGGACAGGCGCCAGTTCTGGATGGCTGCCCTCATAAAAGAAACATGGCCAAGTCTTGGACCTGTGCATCGATACATTCCAAGTTCCGCACCCAGCTATGGTATACTTTCGTTTGATGCCATGCTCATGAACCGAACGTTCTCGATGCCCTTTTTTCTTCCCTCCGTTTGCCTCATCTAGAACCTTGCGCGCTCAAACGACAAAACGCCCCAAAATACCCCGTTTAGAAACCTGTGTAGAAATAATAATCAGCACACAACTCTCTCACTGCAAGTAACAATAAGCAAGGATTGCACGTACGCAGAGGAGTGAAGAACCATCTGTTCTTGCCGCTGGTGTATCTGTCCTCGAGGGCCTTCTTGACGGTCTTCTTGGCGTCCTCGCGTGTGGAGACTTCCTTGAAGGTCTCCTGGCTGACGGCACCCTTGAGACCCTCAAGCTCAAGAGTGTAACGGGTGGGCATCAAGTGGTTGTAGTTGACGACCTTGATGAAAGGCTTGATGCGGCTGCGCTTCTCGACCATCTTCTTGCCCATGCGGCGGGTGACCTTCAGAGGGTAGCGCTCGATACCGGCGACGATGGCGTAGGGGAAGGGGTGCGCCTTGGAGCCAGTGTCGTTAGGCTGGACAATGACGACCTGTGATTTCGCGAAAAGGTCCCTTGTCAGCACATCCTTCTCAATGTCCAATTGATCCCATCCCAAATCGATCTCTCCCCGAATTCGTCCAGAACGTCTCTCTCTTCCTCTCAAAATCGACCATCGAAAAGTCCCGAACCAGATCCTTCATGCAAATTTCCGCTAGAACACGTAGGAAAAGAAAAGGCTTGTCGTACCTTCTTACCGGCGTAACGGCCACGGGTGATGATGGCCACACGGCCCACTTTCATGACTATTTCACCATCCTGTCAGTACGAACTGATATTCAAATAATTGAGAACTCGAAATGAGACGGCATTCAACTAACACTTCATGGTGAGCGGAGCGCAAGGTCGATGGGGTTGTTGTCGATTGTGCTTCGGTCGTGTTATCGAGAGTCTCCCGCGTTCGACGTTCTTTTTTTCGCTTGAGAGTAGTGCACGGCAGGGCTCAGGGCAAGATGGAACAATTGTGTGCCCCGATTCCATTGGCCAGCTTACCGATCAGTTTCAGCTAGACTGTTTTTGGGATATTTCTCCAAAGGGACTAGCTCCCGCTCTTCCCGGATAAACTTCTCACCGCCGGCAGATGGATCGTCGTCATGCTTTGTTTACTAGACAACGGCAAAGGCGCTGGTTGCTATGAAGCCGGGCAACGGAGCTTTGATGTGTACAGCGCAGATTGGGCCGGGACTATGATCGATGCCCCATGAGCTACCGTTGTTTCTCAGCACCAGCGCCAACTCCACTTCCATGTTTTCTTTATTCTGCCACTTAAAAAGTGATTGATTGTCTCCTCGTCGCAAGGTATCTAGATTTTAGAGTTGCTCCTCTGTGTGCCTTCAACCCCATCGCACGTTGCATTGTCCCTTTGTCTTCATTGTTTACCCTGCTGTTTCCGTACTTCTTGCAGCAAGCGCAGTTATTGATTTTGATCTTGCTTCCTTAACCTCCTGCTTATTGTTCTTACGATCTGATATGCCCTTACGACCTTACATTTGACGATCAACCCTTCGCGCATTCCGAGCAATTCTCTTTCTAATATACATCCCATTTCTTGCGATCCTCTGCGAAGATACCCACTTAACCCACTCATCCCACTTATCACAAGTCACCTCTGAACGCTGCGCTATGCCGTCGTCTCATACTCGCGATGCTTCCCGTGACCGGGAGCTCGTTCTCAGACACCAGTCGGTGCCCATGTGAGTCACTGTTTTTGAAAGTGCAAGGCGAGTTGCTTGAAATTGACAGCTAATCTTGGTAACGAAGGTGGGATAGCTCGGATCCCGAACGGGCACCTCCGCCGCTGCCATTGAACCCAGGTTCTACCAGCCCAGCGACAAAAGGCAATGTCTCACCAAGTATCCAAGCTGTGGCAGCGAATTTTGCGGAGAAGATGAGAGAAAACGTACCCAGCCCGTACACAACGAACCCAATGCCATCAAAGTCTTCGCCAGAAAAGTCGCTCATCAAAGGGCAATTTCACAAGCGGATGCAATCTTTGCAGAACGCAGACACCCGGTCTGAGTTTCTGAACTACCTAGAGAGTAGGTCAGCGGAAAGACCTCTACGAGCATCAATTATGGATTCCACAACTCGACCAGAAGAAAAGAGTCCAACGAAGTCAACCGGTTCCTCGGACAGAGATTCAGACAAGGATGCCCCGAACCTGCTAATCTCAAATCGGTACCTCTCCAAACCTATTCTCGGAGAGAGCACACCCCCTTCTGCCACGATGTTAGCTCTTCAGAATATGCAGCTGCCTGATGAGGGCGAACCTCAGCCTAAGCATGGCGAATCCGACCCTTTTACAACACCGAAACGTCCAAGCGCCCACAGTCTCGAAACCCTGTCTACCCAAATCATCAGTCTCACGGACATTGCCAGCAATCTCCAACGTGAAATGGCTCAATTGAGCCGACGAAGCAAAGACAATGCCACCGACTTGATCAGTCTCAAAGCCGCCACCAACGCTCGAGACGAAGATATTAGGAAAAGTCTCCGCGACCTGTCCTCAAGTTTGGCTGCAAAGCTCCTAGACCCTGATACTGCCACAAGGTGGGATTTCAGTTCTCTCCTAGGTTCTGACCAGAATATTAACCACAGGGAATCGGATAGTTCTCCTCGTTCTTCGAGGAAGAGTTTTTCTGCGCAACGGATGCCCAGTCCGAACCCCTTCGCTGCAGCAATGGAACGTGAACTATGCGTGTCCCCTACTCCCATATCTGACGGATCAGCCAGCATAGCATTGCTGGAGAAAGTCCTGCGAGAAATGGCCACCAAGGAAGGCCAAGAGAAGCTCCTGGATCTCGTTGATGAGATGAAGTCCCGGCCCCTGGAAGACTCTTCCGACAGACAATCGGACAGCACTATCGTAAAGATGCTAGAAGAAATCCTCAACTTGGTGAAAGAGGGCTCGGAAAGCAAAGCCTTGGTCCGCTCACGGGCTGTTCCGCCGCAGAGGAGCGCCAGTTTCCATGCTACTGATTCTAAGACTATGGATCCCGAACAAGCATATGGACCGGACATGGAAATCATCCAGAACGAGAGTGGTCCCGTCGCCGAACGCCCAAACCAGCAGCTAGACAATTCCATCGCAGAGGAAATGCTGGCAATAATGCAGCGCGTAAAGACCAGTGTCATTGAAGGCGGTGGGATGACCAATGAAGTCAAAGCGCTGGTCCGAGAATTGCGAGGTCAAGTCTTGGGCATGGGACGAGACCTTGCCCGAAAACTTGAGGAAATAGAGAATATTCGTTCTGCAGGGGACGACGAACCCAAGGCGCCCAGCAAAGACGAGATCGCTGCCATCGTCGAGCAAAGCCTTCAAGAGCTGAAGAACCAGCTATCACACATTATGAATGAGCATAGACACCATGCTTCAGCGTTGTCGGAGTTTCGATCAGCAATGGATGGCGCTGAGATCTATTCCATTGTGAAGAGAGTCGTTGAAGAGCACGCCATGTCCCAGCCCCCTCAGGAACCCGGTCTTCAGAGAGACGAGATACTGGAAACGGTCAGGGAAGCTTGGGAGACGTACAAGCCCGAAATTGAACTTCAGAATTTTGGTCTTGAACGCGACGAGATTCTAGAGTGCTTGAGCGAAGGGCTCAAGGCATACCAGCCGCAACGTGAACAAGCCGTGACTTATGATCAAGTTTTGGCCGCTGTTCAGGCAGGAGTTCAGAGTTTCGAGCAACCTCCAACAGTTACCAAAGACGAAATCGCCCAGACCATCCGCGAATGTCTGGAAGAACACACTCAGCAGACTGCCGATCGGCACCTTCGTCACGATGACCTGGCTGCTGTACGGGACGAGATACTTCAGGCAGTCACCGAATCATTTGCCTCCCAAAGCGCTCTGACCAGAGAAAGTTTAGATTCGGGTCTTGGTCGCGATGAGATATTGACTGCCCTGTCGGAAGGGCTGGAGACCCATTTCAACGCGACCAAAGGAACAGAGCCAGTCCACATCACGAAGGACGATGTCGTCAACGCGATAAATGATGCGTTTGCCGCCCAAAACTCAGCCATTAGTACGAAGGTTGAGCCAGATATCTCGCGGGAAGAAATCTTGGCCGCAATTGCAGAGGGCCTGGAGAACCAAAACTCAATGATTAGGGAGATTGAGCTCAATAAGGAGGATTTGATGGAGGCAATATCGGCCGGCCTTCAAGAGGCCCTGAGCTCAGTGAATCTCAACGCCGGGGAGCAGGCTTTGGAACGTTTTCAGGAGCTCGTCCAGGAAATCAAAGACAATGTCCAACAGCAGGCTCCTGCCGGTGAGAAAGACACTGAGCAGGTGCTCGAAGCAATCAAGGACGGCCTAGCTGCTGTGAAACAAGAGGTCGAAGGATACGCTGCAACTGCCGTGGAAGCTTCCGGCAAACATGAAATCATGGACACGGTCAAGGAAGGATTCCGATTGCTCCACGCCGATATGGAAAAGACCATCGCGGATGCTGCCCTAGCCAACAGCCGAGGGGGTAATCCGGACACTCCAGAACTTCTTGATGCTATGGAGAAGGAATTTGAGCACCTTCGGCAAACCTTGAGCTCTCTCCTTATTCGCACCAATGTCTCCAGCGACAAAGACGAGATTCTCGACGCCATTCGCGATGTATCGGAAAGCCAGAAGGCCCCAAGCGTAGACGACATCACCAAAGTCATCAAGGAAGAGTTTGATAGTATTCGTGAGACTATGACCACGAGCCTTGTTCCCGCACAGCCCAAATCCGACAGGGACGAGATCGTCGCGGCTCTCCGTGAAAGCCTTGAAGCGTTTCGTGAAGAGAACAACCAACCTAAAGATAGCGGAGACAGTGTGTCATTCTCAACTGGTGAAGTCATTGAGGTCCTCAATGATGGCGTGGCTACAATTCGGGGTGACCTGTCCAAACTTCTCGACAGACCTGAGCAGGTTGATCATTCCGAACTTCTCGATACCCTGAAAGAAGGACTTAGCAGCCTGAAGGCAGATGTAGAATCATTGCGTCAGTCACAGGATGAGTCAAGGGAGCCTGAAGCTACCCGAGGCGGGGAATTGATGCTTGCAAATGAGCCGAATATCAGCAGCGACATCGAAGCCCTCAAAACCCTCATCACCGAGCTACAGGTCAAGGTCGACGCCATAGAGTCTGCCCCGCGTGCAGCGGAACCGTCGGAAGATGCCCTGAAAAAAGAGCATCTGGACGAGGTAATCGCCGGCCTACACGAACTCCAAAGCTCCGTAGCCGGTATTGTAGCTCGGGAAAATCCGGTGGATGACTCGACAGCGAAGAAAGAGGATACAGACGCCATTGAAACGCTACTGCGAAACACGAAATCCCAGCTTGATGAGTTAAAATTTCCAGCCCTAGACGAAATCGCTAAGGCGGAACAGCTGGGTAGCCTCGAAGTCATCGTCCAAGAGACAAAGGAAGCGATCACTGAACTTTCCGCTCGCCTAGAAGAAAGACCAACCAAGTCAGAGATTGGTACTCTGGAGACTCTTTTGAAGGATATGTGGATCGCTTTTGATGAGCTCAAGAGCAAAGGTTCGGAAGGTGAACCTGATGCTGAAAAGCTCGTCAAATCGGATTTGCAAACAGTGGAAGCCATGATATTCGAGGTGAAGACTCAGGTGGAAGAATTGAAGCTTCCTGACGTTGAGACACTGCCAACAAAGACCGACATCCAGGATCTCTCAATGCTTGTGACCGACTTCAGAGAGAAAGTGGAAGCGGAAAACGAGTTGACAGCGCAAGGATTCGAAGCCAGAAAGGTCGAACACGCTGGGCTTGCGGAGAAGATTGATGAGGCCAGGGCCGTGGTCGAAGGACTCGGCGACGAGCTAAAGAGCAAGCTGGATGGCAGTTCCGAGGGACTTTCCGAGCTCAAGCAACTCTTGGAAGGCTTGGTTGCTTCTGCCGAAAGTTTTACGACCGTAGAAAGCATTCACGAACTCACAGAACTTATCAACCGGGAATTTGAGCGCGTCCGTGGTGAACAAGATGCTGGCAAGCTCGAAATGGAGGAACGTGACGCCGCTGCCCTTGTCAAACATGATGAGGTTCGAGCAGCCATCATTGTGGAGCTGGGTGCAAAAATCGACGAGAAACTCGGCGAAGTCATGGCCAAGTATGATGAAGTCCACTCTTCAATCGGCTTGAAGTTCACTGAAACCGAGGAACGAGACAACGCGCACCTGGAAGCTATTACAACCACCAAGGCCCTTGCGGAAGACATAAAGCTCGTCATTGGTGCCATGGGCGATAGCGTTAACGAAACGTGTGAACGCATCAGCTTGGACACAAAGACTTTCTTCGAGAAGGTCGGCGAGTCCTATACCAAGATAGAGGAGATGCACAACGAGGTGAAGACGCACCACGAGCAAGCTCGGTCCGACTTTGAACGAGCAGTCGCTGCCACCGATCGCGTGGAGAGCCAGCTGCATGAGTTCCATCCGCAGGTCTTGGAGTCGATACAGGAAATTCTCTCCATCGTTGGAAAGCACTACGATCATTCTCAGAAAGCGACGGAGGATATCAAGATGGATCTTTCCGTTCTTCCTTCGACGATTCCATCAATGCTTCCAGCTCTTCCACCACCTGAGCCGGAGAAATACGATGACACTCAGGTCCGCGAGAAACTAGACAGCCTTTTGGAACATGCAAAGAACGGCAAGGTGCAAGAGGCTCTCGATATTCTTGTTGAACGCGTGACGAACAACCAAGTACATGAAAAGCTTGATCAATTGCTCAGTCAGACTACGAGTACCAATGCTCAAGTTTACGACAAGTTGAATGAGCTGCTCGACCATGCCACGAACACTAACGGGCCAATTCATGAAAAGCTAGATAGTCTTCTTGATCACGCGACAAACACTGACCAGTCAGTTACGCAGATGATGAAATTAGATGAGATGCATAAGGACATCATGGAGACCTCTCGCAAGATGAACGAGATGTTTGCAGCTCAATCCGCCCTCGTGGCGGAGGATACAGAGCGCAGGCGTCGGGAGGCTGAGGAGGCCGCAATTGCGCTGGAGAGAAGAAATGCGCAGAAAGAGCAGGTCGAAGCCGAAATCATCACTCTCAATGAAGAGAAGGACTCTCTTCTGAGCATAATCAATACACTGAAATCCGAAAAGGAAGAGCTCGTCAAACAAAACACCAAGCTTAGCAAGGAGCTATCTAGCTTGGAGATGGCACTTGAGCTCCGTCACGAGGAGATGCAGGTCATGGAGGACCGTGCTGATACTCTTGAGAAGCGAATTCTGGAGGGTGTCCTTGATCATGCTCGCACGGTCCTCCTCAGCCGCCCAAGGGGTCTACAAAGTTTGAACATGAAGAAGGCGCATGGCTCTCGTTCCCGAGGACCTAGTGCCAGCAGTACCACCAGCACTGCCAAAGATTCCCGGAGTATCATTGGGAGCAGCGTTGGCATTGCATTGAAAAAGCGATCCTCGGCTTCACCTCAGTTGGGGTCGAACACTCCATCCAATGCAAACAAGGAGCGAAGGATACTCAGCTTGAGCAATGTCACTGGCAATCGCGGCGTACCTGATAGATATGCGAGCTCGGGCAGTGGCTTTACAAATTTGAAGCGGAGTCATTCCGTGAAGTCCAACTACTCCTTGCGAAAAGCCTCATGGGGCGGTCGAAGCTCAGTAGCTAACAAGGAGAACGAGAGTTTCCCAGAGGAAGACGAGAATGAGAGCGGAGAAGAGAGTGATGCTGGTACTGAACGTAGAACCAGCTACACTGGAACGTACACGGACAGCATGATGTACGGAACCGAGAGTGTCGTCTCCGCCGATCGACGAGTGAGCGCGGCCAGTTCCACAAACATGTCCGCTGCAGCCCCCCGCTCCATTGCGGAAGACCCTGAAGATGGTGAACAACAAGAGGAGGAGCAAGGAACGGCGGACCAGGATGAGGACGATGCTCAGACGACCAAGGGGAATGAGTCGACGGATGATCAGCAGGAAGGAGAGCCGGACGAAGACGGGGAGGATCTCGAGTCAACAAAAATGGTACTCTATGGACACCACAGTGACAGTGGACTCGGTGCTGAGATTGCAAGCGCAGTGGGCTAACTGGCTCCTCACTTGACCTGTCCCGCGACACTGGCTGCCTTGTCTAGGTGAAAGAGTTTATTCACCAGCGTGTCTTACGTGGGGAAAGCGCGTATGTTTACTAGATGACCTGGCACTTTGGACCCTGCAACTTGGAGTTGTTTTGATGTAGCCCGTTCCTTTGTCTTTTCTTTTGTCCTTTCCTTTGTGTAGACGTTCCTGATGTCTATTCAATATCTACCAGACCCTGTAGGAGAAGAGGGATGACAGATGCATGTTTACCCTCAGTAAATAGTTATGACGACTGATTCAATGAACTAAAAATACCTTACTTTAAGCCATGTCAGTTTCCTTTTACAAGCCGCAAATGTTAGCAATACTGTAGTAACATTTAACCCCAGTCCATCGAGCCTTTGGTGCCTCAGGCAGGGTCCATAACGAGCATGTCACCTGATGTCCCAGCTGAGGCTTCCTACGATGAGTCAGCATTCCCAACACTTCTGCCCCAACTATGAACAGCCTGACGGGTCAGGCACCACAGGGCACGCGACCAACCGAGGCGCTTGTTGTATGGCTTTGCCTACATAATAATTATGCCATCCCCTCAGCTTTACCCACTGCTGCTTCTTCTCCTACATCATGGCTGTTCTCTAGTTGGCCTGACCAACATAATTCTTCTTTCCTTCTTCACTCAGGACCTGTCTCGCCAGCTCAGTTTTAGTTCCCCTGATAGGGACTGGATTTAGCGAGTCCTCATCAGCTGGTCTGAGTCGGCAGACATAGCAAAAACCCCCCAACTGGGGTCTATACGTCGGCATGATAGACCCTATTCCGCCGCCTCCAAGGTGGCTTCGAGACTTGGTAGAACCGTGGGCCGTACACCTTAACATCCCGGCCGTAACCGACCATGTCCATGAGATCATCGCCGCCTTCGCGTTCTACCAGTTCATCCATTCATACCTATCGCCGTGGTTGTCTCCGCGGCTATTCCCTCGCCATTACCCGAACCTCAATAGGCGGACCAAGCTCAACTGGGATGTCCATGTTGTGTCCTTGATACAAAGCGTTTTGATCAATGCGGTAGCTCTATGGGTGATGTTCACAGACAATGAGCGGAAGTCGATGAGTACGGCTGAGCGGGTGTATGGATACTCGGGGGCTTGCGCGTTCATGGCGGCACTGGCGGCGGGCTACTTCATCTATGATCTGTACGTCAGTACTGTCTATGTGAAGATTTTTGGCATCGGAATGCTTTTCCATGCCGTCAGTGCCCTGTGGGTTTTCAGTCTTGGCTTCGTGAGTGGCTCCTTATTTCTTTCTTTGCCCGCATTGTTGAATACTTCGTTCGAGGGGCAGGTTTCGAAGCCTTAATGGGAAACTAATACACTGCAGAGGCCCTTTCTCCACTTCTACTCTCCCGTCTTCATCCTTTACGAGCTCTCTAGCCCCTTCCTCAACATCCATTGGTTCTTGGATAAAGTCAACATGACTGGTAGCAAACTGCAATGGTATAACGGCATGCTTCTGCTCATCGTGTTCTTTTGCTGCCGTCTCATATGGGGCACGTGGCAATCGATCGCAGTGTACAAGGACATGTGGTACGCTCTCAAGCAGACCTGGTCCGCATCAGACTCCGCCGCGCTTAACCCCGTCGACATCACTGCGGACGTTTTCCAGATCCGCGATGGGTCCATGTGCGTCAATGAAGCCTGTGCGAGGGCTCAGGCAGAGATCTCCAAGTTCTCCAAATACACCGCCGGCGGTGTGCCCACCTGGCTAGTTATGACGTACGTCGTCTCGAATCTCGTCCTCAACGGGCTCAACTACTACTGGTTCACCAAGATGATTGATGCGGTTGTCAAACGCTTCCGTGCGCCTGCGCCAGCGGGTAAGACGAAGGAAGAGGAGCTCAAGCAGGATGTCATTATTGAGGCTGCTACCAAGCTGGAACAGGAGGAGGGAGCTTTCACCACTGGCGATTTGGCTAGCGAGAAGATTGCTTCTGCCGTCGATGTAGGGCCGAGCGAAGAGTTGCGGAAGAGGAACCCTAACGTGCCCACCGCAGCCCGCTCTTAGTCTTTCTGACTTGTAGACAGCCCAGAGGGGGCATTTCTGCCAAGGATTGTGAGTCGTCATTGCGAGTAATTGGTTTGACTGTTGACTGTCTGTTGTCTTTCCTTGTCTAAAGTTTGCATTGCGCAACGCAGCAGGAGGTATCTCGATTTTGGTATGAGATTAATAGACTCTTTTATTCAAAACACTTTAGCCGCATTGATCAGTGTATTTTTGCATCGTCTTAGTCATTCAGCTCATGACATCTGATCATCTTTATTAACCTTACACAATCCGAAGACAGTCTGAACCATTAGTTCTATGAATCGGCATAATCACAAATTGAAAAGAACTCGAGAAAAGAAACCTTCCCGACCAAAACACCAAGAACGCGCCTCCTTCGACAGACAAGGGATATTAGGAAGGAATAAGACCCTAACCTATCGTGCTGCTGCTGCCTCCGGTTTGGCAAGCACGTATCGCACAGCCTCTCTGGCCACCTGCGTATCCCAAACACTCTCTGCTCCTCCTCTCCTGAATTCCGGCCCACTGCCATCCTCGCCGCCGCCGCGGGTTGCCTCGCCAAGGATGGTTTCCAAATCTCTGCGCTGAGAGTTGACCCAGCGCCGCAAGAAGGTGGCAGGATCTTTACTTAGTGCGGTGTAGAAGGAGTGCTTGGCTCTCGAATGCGTTAGAGCTTGGACAATAAGGGCCAGCTGATCATCTAGAGCAGCAATTTGGCGCAATCCCGCTGTATATTGCGGGTTTTGGGTCAAGGCAAGCATTTTCGCGCGCAGAGGATCCTCCACTGCGACCTGAATGTCGTAGACCGTTGGCGTAGGGTCCTTGTGGAAATCCTCGTCGACGCGAATCGTGTAAGGAAGCTTGATCGGGTCAAGTGGGCTGGTATGTGGCCCGATGCTTTCGGGAATCTGAGGGAAGAACATCTGGTCTCGTCCGAAGATCTATAGAGTGAATCAGTATAATTTTCGTCGGGATCGTTGAAGTATAGGACATACCGCTCGTAAGCGATGATCACATCGTACTAGTCGCTTTTCCTCATCCTCTTGAAGTCCCATCGCTCGGATGTAGTCCCAAACACCTAGGACGATACCGCTCCGAGTCTCTTCTTCAACATCAAGCACCTCGGCCAGCTCCTTGCTTAACTTGTATCGCTCAGGGGCCTCGTCTCGGACTAAACTGATGGTGACGTTTAGATTCTCCTGAGACGTACGAGAGAACTGCAGGGAATCAAAATCCGCAGTTGGAGGAAGAGTGACAGCATTTGCTGGTAGCTGCGGCTTCGTCCAGCTAATAGTCTTGGTCTCCTCCGGATTGGAAGATGGGGACTTGTCAAAATCAATAGTGATCGACTTGAAGAACTGCGAAAACCGCTGCTTTGGTCGTTTAGCAGCAGGTTTCTTCGCCTTCTCGGCATCTTGTCCATCATGCTCCATAGCATCTCCGTTCCCTTCGGCGTTCTCGCCTTCGTCTTCGCTGTCATCGGGCGCGGTAGGGTCGGTGTCATCATCCAGAAGCCGTCCCTCGATTCTCACTTTATAGCGACCGGAGCCAGGATTGCTTCCTGGGGCCGCTCCGTTCTGGCCGGCACCGGTCTGCCATGGCTGATTTTCCACAGTATTGGAGATCCAAATGCGCATTGTCCGATATTTCTTGACGGTCTTGCTGATCGAATCCTGAATATCCAGCCTCTTACGCACAATGGAGGCATCCAATCGTTTCTCTAAGTCACGAAGGCTCTTGTATTGCTGTACTCCTTCTCCGATGATCACGTCCTCGATGCCATCTGGGATATTCTTGTCGGTGGGCTTACGACTGCGACGCTGAACAGCGTCGTTAGGATGCGGCATGTTGCGCTGAGCAGGGATGTACTGAGGCGGAACTGCGTGCTGTGGCATCGGTACAGGCATAGCAGGACCTACTTGAATCAAACTGTGTCAGGAGACAGTCTTGATTTTAAGGTTTGCCGGAATCAAGGGAGATGGGGCAAACCTACCTGGTGCTGGAGGCCCGCGACGAGGCGTGGCAGGAGACCGTTGGGCGGCTTGCGGGAAGCCACGGGCATAGTTGGGCTGCATATTCATTGGTATATCGAAAGGGCGATACCAAACGCAGATAGCGCACTTCGAATGCAGTTGTTTTGAAATGAATGGAAGGATATCTGGATAGGCATGGATGCCTTTGGTGGTACTGTCTCCGATGCGAAAGTCGCGATCCTTTTGCCGCGATCGCGCTATACCCTTTTCGGTCAGTTCCGCCAGAGGAGTAGGAAAGGTAATTTTCTCTCCAGAGCAGCAGTGTTATTGGAAATATTTCTTACTTGGATGCAGCTACAATCAATGGAGAAGAAGCTGAAAATGGTCATTGGCCATATCCAATCAGGTCTAAACACTACAAGCGCAAGTACAGAAAGACCCTCCCAGCAGGAGTCATTTATCACACAATCATGCTTCAATGCTATCATTTCCCAGAGATCACATTAAAAAGTAAAAAGTCAGGACAATCACTCCAGCAGTGATGCCTGGTTAGTGTACAGTCCCTCCACCACATTGCTAAGCTTCTCAATTGTTTCCAGAGCTGCATCGTAGGCCTGGTCACGCTCCGTCTCATCGTAGACAATCAGGCAGCCAGCACCTTGATCCAACACTCCGACGATTACCTTGTCCAGGATCATCTGAGAAAGCTTCCTCTCCACCTGTTGCGTATCCAGGCCAACCATCTTCGCGATGTGGTCTAGTTCAACCCGGCTAAAGGGCTCAATGACCTTGATGAGATTCTGTTCCAGCATGGCGTCGTACAATCTCCGGAGATGGTTACGGATGAAAACATCGCTTCCAAGTTCGTATCTGTAGTCTGAAAGAGCCTTTTCGTATTCTTCGAGAGAGCGGTTGGCATGGGCACGAGCCACAGCCTTCATGGCTTCAAGACGTGGGCTAGCGTATTTCTGCGCTTGCTTGGAACCCAGCAGATTGGTGACATCATCCACCAAGTTCAGCATGATTTTACACAACAGCATGTACTGAAGAGCAGCCGTTGCCAAGTCACTCTCATCAAGAGAGCTGTATCCCTCGAGAGCCTCGATGAAGTAGGAAAATGCCGTAGTGAAGTCTTTGTCCTCTGCATGCAGCATACCGCTTTGCATGTCCAGCCCAGCCTGAAGATGCGGAGGTGTGTAAACCGAAGCGGCCGATGTACGAGCAGCGGTCAAGGCGGCGCGTGCCTTGGCTTGGTTACCGAGCGCATGATACACCCTTGACTCTAACAGCTGCACCTCAACCAACATGAGTTTGTCATCCATGCGCTTCAGCTCACGCAGGAGAGAATTAATGAGGGTAAGGGCATCGTAGTAAGATTGCTTCTGCATGTATATAGCCACCAGTCGGGTTTCGAGGTTCTGCCGGAGGAAGGACCGTCGTTCTGAGACAGCCCAGTCGATGCAGGATTTGATGACGGCGACTTGGATGTCGAGGGTATTCGGAATCTCACTGAACAGGTCAAGCAGCTGGCGGACTAGGATGACGGGTCAGCTACTTTGAGTATTAACCCAACTATCACCGTGGCCATCGACTTACCGAGCTTCGCAGTCTTTGCTTTGGCAAATGATGAGAAGGTATCACGACTGGTTTTGATGAGCTCTGCAATTTCCTGTGGCTTCTTCTCATCCCGATACAACTCTCCCAGTCCAATCAGAGCACTTTCATAGTCTCTCGACGAGGTCTCAGTCGAGCCTGGACCTTGGGAGAGGATGTCCTTGTAAATACTCTCAGCCTTGGAAGCATCTTTCTTCGCGAGAGCCCGAGCTTCCTCTATCCGCGCCGCTGTTGTCGACGAAGGCGCCATGATCGAACTGGTTGTGAGGGATGTAGTAAAGGGAGTCTAGGTGGTGAACGTCCGAAAGAAATACTTCGGCACAATGACAGCTGCAATAGTCTTAGAATAGTAAAAAGTCCGATGAGAACCCGATTGGGACGGGATTGAGGAGGTATTGGTATCTGTTATTGATGGGTGGTTCACTGGGTATTCGTCACACTTGGAGCTGGCCAGCAGCTTGGGCTGCTCTCACCGCCCGCGGCTTAACGAATCGCCCGAAAAACAACCAGCAGAAAAAAAAGCATCAGGAAATTTCAATGGCCGCCCGCCAAAGCTTCAACTACCAAATTCTTCATTTTCATGATCTAATAGCCCGCGGTCGGAAAGCATCATGGTAAGCACCAGGGTCATAATATATTGTTCTTTTATATGTCTCTAATACATTTGCACAGAAAATCAAGGCAATTTCTCGCTCCGTGGCGTCCCAGCAGGCGCCAGGCACTGCTGTTGTTCGACAGCCCCGAAATCTGGATCCAGCCCAGCATCCGTTCGAACGAGCTCGTGAATACACCCGTGCATTGAATGCTGTCAAGCTAGAGCGACTGTTTGCCGCGCCGTTTGTGGGCCAGATTGGCGACGGTCATGTGGATGGTGTTTATACAATGGCCAAAGATCCGGGATCACTACAACGGTTTGCGAGTGGCAGTGGTGACGGTGTCGTCAAGGTTTGGGATTTGACAACTCAAGGTGAAGTGTGGAACACTCAGGCACATGAAAACATTGTCAAGGGACTGTGCTGGACTCCAGAACGGAAATTGCTGTCGTGCGCAAGCGACAAATCCATCAAACTGTGGGACCCATACAACTCCTCACCTGAAGCACCACCATTGGGGACATATCTAGGCCAAAGCGCTTTTACTGGGGTCTCGCATCACCGAAACCTCCCATACTTCGCTGCGTCGTCTTCTCAGATTTCTATCTACGATTTGTCGCGGCCGTCCTCGACACCCTCCCAGGTCCTTCATTGGCCCACTAGCGTGGATACTATCACCTCGCTTGCCTTCAACCAGACAGAAACATCCATCATTGGATCAACAGCCATTGATCGATCCGTTATCATGTATGATCTTCGTACTTCGTTGCCTGTTCACAAACTTGTCCTACGTTTGGCATCGAACGCCATTTCCTGGAACCCGATGGAGGCATTCAACTTTGCGGTGGCCAACGAAGATCATAATGCTTACATTTTCGACATGAGGAAAATGGATCGTGCCCTGAACGTGCTGAAGGATCACGTCGCTGCGGTCATGGATGTCGAGTTCAGCCCGACTGGCGAGGAACTCGTGACGGCTTCTTATGATAAAACGGTGCGCTTGTGGAGCCGAGCTCATGGGCATTCTCGCGACATTTACCATACCAAGAGAATGCAACGGTATGTATTTCACCAGCATCTGTTTCATTTCGCTTCCATTGCTCATTTGGTCGTACAGTGTCTTCTCCGCCAAGTTTACGCCCGACAACAAGTACATTCTTTCCGGGTCAGACGACGGCAACATTCGACTCTGGCGGGCGAACGCCTCCGACCGTAGCGGCATCAAGAGCGCCCGGCAGAGACAGAAGTTAGAATATGACCAGGCTCTAATTACCAGGTACTCGCATATGCCTGAAATCCGAAGGATCAAGCGCCAGCGTCATGTGCCAAGAACCGTGAAGAAGGCGGCAGAGATCAAGAGAGAAGAACTTGCTGCTATTAAGAGACGTGAGGAGAATGTTCGCAAGCATACTAAGAAGGGTGCTCTGCCGCCGAGACGGAGCGAGCGCGAGAAGATGATCTTGACACACGAGCAATAAGCTCTGCAGGTCTGGCCACTCTTGGTTGCCGAATCCTGAGAGTGTCAACTTGCCAACATCTGTCTTTGAAGGCAAATTTGTTCGATGACAACCCACGATACCTTAAGGAGTTTATACGATTTCACAGCTTCTTGTGGTCGTCGTCTTGCTCATAGCATTGATAATCAATCGCCCTTCTTGACTTTCAGTTCATCTGGCGATATCTGACTCGACAACACACCGTGTTTTGACCGATCTGCTGCAGATGACCCTTGTAAAGCAGCACGGTCGATACCGCTCAGGTAACGGGCAATCCGCTGTATGCTGGCAGGCAGTACGGCATACCAGTCGATAAAAGCGGCGAACGCGGGTAGCCTGATTTGGCCACCCCGTCCTTCATCTATTGCGGTAATGATTTTCTGAGCGACATGGACTGGTTCAAGAACTGGCGCAAAGAACTTGTTTGGCGTCTTAATCGATTTGAACAGAGGCGTTGATAACTGCCCTGTCTCCACGAGCAGCATTTTCACTATCCCATCATTTCTCGACACACGAAGCTCAGCTTCCAACGTCCGATGAAGGGCGCTAAGACCTGCCTTGCTCGCTGAGTAGTCTGACAAGCCGGCGGCGGACAGCTGGCCCAGGACGGAGCTGATATTGACGATGGTACCTCCATTCTCAGCGGATAACATTCCGGGAAGAAATACCTGGCAAGTATGAAAGACTGCGAGTAGATTGGTTCGGATTGTTTTCTGGAATGCCTCTGCAGATAGAGTCAGGAGTGGTTGAGCGTTAATTCCTGCCGCCGCGCAGTTGATAAGCACAGTCGGTGTACCCAGCTAAGGAAGATTAGCATCATTCTAAATGATTATACCATCATATCTTGTACAGGGCTGTGGTCTTGCGTAACAATTGCATACCTCTTCCTTGATTCTCCTTGCCGTCTTCTCGACCGCTTCTCGATCAGTAATATCGCACTGATAGTACTCCACTCCTGTCACTTCTTCCCAGCCCTCGATATCGCTCTCAGCCTTGATGTCCAAGACGGCCACACTAACTCCACGTAACCCATATATCCGGGCAATCAGTAAGCCAAGGCCACTCGCACCGCCAGTCACAACAACAACCTCTTCGCTCAAGTCAACAGGTCGAGGAAGCCCATGCGCCAGTCTCCGGTTCATCGCACGGGCAAGCGCCAAGATCGTGAGAAAGGTCGCATAGCCCGTCGCGACCATGAACGAGATATGGGTGTAAGGAGTGACCTGGGCTCGGAGGCTGAGCACCCCAACCCAGGCGACGAATGGGTGGAAAATTGTGCGATTGAGGACTGTCAGGACAAGGTCGAAGGTGAGGTGTTCAAGCCATCCTTTATCGGGGGACTGCGAGATGGACGAGGGTGATACGGTGGACATTATGTGTGATGGACCTAGGTCGGTTACCTTTCTGACATTACCACTGATTATATCTTCGACATCAGTATCACTTTTGGGGGGAATTGTAGCACGATCAAATTCAGTGTCAAACTGTAGAACTCCGGAGACATGTGATTTCTGTTGTTAAGCGGCGAGCTCCGTCATAGCAGGCAGTCGTGTCACGAAATGGCTGAACTGTTCCAGATGCGGCCGCAGATTCGGTCCACTACACGCAAAGATTCAGGGGTTGTCATACACAGGTAGCATTCACTGTTGTATCAATGAACCGAACAAGCACAGTATGAGGGGCAGAGAATTGGAGAAAATTGATGACATACGGAGATGTGGGGTGACAGGCTGTCACTTGGCTTCCTCCTCCTATTTTAAACAGGATCCTAACATATTTCGTAAGGATGCCACAGGAATACTGATACGAAGTGTACTTAGTTTGAAATTGGTTTCGTCTAGAGCGAGCCTCACTATTTTACTCTGGACCTGAGCGTAGTCATATGTTCTATTCGACCATCGCCGGTCTTCTATATATTGCTTCTTACCGATCGACTACCTACCCTCGAATTCCGGCATTATGCCTCCTTCACTAACAACCCAAATCACACAGATCGAAGGTGTAAGGCTAGTAGGAGCCAATGATACAGAATGGGATATTAGCATCAAATATCCCGAAAAGTCAGCAAAAGGCACAATCACCGCAATCAACCCCCACCGCAGCTGCAACTCATCACCAGACGATGATAACACCTCTCCCCTGGCCCTTCCAGCATTGACCCATCCTCACATTCACCTCGATAAGGCCTATGTTCACAGCGCTCGCGAATATGCACATCTTCTTCCATCGGAAGGCTCCTTCCAGGAAGCGCTGTCCTTCACAGCCCAGGCCAAGAAACAGTTCAACCAGGCCGATCTCCTGAAAAGAGGCGAATGGCTTCTTGCGGAGTCGGTTTCTGCTGGCGTTACAGCAATGAGGGCGTTTGTGGAGGTTGATCACACGGTCAGACTGACTTGTCTGGAAGCTGGTCTCAAACTCAAAGACCAATGGAAAGAATGCTGCGAGGTTCAGATCGTCTGCTTCGCTCAGGACCCCATCTTTTCCAGCGAATATGGTGATGAAAATCGCAGTTTGATCGAGGAGGCCCTCCAACGTTATCCACAGATAGATGTCATCGGAACGACACCCTACGTTGAGTCGATTACAGACGCTGCGAGACGAAACATTGACTGGGCGATCGAAACCGCCCTCAAGCTGGACAAGCATGTCGACTTCCATCTAGACTACAGCCTAGATAGCAGCAAGGAAGCTCTAGTGTGGTATGTTCTGCAAGCACTTCAGCGCAATAACTGGACGAGCCAGTCAAGTAGCAGAAAGGTCATGTTGGGGCATTGCACCCGCCTGACCCTCTTCACTGATGAAGAATGGTCGGCTTTGGCCAAAGAAATTCGTAACAATGACCTTCCTGTGAGTTTCGTCGGTCTACCAACCAGCGACATGTACATGGCCTCGCCGTATCCCGCAGCCAATGCTCCTCACAATCGGCCAAGAGGCACCCTGCATGTCCTTAAGATGATACGCGAGCATGGTCTAGATGCTATTGTCGGAGTCAATAATGTCGGAAACGCGTTCACACCCTGGGGCTCTGCAGACCCCCTGTCCCTTGCTTGTCTAGGCGTGGGCATCTACCAGGCCGGAACGCAGAAAGATGCAGAATTGTTGTGCGAATGTGTGTCCACGCGTGCCCGTGCTGCAATCGGATTACTGGGCAGCCGGGGCGGATCGGGATTGATGCTCAAGGAAGGAGATCAACCTGACCTAGTCTTGCTCCACAATGTGGATGACACCGGATGCAATGTATCAAGGCCTTGGAAAAGTGTAGCAGAGGTTGTGTGGGATCCGCCGGCAAGGGCGAGCAGGCATACCATCTCCAATGGCCGTCTGAAACTGCCATCATATCCTATGCAACCGGGGACAGCACGCTATGCTTTCAAGGATAGCGACGCTTGACGTATTGAAGAAAGCGAGTAGACGCTCGGGCCATTGTTTGCCTGACGACTGTAAATACAGATAGTGGCTGAATAACGCCCCTCATGAATGTTTCTAATCCAGTACATCATGTCTAAAGATAACCTGCACAACTCCGTGTCCGCTAGCATTCCAAAAGTCGCATCATGCGGCAAGGTCCTGATGAGACATAAATCAAAATAAGCAATATAGAAGGGCAAGGAAATCGAGACGAATAGAGTCAGTACCCTCACGCAGCCCCCCATACAGGTGCAGTTTCATTGGCCTCGGCGCGAGCTTTGGCTGGTCCATGCAATGCATAGCTGAATGTGGGACAAGCTGGATCTTCACGCATGATGTCAATATCGTCGACATTGAGCGAAAGACGGAACCCGTTTCCAGCGCGTGGGTACAGTCGATGCTCTTGAAACTCCTCGTATTCTGACTCTTCATCTGACTCATACCGGTGTCTCTTCCGTGAAGAAGAAGCTGATGGCAATGGTTCCTCAGTATTCTCAGTACTCGGCTTCTCAGAAGCTGTGTCTTTCTCCGTGTGAGAGACTGGTGTTTCGGTTGTTGTGAGTGTCTGGGTGGAAGGTGCCTCTGAGACTGGGCCAGCTGATGTATTTGAGGTGAGTAAGAATTTCGACGACTGCAGTTCCTTTAAGTTGCTTGGGAACATCGACAAGGAGGGATGCCGGTCCGATATAGTGACAAGAAGCTCGACGAGACTTGCGTGGGAGAGGCTCGACAAATAACCCCGCCGCTCCTCCGCTGAAAAGCGCTCGCCTCCTACTTCGATCTCGGGACAAGGCACATGGTGTTGTAGTGGATGACCGAATGTCTGAGCTCGTAAATCAGGATTGCTCCTCACAACCGTTGGCTGGACGATGGAAATCTGCACAGGCTTGCATTCCCGGCAGTGCCATTCCTTCTCCACCACGTTCACAACATCAGAGTCTATCGGGGGTCATGACAGAGTTGATGCCATGCTCGATTACACCCGTCGCAGAATACAATAGCATTACTCTGCGGACTATGGCCTCTTTGGCAATGCGTACAGTTGACATACGCCTCTTTCGTCTTGCGAAAAACGCGCTTGTGTCTTCGCGCAACTGTAGTCTCTGAGCCATGGGAGGTAGTGCCGTTCGCCTTGGTAACGGCTGGAGATGAAACTGGAGGCACATATAATGACGGTCGGTTCACTTGTCGCCCGGACTTTGTTTGAGTGGCGGTAGGGGCGACGTCGGATTCATCCGAACTGGAGTCACCAGCCCTTATGATGTCTTCGCCGTCACTATCACCACCGCGTCTTCGTTTTCTCGATTTTCTGGACCCATTTGAAGCATTTTTGCGTGAGCGTGGTCCAGGGGTAGCTTTTTGTGGGATGCCGCCTGGGACTTTTGCAGTCTTCGGGGCTAATGAGGCCAGAGGAGCCTTAGGGATAAGACCCGTAGGCTGTGATGGGAACGTTGATTGTATCTGAGACGGCGCCGACGTGGCCACAGGAGGCTTTGGAATCAGAGCCGTAGGTTGTGATGGCAATGTTTGTTGTATTTGAGACGGCGCCAATGTAGCTGGCGGGCCGGCTGATACTGTTACACTTGGCTTGGGAGCAATAGCAACAGGCTTCTTTGGCCTCGAGGAGCTGTCCCCAGACGTTATAGGGGCTTGGTTGGAAACTGCTGTAGGTGCCCATGTTTTGTTCGTATAAGCGAACGGCGCCGTGGGCAGCTCTATGATTGTGGAAGAGGCCTTCATCGTGTTGGACTTTTGGAAATTCAAACTATTCAAGCTTGGATCAAAGGTCGAAGTGCCCCAACGGGTAGTGAAGCTATCATTGTTCTGCTGGTCTCCTCTTATGTTACCAGCGATCCGTGCAAGGAGCTCTGTAGTGGCCGCCGAAAGTTTCGGTATTTGCACTTTCCCCCGAACCGTACCTGTTGAACAGCTCGTTTTCGATGATAAATCGATCGAGGAAGGAGGAGTGCTATTGGCTGTATTTCCTTCAACTGTCGAAACTGATGGATGGGGGCTTGAGGTGGTGCTCGGTGTTCCGTGGGTGGTCTCTAAAGTAGATGACAGGGAAGAAGTAGCCCCATTTTGCCGTGACATTCCCCGAATCTGGACTGAATAAGCAATGTTGCACGGGGTATAAATGTGCTTGCCAATCTTTTCAACTTTGATCAATTGCTGTCATCGAGTAGCAAAGGATATGGCAGGTTGAACGGATCCAGAGATTTATATAGTCTCACGTGATTGTATGGATTCCTCCCCGCGCAGTTGAGGAATTTCAACACGCAACTTTTGTTCTCGGGTCATCAAACTTACGATAATCTATTGAAGACTTGCTGTTATACATTCATTTCATCGTTCCTATCAAGAAACTCTAAAAGCTAAGTACGTCCATGGATTCTTACGGCCGCCGTCGTGCTTCGTCCGCGGTCACGAAGGGATTCGCTCTCTCAGGGATATGATATGATACCATACGATCCCCACAGCATCAAATCAATATTGGGTCTGCCAGATCCAATTCACCTCGATGTTTGAGACGACTCGACACTTGTTACGACACAATGCCATCTTTTTTGAGGAGCTCAATATTGGCTTTATCATAATTGAGGAGTTCTTCGAGGATTTCGTCGGTGTGTTGGCCAAGGGTCGGAGGCGGTCTTCGGACTCCAGGGGTTGCATGCGAATATTTGATCGGTGTGTTAACTAATTTGATGGGACCACAAGCTGGATGATCAACTTCTGTAACCATTCCTCGAGCTTGCACTACGCGGACGATTCCATGTCAGTGAATGGCTTTACCTGGTCGTTAGACATCGGCGGATGACCTACCATGAGAATGATTGAGCGTCCCTTGGATGTCGTTGATCGCGGCATATGGCATCCCGCTGCCTTCCAGGATCTCGAGCCATTCCTGCGTGGTTTTCTGCTTAACTCTCTTCTCAATCAGGCCATCAAGCTCTTCCCGATGCTTTACTCGGTCGCGGTTGGTGATAAAGCGAGGATCCGTCTTCCATTCGGGGAACCCTAGTCGATCGCATAGGACGCCGAATAGCCTGTCGTTTCCGCCCCCAAAGAGGATATCTCCATCAAAGGTCTGGTAACTTCGGTAGGGTACAATCGATGCTTGACACTGTCTGTTAGCGAATGAGAGCTCACTAACTGGCGGTAATCTACCATGTCCGTGGACTTACGATGTGCAGTTCCCCATCTACCCGAGTCCTTCTCACCACTGATCAGAGCCGAGCTCGCGATATTTGCCAAAGTCGCCACTTGACAATCGCTCAAACAGGCGTCGATATGTTGTCCTTGTCCGGTCCTCATGCGCGCAAGCAAGGCAGCCATGATGGCATTGGATGTGTACAACCCCGTTGTCAAATCCGTAACAGCTACGCCGACCTTGACAGGATCGCCGTCTCTGCTTCCAGTGATGTGCATGAGTCCCATCTCTGCTTCGACCATGACATCGTACCCAGCTCGGTTGCTGTATGGCCCTGTTTGGCCGTACCCTGTGATACTTGCATATATCAATCTGGGATTGATAGATCGTAGCGTTTCGTAATCGAGACCGTATTTCTTCAGGGTACCTGGAAGGTAGTTCTCGACTAGGACGTCGCACTCCTTGGCCAGCTTGTGTAAAATCTCGACTCCGGACTTATGAGCAAAGGAAAGGCCGACGGATCTTTTGTTGCGGTTCACCTGACGCAAATGTAAGTTGGACGCCCATTATTATTCTGAGATGTCACATACAGCCAGAAAATAGGCGCTCTCCCCGGGGCCTTCACGAGACCCATCGGTATACTTTGCGTATGGTGGACCCCAAGCACGAGTATCGTCACCGCGCACGGGATGCTCCACTTTGATAATATCTGCTCTGGCTCCAAAAGGCGACGTTAGCAGTTGATTGCCAGATAACCATTAATTAATTAGCTTTCAACATACCCCAGATCTCCCAGAATTTGTGTACAGTATGGCTTCGGCGCGCGGTAAGAATCAGTATGGACTCTACTGTCGACCGGAGAGAATAAATAGGGAACCCACTCCAGCCAATACTCTCGTCATGTCAAGAACTCGAATGCCTTTGAGAGGAAGGGTGTCATCGCTTGTAGGGATTGCTGAGAAGCGTCGCCGTTGCGGCGTGCACTTGAGAATAATAGTTCTCGACGGGTAAAGCGATGGCCGACGAGCCATAGCCCGTTGCAACGTCCATGCGGCATTCATCTTTCAAAGCTTAGCCAATGTGCATGTATAATAGCACTCAATGGCATATCAATTGCAAAGTATCACAGTTACTTAGAGCTCTCCGTAAGGCAGGCGATGCAGATGTGACCTCGATCACTTGAAGGCCGAAGCCGCTCTTTATATTGATCCGGGGATTTCGCCGATGGCCGACGGCAGACCAAGCCGAGGTCAGCTAGTTAGCTGTTTCGGTATCTCAGCCCTCACCTACCAGACCCATCTTATCACGACAATCGGATCTCGAGCATTCCCTCTCCTTAAAAATATGTTCACGGGCCTCGTTGAGTACATTGGGAGTGAGTACTTTCCATATTCGAAATATTGTATCAGTCGCAAGACTAATTGGATCTGTTTGCAACTTCTAGCTGTTACGTCTCTGGAGCCCCTCGACACATCGTCAAGTGGGGGCGGGGGAACATCACTGACCATCTCTGATTGCGAGGAGATCCTCAGAGACGCCCACCTTGGCGACAGTATTAGTGTAAATGGTATGCACTCCACTTCCCCTTGATACTTAACATCAGCAAGCCCAGCCGAGCTGTTGAACTATCCGTCGTCTTTCTGTCATTCGTCTCATAAGCAAGCGCATCAAAGCGCTTAAGCTTCCCTCGACAATGGAGACCTAATAAACTAATCTATCAAAAGGAACCTGCCTGACAGTAACCGCATTCGATAAGACCTGGTTCAAGGTCGGCGTCGCCCCCGAGACGCTTCGGCGGACGAACCTGGGATCATTGGAAAAGGGCTCCCGGGTAAATCTTGAGCGGGCCGTTCTGGCAGAGACTCGGATGGGCGGTCACTTCGTACAGGGTCATGTCGACACTGTCGCAAAAATTCTCTCCGTCACTCCGGATCAGAACTCCTTGGTATTCCGACTACAGCCTCGCGATCAGAGTGTAATGAGGTATATCGTGGAGAAGGGCTATGTCACACTGGATGGAGCCAGCTTGACGGTGACCAAGGTTGTGGATGGGCCAGACGGGTACTTTGAAATCATGCTTATTGCCTACACACAAGAGAAGATTGTGACGGCAGCTAAGAAGCCCGGGGATTACGTCAACGTAGAGATTGACATTGTGGGCAAATACGTTGAAAAGAGTGTCCAGGGTTATTTTGCTGGAACCGCTGGAGGAGACATGAGCATTCTAGAGAAGATGGTGTCTCGCATTGTAGACGAGAAGCTAAAGCGGTGATAAGCAACAAACGAATGCGGCCTGACCATCTTGAATAGTGGGATTCCACCTCAGACCTAACCTGTATGACCGTATTCATAATGTCTTCCATGTATCGTACCCGGGACAATGAAATCGATCACACCATGACAAGAATCTACCGATGCTAGAGCTAGAAGATGATCAAGAATGGGAACTCGGAGAAGTCAACAGCGGTGCATGTCATACAAAACTTCACACACAGTTTGCATAAGATAGGTAGATTTAAGTATGTCAACCTCGTAGTCTATCTAAAGGACTGAATGGACGCAAGGGTCATATTGATTGAGATAGCCGACGACATTTCATGCACCACATAAACGGTAGTTTAATCATCTTCTTACGCACGGCACACTGAGGTTTCTTCGGCGGCATGAGCAGAAGGGTGATCACTGCATTTGAATTCCTATACGTTCTTGTTGAGGACACTCGACAAAGGGTATAAATTCGTCCTACCAAAGACACAACTCATATCAACCTCATCAAACACCATTTACTCCAGACTTTTATGAGAGAAAAACCGCCTCTTCCGTAGCTACCATAGTTTGAAAGGTCGGAAATCAGTCTCTCCGCCTCATTCTTCCATGGGCTCATCTTCGTCGTCGTTATCCTGCGCTTGTCCCTCTTCATCGTCTTCCAGGTCATCGCTGAGCCAATCATCCTCATCATCCATATCCACGTCTTCTTCGTCCTCGTCATCTTCACCACCCTTTCCTTCAGCTCGAGCTTTGGCCTTGTCCTGTTTCTTCTTCTCAATGTTCGCTCTTTGCTGCTTCTTTCTCTCTTCCTTCTCCTTCTTCTTCTTGGCCCAATTCTTATCCAATGATTTGACCTCTTTTTCTGATTTTTTGATGTAGTCGTGCCACATTACTCTGCCCTCACAAAGACCTTCTTCGACCTTGATTAGCCGAAGTTTCAGACGTGGACCCAGTTCGACGAGCTTGACCGCGCGTTTCTCCACCTCTGGGACATTGGCTTTCTGGGCCTTTGCTTTCTCGCCGGATTTCATGCGTTGCAATTCTCTCTTTGTCAAGACCTTTTTTGTGGTGCTCTCTGCAATCTCGACCTCAGCATCAGTGTCCATTTCTGTCTCGCTTGCCGAGGTATAGCCGGCGGCCGATGGGTCAAGAAGATAGTCGGCGGCATCTTCCAACTTCCCGAGGTTTGGGACGGCAGACTTTCTCTTCTCCCGACTGCGAATCTCCTTGGGGTCCAAGCGTCGGATACGCTTCGAGATGCCTGTCTTTTTGGTGCTGATAGCATAATGTCTTAGATTCAAAACATAGGAATCTTCCTCTTCCTCTGATCCGGCGGTAAGTTCGCGATTCAGAAGCATCACACGGCGAATGGAGGAGAGGGGCGTAGCCTGAGGATTGATGGGTGGGAAAAGTGACTGAAAGATAGTTGTTGTAAGGCTCTCTAGACGTTTCGGTACTTTCGAATCCTCAGTAGCATTTGTCGAGTTAAAATTGTTCATCACTAGCAAAGGAGGTGTCTTGTGATCCTGGCCACCACCTCTTGGGCGTTTCAATGCCTTCTCAACGTCTCTGCACAGAGAATAGCTTTCGACTTTGAAATGAAGGGTCGGACCGCGAGGTGTAAGCGCCAATCGCATATTAGTATTTCCTGTAGCTGATTTCGAGAAAAGCATAAGATGAGTGACACCCAAAGGGCCCGTCATTGCCGTGTAGTCTCTGAGTCGATTGGATTTCCGTTCCTGAAGTGACCGATCATCAGTTACTGGCTTCAGAAACCCGCCAGTCTGTTCGAGGACACGCTTACCTTCAACCGTACAGCTGTATCTGGCTCCATCATCAAACGGACATCCTTGACCAGTTGGCTGACACTTGAACCGACCTGCGAAGCGCCGACTCTGATAACCATAGACTTCGGAGTTTTGCTCATGCTGCTTTTGGCGGCGACAGACGCATTTTGAGCCCGCACATGTGTGCGCTTCTTCGTACGTGCCTTGGCCATTGTAATAGAAGTCCAGATATGGGATTATAGGAACAAAAATGAGTCCCAATAGCTTCCTCTGCTGTCTGGGCAAGAGCGTGACTTTTCCCGTAGGTCCAGAAAAAAGTAGATTTGTCGGAGCAAAGCCGCGGAGGAGCTCGGATCAACAATTTTGCGGCGCCCAAAAATTATTTTTCTTCACTGATACAAAGAAGAGCAGATCAGAAATCTAACGAAATCTATCGATTTAGTGCTTTGAAAGTCATCCGACCACAATGCCGGACGTCAAGAAGCGCAAGATCGCCCACGAGGTCCCGGAACATGAGAGTGACGCTGAATCAACAAGTTCTCACGAGTCCGTTGCTCAACAAGACAATACTGCTGAGATGCAAGATGAAGCGGCGCCCACAGAGACAAGGCCAGCTCCTAAGAGCTTCAAAGATCTAGGCATCATTGATCAACTATGCGAAGCATGTGAAACGATGGGATACAAGGCTCCTACCCCCATTCAAGCCGAATCGATCCCTTTAGCACTCCAAGGTCGTGACTTGATCGGTTTAGCAGAAACCGGAAGTGGAAAGACAGCGGCTTTTGCTCTTCCTATATTGCAAGGTATGGCTCCATTAGACCTCACTATACTTTGAGCGTCTTGGTTTTCTATCGAAGCCTACTTCCCGGTCGTTCCGATATCTGACAAGCCACCCACAGCTCTAATGGAAAAACCACAATCCTTCTTCGGCCTCATCCTCGCACCTACCCGAGAATTGGCCTTTCAGATCTCGAAATCCTTTGAAAGCCTTGGTTCTACGATCAATGTCCGATGCGCTGTGATCGTCGGAGGTATGGACATGGTCTCGCAGTCGATCGCTCTTGGAAAGAAACCTCATATCATTGTCGCTACGCCTGGTCGCCTGCTAGACCACCTGGAAAACACCAAGGGCTTCTCGCTACGAACTCTTAAATACCTCGTCATGGATGAGGCCGATAGACTTCTTGACATGGACTTCGGTCCCCTTCTCGACAAAATCCTCAAAGTTCTGCCCAGAGAGCGGCGCACATTCCTTTTCTCTGCAACCATGAGTTCCAAGGTCGAGTCGCTGCAGCGAGCGTCGCTCTCAAACCCACTGCGCGTATCTGTATCGTCAAACAAGTACCAGACCGTCTCGACACTGCTGCAGTCATATCTTTTCCTTCCCCACAAACACAAAGATATCTACCTTGTATACCTCCTCAACGAATTCGTCGGCCAGTCCGCAATTATCTTCTCTCGCACTGTCCACGAGACACAAAGAATCAGTTTTCTGCTTCGCTCGCTCGGCTTCGGCGCCATTCCGCTACATGGTCAGCTCTCCCAGTCCGCTCGATTAGGCGCTCTCGGGAAATTCCGTTCCCGCAGCCGCGATATTCTCGTCGCGACGGACGTCGCCGCCCGTGGTCTTGATATACCATCTGTTGACGTCGTGTTGAATTTCGACCTGCCTACTGACTCAAAAACATATGTTCATCGTGTAGGCCGTACGGCCCGTGCGGGAAAGAGTGGTGTTGCTATTAGCTTTGTGACGCAGTATGACGTCGAAATCTGGCTACGTATAGAGGGCGCGCTTGGGAAGAAGCTCAATGAGTATGATTTAGAGAAGGACGAAGTAATGGTCCTGGCTGAGCGTGTCGGAGAGGCTCAACGGCAGGCTATTGTGGAGATGAAGAACTTTGATGAAAAGAGAGGCACCAGGGCCAAGAAATTCGGCAAAGGAAAACGCTCTCGAGATGAGATGGATCAAGAAGAAGGATGAACTGGGAGTATGGAATTAAAAAATGTCCCTAATTGCTATTATGATGCCAATACCCAGACGAGATGACCAGATTTTTTCAATGATTTCCTTACATTATCAAATGGATTCTCGAGTGGAGATAGTAGTGAACGTAAAGTACAGCAGCTGATGTATATTCTGCTTCCGGTATAACTCAGAACATGTCATAAATCATTCAGGACAGTCCCTGATATCCTCTATAAATTCAGACCGAGTGGTCGACTTTTCCTTGACGCAGAAGTTGCTAGACCATCATTATGTCGTGGTTTAATTCCTTCTCAAAGGTCCCGTTACCGCACTACCGTCGACATCATTTTGACCTGCATTTGCAGGCTGCCTTTTGAGTGCACCAATGCTCGGAAGGGACTTTAGTAGATTTGATAGGAAGGATTGGCAATTTAAGAAGCTTGCAAGATCTCTTTGACGGTGCCGGCATCACGAACGGCATTGGCAACGCGAGTAGCGAGATCGTCGGCTTCCGATCGGCTTGCAGCCTCGGCATAGACACGCACCGCATCTTCCGTGCCACTTGCACGGGCGAAGCTTCGTCCCTTGTTGTAGCGGGACTGCAGAGAATCAATCTTTGCCTGGAGTCCGGGGGCGATTCGAGCTTTCGCTCAGCGTCGTAGGCCTTGAAGATTGACCGATCAGCTACCTCCACACGCACAAGCCGCGAGGGGAGATCGGTATATGTGGCAAGCCATTCCTTAGGGGTCCACCCTTTGTGAGCAAGAATAGCTTCGACAAGGAGCATGTCAGAGATGGCGTCGCCAACCGCTTGGTTAATCAAATCAGTAAGAGCTTGCAGGCACTCTAGCGAACGCTGCTGGGCCGGAGACTGCGGCTCTGTATTCTTAATGGTCTTCAAAGCATTCTCTGAGAAAGTGATAGTGCCGTGTCCATTAGCTTCGAAGTAGACGCCAACATCGAACCGGAGGGCGGCATGGTGGAGATGTTTCACACCAGTATTTGTGCAAACAGATGGGAGTTTGAGAACTTTCTCTATGTACTCGGTGCTCGATCCGTTGGCATAAGCAGTCTGAACGACGCCGATCTTGAGCTTCTGAGCAATTCCGGCGCTGCGGGCGAGGTCACCAATGAAGGAAGCAGCAAGAGTGGCAATGCGGTCGCCGTCCAACAGCCTAAATACATTGCCTTCGTCAAGGAAATAGTAGACAATACGATCGGCATCACCGTCCAGAGACGCGCATCGATCGAGAACAGAAGCCTTGGATGATGGCGGGGCACGCTGCTTGGTCTTGACATAATCGGCGCCGCACTGATACAATGGTTAGTACGGCGAGAATTGAAGGGCGTCACGGAAGTTGCTTACTTCGAAGTTGAGACTGTCAGGATTGATGACATCGTCATTCACAATCTTGATGTCGAGACCAGTGTCCTCGGGCAGATGTTTAATGAGTTCCCTCAGCTTAGGTCCACCGACACCGTTTGCACAATCAACAGTCAAAGAGCCCTTGACCTTGACGCCTCTCATGACCCTCTTGAAAGCTGCGGCAAGCTTTTCGTAATAGCCTTGCTCAGTAGGCTCACCATACTCGTATTGCGTTCCCAGAGTGTTCTTGCATCGGACGACGTAATGCAGCTGGGGAGTGGTCATATACTTCATATCGATGAACTCGGCCTCCGTGGCAGTGAGCGCAGCACTGAGGACGCCGACGAGTCGCGAACCGGATGCACGAGTATCCCGAGCGAAAACAACACGAGCAGGGTTCTCCATGCTGACATCGATCTCCTTAACCAATTCGTCGTAAACGTCACCGATGTTTTCCAGCGGAGCATTCGCGAGTTTTGTGGCGTATGCTTCCCATTCAGCCTAGTGAAACGAAGAGTCAGCATCAGGAGAGTATCTTTTTGTCGAAGAGGAGGCCTACTTCCAACATTTCACCCTATTTTATATCAATACGTCAGCAATTTCACCTTTCATAACCCCATCGAAAGTTCCATAGGAGCTCACCATTGGGTCCACCAGTTTGACACCGTTGTCCTCGGCAGGATTGTGGCTCGCAGTGACCATGACGCCAATCCATTGTCCGCTCAACTTCTTGGAGCGAAGTGTTGCGAGCAAGCCTACAGCATAAACAACAGTGTTGAGGAGGTCACTGCGGTGGATTGACCATTAGAGCTGCAACACGGCGATCGTGGGGTACAGTGGAGGCGGGGTTGATTTGTTCCTGAGAAAACAAAATAGACTTACGCTTTCATACGGAACTGTAGCAATAGATTTCAAGTCAGCTTATACAAGCATAGAGATAGCTGGGGAAGATCCAACATACGCCCGCCGTGCCATATTGGAAGACCTTGCCCTCTGGCTTTGCATACTGCAAGGCCGCGTCTGAGATAGCTTTGCGAACAGCTGGAGACGCCATGGTTTGCGGCGCGGGACCTGGCCAAAGTCGTGTCGGGAAGCCCTAAACTTCGATGAAACGAGATTGATGAGGTGTCGCTGGAACTTGATGAGATAAAGCAGGACAAGAAGTAGTTAGAAAGGTTGGGTTACAGAAGAAGAGGGCCAGCCGGGTATTAAAAAGTTGTCAATCGCAACCTGCACGAGGGGAGCGGACTGGCCTGACAGCCTTAGGCCACTTTAGCTCCTGCTTCCTTGCTCCCCACAGCGCTCAAGCGGTGAGCCAAAGAAATAGCGTGGTAGGGGCGCGGTTTCACAGCAACCCTCTACTCTACGGAGTACTCACACCTGATTATTACTGGCTACTGCTAACTTGAAAATAAAGTTTGGTTGAAGCAAAGGAGTGAATGACAGCAAGGAACAAAGGGTAAAAATGTTTCGAATCTGTCATTGTTGCGAAACACTACATGAAACGTTATGCATTTTACGACGGGCTTTTGCAAATATGCCATCTGTGCTGGGATCCACAGTACAACTGCCGAGATCAGGAGAGCCCGCCACCGGATCATGCTTTCAGTCTGCGGCTTGAGACATCATTCTGGATGTCTTTGATCAAATACCTATTAGAATCGATGCATTAGAGTCGAATTTGCTTTTCATCAGCGGACGGTCATCTGCCGGGCACTTACATATACCACCATGCGGTGGGAATGACTGTTCCAAGATGCCACAAGCTGTGAGCATCAATGAGCCCGTGCCAAGGAGGAAAGTCCTGCAGCTCGAGACTCATGGCCAACATAATCCACACCACAATCATTCCGGGCCAGGCCATCCAAACTTTGCCTTGCTTCTGATACCGGACGATGCTGAACCCCGTCCAGAGTATATTCTGAATGGCCCCGATCACGACGTTTGCAATCATGTTGTAGGTGTAATCCCATGACCAAAAACTGAGATAACATACGTGCATGGTGTATAGAAGAACGCAGATCGTGGTCGTTAGACGGCGTAGAGTCGGCTTGTACCGGGGTTTTCCTTGGTCAAGGCGCAGTATCCTGATTATAGCAAGGTATAGTCCGTACATCACGTTCGCACCAGCTCCGAAATAGTCTAACTTTTCTGTGAGAGGGAAATCCCTTGTGTGGAATAACATGCTGAATGTCCAGCACGCCAGCCCGCAGTAACCAAAAGTCAGGTAGTATGGCCGCAGGGAATGCCATGCTGGGATTGTCTCTTTGATTCGAGCGATACCATTCCAGTGAGCGAGAAGATTGAGGAGGGAGAAAAGGACAGAAAAGGGCTCCTGCATGCCGAGGATCCTGCGAAAAGGCCATTTTCCATGAAATTGTACCACTGGATTCAACATTGGAGGGTCGCGGGCAAGTCGGCGGTCCGTTACTACATGTTGACAAGTGTAATCGCACTCTGCTGGACAGGTCCATAAGAGGAGGCGCAGATGGAGTGCTGTGAGAGAACAATCAGCACGGACGACACAGATGTAGACTGGCGAGACATACGAATGATAGAATCGCCATCTCGACAATTTTCAGCCTGACAGATCTTTTGACAATGAGTTCGCTGTTTTGAGTTCTCCAGGCCGTTGTTATTGAGGAAATGATACCTTGACACATTCTTTGAAATCAGGTAGGTGATCACCCAAGGAAGCCGTCGACCTCCCTATTAGAGAAGCAATGAGAAACGCGAGAAAGTACAAGCAAAGCTTGCTCTTGGCCGAGCACAGAACCATGGTGCTAGGTGTGCATGGAGTACAGTGCAGAGCTGGAGTGCCTGAGCTTAGGGGGAGAGCTGCGAGTTTGACGCGTGAAGGTAGAGGATCGGAGATGAGTCTTGGCAATTCATCTACGGAAGTATCTACAAGAAACTGGTTCAAGACCAGGAGGGTAGGATATCCCCGCGTACTTTGGACAATTCTATAACAGCTTTGTTTTGAAAATTTGACAAGAGTGAGGTATCTAAGAGACAAGTAGACGGGTCGAGTTATATACTTCTTTTCTTAACACACCTCTTTAGACAAGGAGGAACCTGAATAATACAGCAACATTCGGACAAAACGCCGAGGTATTGTACATCAACCCTAATCAGATATGATTTCTGAGGGCTATTGAAATCACATGGAGATTACCGGAAAAGTCTAGTGCAAACCAAAATCGAGGCTAACCTTATTCAGGATTTAGCGTTTGCCCTTGAAGGAGAATTTCTGTTATTGATGGCAAAAGTAAGAGGGTAAAAAAGTCGAGCTTGAGGGGTCGTTTGGAGATAATATTTACTTCATTTCCCTCACCTCATCCCACCACAAAAGCAAACCTTGGTCTCTTGGTTGGCTTCTACCCCTTTGTTCTCCTCAGATTCATTCTTTGTTCCTCCATTTTTCCCCTTATCAACCAAACGGCATCTCTATTTTCAAGATGGAAGGTATTGAGAGACAACAATCTGCAGAGCCTTCAGCCATGATCACCAGCAGTGCTGATCGTATGGTGGGCATGGACCATGCTGAAGTACGGTACTTCACGAGGTATGAGACTAAGTTTTTCTCCCTGATCTGGATGATCTTATGTGTCTGACATTGTTCACAGTTATGATCATCATGGTAAATTCTGCCTATTGTCCACAAAACGTTGAAGGGTATGCGAAGCTGACACAAATTCATGCTAAGGCATTCATGAGGAGATGCTTGTAAGTTCATATAGAGTATGGAATTAAATTGATATTAGTGCTGATAGTAATTCCCCTCACAGAAAGACGATGTCCGGACTCGGTCATACCGCGATTCCATTTATCAGAACCGCCACATTTTCAAGGACAAGGTTGTCCTCGATGTCGGTTGTGGCACCGGTATTCTCAGCATGTACGTCTCACATGTCCCGAATAAATCAACACTCCACATACTGATGTTATGACTGAAAAGGTTCGCCGCGAAGGCAGGCGCCAAGCACGTAATCGGCGTGGACATGTCCTCGATCATCGAGAAGGCGCGCGAGATTGTCGCGGTCAACGGCCTCTCAGACAAGATTACTCTTCTTCAGGGAAAGATGGAGGAGGTTCAGCTCCCGTTTCCCGCGGTGGATATTATTATCTCCGAGTGGATGGGATACTTCCTCCTCTATGAAAGCATGCTGGATACCGTTCTGTACGCTCGGGACCGCTACCTTGCTCCTGGCGGCAAGATCTTCCCTGACAAGGCCACCATGTACTTGGCTGGGATTGAGGATGGCGAGTACAAGGATGACAAGATCGGATGTGAGAGATCTCTCGCCTACGTTAGGCTTTTAAAGGAGTACTAATTCGTATAGTCTGGGATAACGTTTACGGATTCGATTACAGCCCCATGAAGGAGATTGCCCTTACGGAGCCCCTTGTCGATACCGTCGAGCTTAAGGCGCTGGTCACGGATCCTTGTTCTGTTATTACTTTCGATCTTTACACGGTCACCAAAGCAGACTTGTCGTTCAGGGTTCCTTTCTCCCTTCCCGTCAAGCGCAGCGATTTCATTCACGCCATCATCGCGTGGTTCGACATTGATTTCACCGCTTGCCACAAGCCCATCAGCTTCTCCACTGGCCCTCACGCCAAGTACACACACTGGAAGCAAACTGTGTTCTATCTTCGCGACGTTCTCACCGTTGAAGAAGAGGAGTCTGTGTCCGGTATCTTGGAGAACAAGCCCAACGACAAGAACCCTCGTGATCTAGACATTCATCTTTCTTACAAACTGGAGACCACGGACAAGTTGCGCTATGCTGAGGGCAACTGCTTTTACAGGATGTAGGTCACTCCTAGCCCGGCCTGCAGCACTTCAGCGCTAATTCTTCGCAGGTGCTAAACCATCAATCTCTTCGGATATTCGCTTGATAAACGTTTTCCTACCGTTATTTGAGGACAGATCGCATGCTGTCAAACGACACGAAAGCTTCGCCTTGTAAGGCAGCATTATTGCATATATGAAAGGTTACTTGTATGGACTTTGGGTCGTTGTATGGTCTGTTTCGTCCTTTCTTGTTTTTCGGCGTTGTATTGGATGGCAGGGGAACGGCACATTATCTGGCGCGAACGGAGAGACTGATTTTGCATGAGACTTTTTGATGCTCCTCGAACTTTTTCAAGTAGATACCCCGAGTTGACGCTCAGTCCAGCCACCTCCGACGTGTTCCTTAGATTGTTTTGACCTATCATCTACTTTTTACATCCATTTCCTTTTTCTTCCATTTGACTCGGGGTAATCTTTTCGTTAGTCCACTTGAATCGAGGACGGTATGAAGAAATACGCATCTGACTGGGAGTGTTCATGCCTTGGTCTATGGGCGATACGATCATGAGTTGATGAGGAGCGGAACTAACCATTTTGTAAAGTTCCTCGGCTGAGATTTAGTTCAAACAAACAAGCTGAGAGGACATAAGTAGTAGTGGCCTGGTTAGGCCAAGTTTCAACCAACTAAAGTACCGTAGAGTAGTACCTCGATGATAGAGAATTTCATACATATCACAACTATTTGCATTGTCGTCAAAGCTGATAGCTCGTTGTCTCCAAATAACACACGTGATCTCATAGCAGGCTTTGCCCCAGATAAGCATCAAGATGCGGAGAAAATAACATCTTTCCTCCCAACTAGCACCTCACTCTGTAGCCATTGCAGAAGCATCCACAAGGATGAACCCTTATACCTCGCTCAGGGCACCCCGGGCCTTGAAACATGTCTGGTAATACCTCTTGAACGCTTTTTCCGTAACATGGACTAACGCGACAGTCAGCGCAAGGCATCTTAGGACCGGACTTCCTATGAAGTACACGCGTTTGGTATGCAATCGACGTACTCTCAACCTCGAAACAGTCACAGTCTCGGTGAATCAGTTATGTCTCTGCCTTACTAACTCGGTAATACAGGCAGTCGGCTCCTGGGGCCTGCCAAACGCAGTCCGTCCTTTGACGCTGAATCGGCAACCCGTGTTCATCCGCCGTTACTCAAGCATTCCGCCTGAAAACGAGACAACATCTGCGCAGGAGAAGCAGACTCCTTCAGAGACTTCCTCCGAGAGTGAAAAAGAGCCCTCACCGACGCCTTCAGCCGAGACCTCAGCGACGGATGAAACGAAATCTCCATCAGCAGCGCCTGTGAACGAGACATCTTCGACAGAGGCAAACGAAAACACATTGGCAGATGGAGACGATACAGCGTTTAGCGATGGAAAGGAGAATTCAACGGCGACCACAAATGAGACCTCCACAACCGATTCAGAGACAGCTGACCGCAAGACCAATGCGGAGTTCGATTCAATACCGAAGAATGCTGCGAGAAGATTTGTTTCAGTGCGCTTAGGCCCTCTTGGGTCAAATATGAATCGTTACGGGGAATTGTAAGTCAAACATCATGAATTTTCGCCTTTATGTGCGAGAGGAGACCACTTGCTGATAGATTATAGCGGACCGTTTTTCCTCAGGTGAGCTGACTAGTGTTCGCTGCATTCGCTATTGACGCTCACACAGTGCTTTTTTGCATCTTCAAGGGAAAATTGCCAGTGCCCTTTGTGCCTCCGTCCAGATACGAAGCAAAGATCCGTGGATACTTTCTCAGTATGACTCGCGGTTCCTTTTGGCCGCCTATGTACTTGCTAATCGCTTTCGCTTGTTCGCGCTTTAGATACACCCTGCGGTCAATGCTAAAGACATCATATACGGCCCTAACCTCGTTGAAGTGCTCTGTGAGTTTACAAGCGTTAGGCCGGTGGGGAAGAGGCTAACTCAGTCTAAGTCTCTGATGGACATAGGGGACTATATCCATATTCATGGTTAAATAGCCATGTCAACCTCACCACCGAGAGGAAAACGTTCTCTGCGCCGTTCAAGTTCAGGTTCGTATCACCTTCATTCTGTATATTATCGGATTCCATTAATACGTCATCGCCAGAGAATTCTCATCCTACAATCCTGATCAGGACTCTTATCCTGAAGTCGAGTACTCCAAAGTTATGTCCGACGACGCCGCGTTGTTAAGATGGTTTGATGAGATTGTGAGTTCCTCCTTGACTCAAGACATGCTCAGCAGCTCACACCAGTCAAGTACAAATGGGGTTTCTGTTTCGTGAAAGGAGTCCCTGTGGATCCTGAATCAACCAAAGCACTTCTCGAACGGATTGCGTTTATCAGACACACTCATTACGGTAATACATTCATTCTCCCCGCAGGCTATTGTCACCAACTTTTCTACATTAAAGATATCCTACTAATACATCAAAGGCGGTTTCTGGGACTTTACATCGGACTTGACCTTCAAGGATACTGCCTACACCACGGAATTCCTAGGCGCGCATACAGACAACACATATTTCACTGACCCTGCTAGACTTCAGCTCTTCCACCTTTTGTCGCACACTGATGGCCACGGCGGGGCCAGCTTGCTTGTAGACGGTTTCAAGGCTGCCTCCATCATGCGACAAGAAAATCCAAAACACTGCGGAGTCCTCGCCGCTACCAAGCAACCGTACCACTCAAGTGGGAATGAGGACGTATGCATACAACCCGCGGAGCAGGCCCCTGTCTTCAAGCTTCACCCCGATTTGAACCGACTATACCAAGTCCGATGGAACAACTATGATCGAGCAGCGAAACGAAACTGGGGATTGAAGGAGCAGAACCGATGGTATAACGCAGCACGCCATTTTAACAATATTATCCAGCGCCCGAACGTTGAAATATGGACCCAGCTTCAGCCCGGAACTGCGCTCAGTAAGTGCTTAAACGCCCTTTTGGGGGACTCGGCTAATTAAACTTCTAGTTTTCGACAACTGGAGGATGCTTCATGGCCGTTCCGAGTTCACTGGCAAGCGGCGGATGTGTGGTGGATACAGTATGTTATACTCCTGCCTTTCTGTTTACTGAGTTGAGGACAGAAACTTCTCTCACTAACACTTCATCAGTCAACAACGACGACTTCATCTCGCGTTACCGACTTCTGAAATATGGAAGAGAAAAGGTTATCGAAAATCTAGGTAACCTTGCTTTCTACAAGGGTAATCCCACTTTGCTGCTGTAAGCGGAGAGCCCAACAGTTGCTACAGGACGACCAAAGGTCAACTCTCATCGGACACTTGGGAAGCCCCTCCGCACGAAGGGTATGATGTCGGAAATGTAACATAGCAAATAATATTAGGCGTACATATCAGAAAACTTTTGAAAAGCGAAGCATAATGAATCAGACCGAAGTCCTCAGTTGGTCAGGAGCGGAGGTGGTAGAGGTTAATGTCACGTGATGTAGGCAGAGCAGCTGACGTTGTTTGGTCGGAGCTCAGAGCATCGCCAGGACAGCTTCAACCTTCTATCTCAATCTCCCCTCCTTTTTCTTTTTCCCGATTACTCACCCTCAATACGCTTTTACTTCGCAAATCCAATCGGACCCCATACTCGCACATCACCCCTGTTACCATGTCGACTCTTGAAGATCTGGAGGATCTCGAACGCGAGGAGAGAGACAAGAAGAAGGACCAGGGCGAGGGTGACGGCCAGCAGCCTGGAGGGGATGGAGATGCTGAAATGAAAGATGCCGATGTGAAGAAGAAGGAGGAGGAAGATGATTTACTGGATGAGGAGATTCTCAACTCGAGCACAGCAGACATTGTCAAGCGGCGACGGATGTTGGAGAATGAGCTCCGCATAATGAAGAGCGAGTACCAACGATTGACACACGAACAGAATACTATGCGGGAGAAGGTGAGGGACAACCAGGAGAAAATTGAGAACAACAGGTACGATATACTTGTCATCCTATCCACTTCAGCTCTACCCTACTGCCGTTGATTTCCGGGACGCCGGAGCGGTGGCGATGTTGCAGATCTATCACGGGGATTTGCTTGAAAGCCTTCAATTACTCTTCTGACAATCTTATTCACAGGCAACTACCATACCTCGTCGGAAATGTCGTCGAGCTTCTGGACCTGGATGTTGAGGCAGAGGCCGCCGAAGAAGGAGCCAACATCGATCTTGACGCTACCCGAGTAGGCAAGTCCGCTGTCATCAAAACATCGACCAGACAGACTATCTACCTTCCTCTCATCGGTCTGGTAGACCACGAAAAACTGAAGCCCGGTGATCTGATCGGTGTCAACAAGGATTCATACCTGATTTTGGATACACTACCCGCCGAGTATGATAATCGTGTGAAGGCCATGGAAGTCGACGAGAAGCCGACAGAGAAGTACACGGACATTGGTGGTTTGGACAAGCAGATTGAAGAGATCGTGGAAGCCATTGTATGGCCGATGAAGGAGGCAGAACGGTTCACGAAGATTGGTATCAAGGCACCAAAGGGTATATCAACCGCTTTCCCCCGGTCCCTCCGTTGTCGTTCGGCCAGCATTCTAACGCATATCTTCTCTTCTGCAGGTGCTCTGATGTACGGTCCTCCTGGTACCGGTAAAACCCTTCTTGCGCGAGCCTGCGCCGCAGAGACAAACGCTACGTTCCTCAAGCTTGCTGGACCTCAGCTGGTGCAGATGTTCATCGGTGACGGTGCCAAGCTGGTCCGGGACTGCTTCGCTCTTGCCAAAGAGAAGGCGCCTTCGATCATTTTCATTGACGAACTCGACGCCGTGGGTACCAAGCGTTTCGACTCCGAGAAGTCCGGTGACCGTGAGGTGCAACGGACCATGTTGGAGCTTCTGAACCAGCTTGATGGATTTGCTTCGGATGATCGTATCAAGGTCCTGGCCGCGACAAACCGTATCGACGTCCTCGATCCCGCTCTGCTCCGTTCCGGTCGATTGGACCGCAAGATCGAATTCCCTCTACCCAACGAGGAGGCACGGGCAAACATCCTGCAGATCCACTCCCGCAAGATGGCCGTGGATGATGGCGTCAACTGGGCCGAATTGGCTCGAAGTACCGATGAGTTCGGCGGTGCGCAGCTGAAGGCCGTCTGTGTGGAAGCCGGTATGATTGCTCTCCGGAAAGGCATGAGCAAGGTCGGACACGAGAACTACGTGGATGCTATCGCCGAGGTGCAAGCCAAGAAGAAGGATACAAACATGGGTATCTATGTCTAGGGATATTACATAATCAACGTTGTTTCTCTTGTCTACATCCCTCTTCCCCTACTCTGTCTGATAGTCTTAAGTCGGTCAGAGCCTGTCATAAATATGCATGCGACCATGCTCGTTTCTTATTATTTTGCGGTGTCTCCTATCCACGCCTGTCCTGGCATCTGTTTGGCAGATAGATGAACAGCCATAATGGTATGAATACCTCTTATGGCCCTGGAGTGAATATCTAGCCATATACCTAGTGTGCAGCATGTAGCATCGACGAATATATCTTTCGGATCTCATTATCTGATTGCATTAAGCGAATTACACGTTCTTGTTCGGATCTTGGACTCAGTACTGTACAGAGTATGCTCATCAATCACCAGGAGACAGGAAAGCCTCGGAATAAACGGAAGCAGGAGGAAAGTCAAGCGGAGAAACGCAAGGGGAATATATGTAACCGGTCCAAGGGGACTCCAGCAGCGTCTTAAGAAATTCAGAGAAAATACACGCACTCATGCATGAAAACGAGTAAGGGAGAATGGAGAAGAAATACACGTCCAGACATGAAGTCGACTTCCATCCAACATGCGAGTAGATATGCATGAATGTGTCCATTGTAAAGAAAAGAAGAAAGAGACCTCGTCCGTGACCAGATCGCTAGTCGGTGTCAATTTGCATAATGAGGTATAGTGGGGTGAATCAACCGATGAACGCCGTCGAGCTTGCACGTAGATCCATATGTCTTTGTTCCATTGTATGCTAGGTTTGAGAAAGAAAAGGAAAGATGCGGAGTAAGTGTTGCATCGTGGTATAAAACTGCATTGGGTAGAGCATCGCATCGTAGAGAGAGTGCTTGGTCAGAAGAGACCTTTGACCTCGACAATTTCAACACTTCCTGGACGATCGCGTTCCATATGGAACCACCAGTCCCTGCCTTTCTTGTGGCTGTAATTCCAGGATCCAGTACAGGTATCCTTGTCCCAGGGAAGCCCCGTCGGAGACGTTAGGCTCATGGGTGTAGACGGAGTCGTCGGCGTAATAGGACTTGTCCCCAAGGCTGAGCGACTACCAATGCTGCCCCATCCAAATCTCGTGGCAGTCGTGGAAGCGGGGGATGGCGGCGATTCCTCGGGAGGCGGAGGGGGAATCAGGCTCCCTTTGCTGCCGAAACAGTTGACTCCGACTCCAGCAGCGTAGGTCAACGACTGGTTTGAGGCAAGGATGTGCTTCCATCCGATGAGGCCGCCATCTGCGTCCTGGCCAGGTAGGTCGGGGCGGAGTATGAACCGCGGGATTGAGACATCTTTCTCCGTAGTTCTACTACCCACTCGGCCCATATACGCTGGCATTCGGAAGTTGAACACTGTGACTGGCCCATTGCGCTCTTCCTTTGCCCTCCCACCAGAGGACGGCGATCCGTACTGACCCATGCCTGGATCAGGCTCGTCATCTGAAGCATCCTCCAAGGCATTGTCGGGTACGTACGAATCTGAATGATCAGTGATGAGAACTTGCATTCCGGTTTCCGTATCCTTGGCAGCCATGTCAATGAAGGTCTGCGCCCGTATTCGTGCCGACGTTAGATTGTTGCCCGCTGGGAGGGCCAATGGGCGGGTATTAACAGAGCCATGAGAGCTCCGAGGCAGGCTGTATCGGTCAGAATTGATCAGGGCCTGCCCTCTAGGAACAGGCTGGCAGACAGCCTGAAGTATTCCGGGAGGCTCTATATCTGAGGGTGCTCGAAGGGTCTCCAGACGGGGGAAACCTGAGCAAAGAATGCTTTGAGCTAGATGTGAGTTTGGTGTGTCAACATGCTTTGGTGGCTTTGCGAATGGGGCACAGTCTAATCTCGTCAGGGCAGTATTTGGATTGGGACAAGCGACGTCCCAATGCAGATGCTTGAGACTGGACGACGCAAACAGCGGCTGGAAAACAATCCCATCGGCATTCAACGTCGGACAATGGTTGGTCTGCACGATCTTGAAACGCTGTAGATTTCTAAGCGATGCTAAAATCTTTGAGATTACAAGCAAGGATTGAATGTTCTGTTCAATGAGAGCCAGGGACTTCAGTGAGCCGGACTCCGGGCGGGAGGTGTATTGTGATAGTCCTGTATCAGTGATGCCTGGCAGGCTTTCCAGCCGAAGTGACTCCAGGGGCGGTAGACACAGCAAAGCACTATCGGCGAAGGCATCCGCATCAAATGATGAGATGCAAAGATGACGCAGCGAGGGTAATAGGTGGAACATGCGAAGGAAGATGCTCGGCTCGAGGGCACTTTTCCCATTCAACGCATAGAGCATCAGAGTCTCCAGATTCGACCAGGAAGTATGGTAATCCAGAAACTCAAACATCTGCAGAGGACCCAAGCTGCCCGGACAAGAAGTGTTGCGCGGAGACTCTTCCTCGGGGATCTCTGGCCCATCTCCCAAGATCCATGTGTGTTCCTTGAGCTTCTTCCGTGTCGATAGTGCATGGGTCAGACGATCGAACTCATGGTTGTATGCGATGGTCAAACCCAACAACCGTTCCAGGTTGGGGCACACCATAACAACGGAGGCGACAAGGTCTCGGTATTCTTCCCATTGGTTGCTGTGCTTGCTTGTTGTGAAAAGAAGGTCCATCTGCGGAACACGAAGCTCCAGGACAAGGTTGGCCAGCGATTTCCTTTCACGTAAGGTCCGTCTTAGAAGTTTAAGGCGGCTGCCCCTTTTCATCCGATACTTTTTCAGCTGAGCAGGAGAATCATTTCCGATAATGTGAATGCGAGTATAGCTTCATGACAAATATCGTCAGCGTTTCAGGACCATCAAATAGCTGTGGTTGAAAATTCACTCACAGTTTGGCTCGAACCACTCTTTCCCATACTCGACAAGTCAAGGAAAGAGCGTACAGGTCGCGCTGAAAGCATGTCAAACAACCCGACTGGTTTGGGCCTGTATGCAGAAACTGTAGTTGATTGAGAATGCCATCATATACCTCCTGGGGTAGACGCTTGAAGACCGGCTCCAGAATCTTGTCCAGCGAAGCAGCAGAGTCGCAAAGGCGATATGAAGAAGTAGGTGACGAAGGAGAATAGGAAGTAGGAGAAGTCGAAACGCTGTAGTTACTTTTGAATGAAGAAATGGATGAATTGCGTGAAGGAATCTGCTGTACTGTCACCCCATAGGCAGCATCCTTGTAGTTTTGGACCTGGCCATGATGGGGGATTGTCGTATAGGGCACAGCAGCGGTCTCGTGTCTACTGGCGACGACGCTCATTATGACCGTCTACAACGAGCATTAAAAGGTGTAGTGACCAGGAGAATGAGAAAGTAAAGTAATTCGCAAAAAGGGGAGCGAAGACGAGCAGGACGGAGGCAGGGAGTGGGCAGAGGTGGGGAATCAAAGTACCGAAGGCAAGAGTTTAAGAGCACTTCTGGTATGTAAAATGATACATACACTTTTGCACGTCAGTCAATGATTCGTCCAAGCTCGAAGGGTAACTGAAACCCGGGTCTGATAAGGAACGCGATAGAGGAGTCGCACGATGATGGAAAAGGGAAAGCAGAAAGAATGAAGCTCGAAGGAGGATGCACGGAGAGTGTTTCTTCAGGACAAGATGGCTGAATTAGCAGAAGTAGGAAAGGAGTACTAACTCAGGGTCATCGGCTGTACTTTGTGATTTTCGGTTCCCCCATTATTTTTTCCCTCCCCTTTAGAGTCTTTGCGGTTCGCGAAGTTGACTTTGCAAGCACCAAATAGAATTGTGTTCTTTGTTTCCACATACCACGAGCAGGAAGGGTTGACCAGTCAAGACGAAGAACGGGACGGCACTCCAAGGCCGATCACCCCCACAAGAAGAATGAGACTCTTAGTCGGGTTTCATGTATGTGAGTTGCAGCATCGTAGGTATTTTGATCCTTGGAATATTGGCGTTATTCATGCGAGTAGGAACCAATGCAAATGCAGCGAGCTGCAGCAACTCGTGCTCAGGAACTGTGGAGGAAGCGGAGAACTCGTGCCAAACGTGCATGACAAGCAGTCAAGGCGTCAAGCACAGAGAGGGGGAAAGGGGCCGCAGACATCCAATCCAGTTGGCTGCAGGTGCACGCTGCAAGTAACGGAAAAGGGACAAAAGGAAAAGATCGAAGTCGGAACTAGCAACCTAGTTGAAGAATTACTCCTGAATGCGGATGTGGCACTGCCTGATCTAGTAATGATGAGAACACAAGTCTCGGCGTTCATTACGGTGACCGTACTGAATACTTTGACCTTTCTGCTGGACAGTCGATAACCCTTATTATTGGTCTTGGTCTGCGACTTCCCAGGGCCGCTGACGGCCTGAGAGCCAGAGACATTCCAATGTCTGTTATGCATAACATTTAACACAGAGGCAGGAGGGTGGATGCTGAAGATGGTGGAGTGTGGATATTATTGAGTACGACGCACGCCTCGCAAGTCACAACATCAACAAAAGGGGTAGAAAACACTAGTGTCAGATAATACATTGTACATGGATACCTTACTGGATAGATGCCTTGACGCCCATGGAATGGGGAATCAACGCTAGACCTAGTCTGGTTAGTAGAGGGGCAAGTATGGTTCGCGGCAGGAACACAGCACCAATCCCGATCGGGCAAGATCTAAGTTCGTTAGGTTCATCAACTTGGGTTCTGTATTTAGTACAAAATAACTCTGGTATTCACATCAGAGGCCTCTATCTTTTTGATCTAGGTTTCGTCTCTCGAGCCTTCTCTTGATCCTAGAGTCCCTAGGTCCCGTATTACTCAAATAATGGTAACGGCACACTCAAAGAACTCATCAATCATCAATATCAGCTATGGATCCATCGATATCCCATACTCTCCTTCCTCTTCATCAAAAAGTGCCGTCGAGGTAACCCGGTGATCCATCTGTCGCATATCCTCTCCGAACTTCTCTATAGATTAGGGTCTGCCGTTTCTGTGCTTTGGTGAGAAGTAATGATCGACGTTATTAATATCTGGCTTTTAAGATTCACCTCGAGACAAAATTAAAATTGCCATTGTGCTTGGCAACTGTTTCATCCCTCCGAACATTTCGGAGGAAAGTCTAAAATGGCAAGAGAGAGGTTGAGAAGCATGGCTTCTCGTCACCATTTGATAGATGCACTCCCTCGAGACTGGAGTGAGTCCAGTGGACAACGAGAAACCTCTAGTGTAGACTGGGGCCACCAAGACCCTAGTAACTAGACTAGGCAGCGTTGCTCTTTCACCAAAATGATGGCATCAGTGCATTTAGCGGTCAAAGGCCTTGGCCAGCGTCTGAACCCACAATTATATCGTAGTACTATTACCATCGAGACGCACTATCCACATAGTGCACCCGTCCAGGATTAATGTGGAGTCAAATCAACAGTAGTGAAGTTCAAATTGCAAACGGAGACAGGTCGATCTTAAAGTGCGCTTGGCTCGGCTATTCCAGGATCAGCTCGATATTGTGGCTGAAATAGCCTATTCTTACTAGAGCTCATTTGCGTGGTTCTGCATTACGAAAAGGCATCTAGATTACACTAACCAACAGAGTATGTATTGAGTGCAAAAGAAGGCCCCTGTCGGCTCGAGGTAAATCCAGTAGTCCCCATGGGATGAAACTGGAGCAAATCAAGAACGCAAGGATAACCCTACCGTGTACTCTTCTCCTTGTTCAAGGTTTGGTTGCATCGAGGTCAGCTAGCCACATCCCCAGGTGATTGAAGCTTGATCCTGCACTCAAATCGCTAATTATGGCACCAAGAGAACACCAATCCCAAGACCTGGGCTTTGCTCTCAACCCAGACCAGAGGCAGAGATACCGACGCCAAATAGGTGCGAGAACGATTTATCTCTGTTCAACCCAGCCTTGCAAAACTCGAGTTACCTCTGATTAGTGAGTTGCCTTCGACTGTTTCGATACCTGACGGCACGGATTTGTTAGAGCTCAGTGACAAAATGACATAGTGAGGAAAAGGAATTTCAAGCTGGTCAGCTGAGAGAACAGTCGACACGGACAGCACGAGCACCGAATGTGGATTTGTTGATATCGTCGAGGGGACGGCCAAGGAAATCCCCATATCACAAACGTCCAAGGTTCAAAGAGTCCCAGTGAATACATCAGTAGTTCTAGTTCCCGAACTAAAGCGCCCACTCAATACACATCACAAAGAAGATGTCTTCATATTTCTGAGTATAGCCTATGTACAGCATATGGAGTCTTCTGTACCTCTCGGGTCATACCGCCCATTGTCTGAGGGCCCCGCTCTAAGGGGTCATAGATAACAACGGCTGCGGCCTGCGGGTCAGCATTTCTCGAGCTTAGGAGTGTCGGCAGGCAGGTAGCGCTGCTCCATTGAAGAGGGGGACTCGTCTAACTCCAGCCACTCTCATGTTGGAGACGATACTCTGCTATCATCTCAGCCGTGATATTGCTTCCTCCACAAGCCACAATGACCACCCTGCTGTTCGGAGTAAGATCTGGGATGACATCTCTCAATCGTCTTCCCACAGCAACCTCTACAGATATCCCACATGCCAGTTCAACTTGTAGCCGGAGATCATCAGCCAATCGAAGAACACCCCGAGCGGCCTCGGCATCCGAGCCCACGACACTTGCTACGTCGATGCCGGCCGGAGGTGAGCTTGCGTATTGGAAGGTCTTTTCAGCGACACGAACGGCCCCGAGGGAGGTCGCGAGCGAGGTGATACCGGGAAGCGATTGAAGACTCCCGTTTCGTAGCGAAAGCGCCAGCGAATCCGCACCGTGTGTCTCTGCGGCCAGAATCTTGACATTTCTCCGAGCGTTTCCCTTCCCATTCATCGCATGTGATTGCAGGTAATTGTCGACTCCTTCGACGATTCCATTGAACAGACCCCGCCACCAACACTGCATACAATCGCATCAGCTGGAAAGTTGCATGTTGACGAGGGATCTCGCAGAGGTAACTGGTCGACCATCTCAGATACCATTGTTGCAGCGCCCTTCCAGATCTCTGGATGATCATACGGACACAGGTAGACGTTTCTCCGCGAGGAGTGCTGGGTATCCTGATTATCGATGTAGTTCTTCCGTAGGTAGGTGTCCGCGTCGAACCAGCTTGCTCCTTGCTGGATCACGTCGGCAGCACCCGCCGCCCGCAATTTACTGATCATCATCGGCTTCGTGCTGAGTGGTACGACGACTGTACAGGGATAGCCTAGGTCCCGGGCTGCGACTACGGCCGCCAGGCCTGCATTACCTCCTGAGGAGCTGTAGAAATGAAGTTGCTTGTCCTTGTTCTCTGGGTCGAGTAATGCAGAGCGGATTAGGTTGCCGATACCCCTGGATGGGCTGTCAGTTGTCTGGAGTATCTAGAAGATCCTCTTTGTGTTGTGTTGTACCTTGATTTGAAGGATCCAGATGGCTGAAGGAGTTCGAGTTTTAAAAAGATTCTGCTATATACAATTAGTGTTTGGGTAGATAGGAGAGTAGGATGCCTTACCATCCAGCTACCTTGGATAGTGCTGCCGACTCGATCAGAGGCGTTTCTATCCACGGCTTCTGCATTGTAATGAAACCGATTACCGAGCTGAAATGACACGATAAAGTATGGGAAGGGGGAAGATAAGTTGAAGTTTTAGTGAATCTATTGCTGTTGCTTATCGGTCTTTATTTTGAATCAAGAAGTTGAGTCGTTCTTATACCTGTAGCTTTCCCGCTAGATCTTTCGGTCCTCACCACACCGTTGCGCCCTTCGGATGACACCTGTCAGCAGTGAGCCATCAAACCACTATGCCAAAATAGTGTCCAGACGACCATTTCTAGCATACTAGGAATGATAGGCATATTCTGGTTGACAACACCCAGCAACAAACCTCCTCGGCAAGTCCATATCTTATCCGATTACAGACACGGTTATATTCCTGCTGTGTTGACCCTACTGCTATCATCCCACTAGCCAGAGATGGCTATCTAGACACCTTTTTGGACGAGTGCTTTGATATATGAGATATTACTCTCTCATCAATTCTGTACACGAAATGAATTCCTCCACGTTGGTAACACTCCAAAGAAGGCATGTTGTCGATAATCCTCCTCAGTGAACTAATCATGATTTCGATTATTTTTTGCCAACTTAGCTAACATCCCTCGAGTCCGTAGACACCTCCGTCCTCGGTATATTTACAAGATCCTGTCCCAGGACTTGATGCATTCTTGCCAGGATAGAGGACCACGTTGTCAAACTCGATGTTATAACAAGGATGAACCTCGGAGCAAGAGACCTTAGATGTGACACTTGAACCGCCGTTTGTGTAGCCTGTAAAGTTGGCAAAGACGATATTGGAGACGGTCATGAGACTCGATCCAGAGTATGAACCGTTGTTACCGCTGTCTTGACTTATCGAGGGTCCGGCGTTGGCTCCTTGGACTTCAAAGTTCGAGAAGAGGATATTTCGCACATTGCCCCAGCCTCCACCGCGAGGGAGACCAGCGCTTTCATATGAGCTTTGGGGAACCAGAGCGCCGACCCAGGTTTTGATATACGCGGAGTTGTGCATGTCTTCGTTGTATCGTACGATCTGCCAATACGTTATCATCAGTACTCTTTCAGAGGCAGAAATCCGTCTACTGAGGCGTTACCTTCACCTTATTCACACGGACATTCTCCACGCTGGAGTCCTCGAGATATTGACCAAGACTACCAATGGCAATTCCATTTCCGCCAACGCATGTCACATTCTGGATGTCGATATTGTACGATCGAGGCTTGATGGCGATGCAGTCATCTCCACCTTGGTACACAAAATTGGTGAGTTGGATGTTCACAGCATCCATGGTATCTGCGAACTCGAGTCAGCTAGGGACATTCAACTGACCGCAGAAAACGAACCAAATCCATCCGTGTTCTGCACCCAATTGTAGCCGTACGGCGCATCTACTGATGTTGCATTGCAGTAGATGTTGTTGAACCGCATGTTCGTGCCGTTGATGACACTGAGACTCCAAAGAGGCGGGTCTTTCACATAGAAGTTCTCGACATTCACCTCAGAGACGTTCCAGAAGACGAACGGCATCGGCCTCCCAGGTTGTGTGACGCCCTTTTCTGCGGTATACCATGTATTGCCGTTGCCATCGATGCCTCCCGTACCGTATCCATCGATTGTGATGTTGTGTCCACTGATAATGAAGCCCGCACGATGGTTTTGGAAGGCAATAGGATAGGCGTTGCTGCGCCAGTAGTCGAGCTCCTTAGAGAACTGTATCGCGAGAGTTATACCAGTTGGTTGATGAGAAGCAAATAGCAGGAGAACTTACTGTCCACTTTCCTCTCCATTGTATTGTGACATCATTCAGAATTGGATTAAGTCTCGTCCTAATCGAATAGGACTGATCTTGAGGGAAAATAATTGTCCCTCCTTTTCCGCATTCTTTGAAGGCCTTCAGAAGATTTGGCACATCATCCTTCTGTTTTCCATTTGCTTTGACGGTACATACATTGTTTCGTTTGTCCTTTTCAACGCCGCCAGCGTACGTCAGCCCGAGGAGAAGTGGAATAGAGACGAGGAAGATAATCGAAAAACGCATTGCATGAAATCATAGCACCCGTATCGGTGTCTCTGCTCATGTCTATACCAGCACATCCCCCTCTTGGCATCTCCCCTTTATATTTGTCTCATTGGCTTCATCATTTCCAATGTTCAATGTGATCGACATTGCTGAATCAGGATTTCGGTCATTATTCCACCGAATCTCCCAATACTTACGCTAGGAAATCATAGGCCGAAGCTAAGGACACCATGCGCATATGTAACTGCGGGGAGAGTCGAGGAAATAGGGATTGATATGCCACGACCCGGGAAGAAGATTGTTCCTGTCCTCTGTGTGCCGTTCACTATTCATGTCGGTATCGCGACGCAAAGTGGTCTTGCTTGATATTTTCCGCCAATCCTTCGGGCTGACAAACAAGCATTGAACTACCCGATATGTTCGGCACAACTCCTTAGAAGCAGATCATCCACGCAGGACTTAGAACGACCCCTCTTTGGCTTCTTGGGAGAATACAGCCCGAATGGACCTGGCCTCCAACAGTAGGCTATATGTAGCCATGAGCACTATATGATACTACATTTGATTTTATCCATACCTAGTTCTGTTCTCGATTGACTGGTCTGAAGGCCCTATCCCATGAGATGGAGATGACGAGGATTCACTTTTTGAATGTCGTTCTGAGCCTCCTGACTCTACTTCCCGTCGTTCTAGCACAAACATGCTGGAGGAACACGACTTGTTCGGGGCCAGAAGGCAGTGCATTCGAAGGGCCATGGGAACAGGGCATTTATGCGCCTTCTTCGAGGACTGTTCGTCCTAAGAAGATTCTGTCCATCACCAACTTGAGCCTGAACTCAGCTTATGCACAAGCAATGCCGGCTACTCTCCATGGCAATGGGTCGCTTGTCATATTCGATTTTGGCATCGAAGTCGGCGGTATCGTCACTCTAAATTATACCTCCTCAGGCAGCGGAGCCTTAGGAATAGCGTTTACAGAGGCCAAGAACTGGATAGGCGAATGGTCAGACTCGTCCAACGGCGCATTTAAGGGTCCTGATGGGGCACTGTACACAAGATTCACCAAGGCTGGAAAGGGCTCGTATACAATGCCAGACGAAGCCTTGCGTGGGGTTTCCGATACATGACAGTGTTCGTGGTCACGAATGACTCTACCAAGGTTCAGATCGAGGATGTGAGCTTGGAACTTGGCTTCCAGCCGACGTGGTCGAATTTGCGGGCCTACCAGGGCTACTTCCACTCGAACGACGAACTGCTCAATCGAGTTTGGTACAGCGGCGCCTATACATTGCAAACCAACTCTGTTCCAGTCGACACTGGTCGTCAAGTCCCTATGCTGCATAACGGATGGGCCAATAATGCAACTTTGGGTCCTGGTGATACTATCATTGTCGACGGGGCTAAAAGAGACCGCGCAGTTTGGCCCGGTGACATGGGAATTGCTGTTCCTTCAGCTTTTGTCAGTACAGGAGACTTGGAGAGTGTTAAGAATGCTCTCCAAGTCATGTACAACACGCAAGTAAGCTCTACCGCTAAATTCTAAGCACGCAAGCATCGAGCTGAGTTGAAATAGAATACCACGACAGGTGCTTTTGACGAATCGGGGCCACCGCTCAGTCAGAAGAATTCAGATACCTACCATATGTGGACGATGATCGGAACCTACAATTACGTGCTATTCTCCAATGACACCGACTTCCTTTCAGCCAACTGGCAGAAATATCAAGCAGCTATGGACTTCATCTATGGAAAGGTGGATGGAAAGTCGGGATTACTGATCGTCACTGGCACCCGCGACTGGGCTCGATGGCAGCAGGGTTATAACAACTCAGAAGCGCAGATGATGTGAGTGACTCAATGCACTCCGGTTGCTACTCTCTAACAACATTAGATTATACCATACTCTGAAGACGGGAGCACAGCTGGCTGCTTGGGCAGATAGCACGAGTTCTCTTGTAGACACGTGGAACACCAGAGCAGATAATCTCAAGAAGGCTATCAATCAGTACTGCTGGGACGATGCATATGGGGCGTTCAAGGACAATGCGACGGCCACGACTCTTCATCCCCAGGACGCAAATAGCATGGCAGTGCTTTTCGGCATTGTCAACCAGACACGCGCTGCTAGTATCTCCGAGAGGCTGACAGATAATTGGACCCCAATCGGTGCAGTTGCGCCTGAGCTTCCCGAGAATATCTCGCCATTTATATCGTCGTTCGAGATCCAATGTCATTTTGCCGCCGGCCAGCCCACCAGAGCGCTCGAGCTCATTCGGCGAAGCTGGGGGTGGTATCTCAACAATCCCAATGGTACAGAGAGCACTGTCATTGAGGGATACCTCGCCAACGGCACCTTTGGCTACAGATCTAGTCGCGGTTACTCGTACGATGCCTCCTATGTTTCGCATGCACATGGGTGGTCTGCAGGGCCGACGTCTGCCCTAACCAACTACGTCGTCGGCCTTTCAATTACATCGCCTGGAGGGATGACTTGGAAAATTGCGCCGCAATTTGGTGATCTCAAGTCTGCCGAGGCCGGATTTACAACATTGCTGGGGAAATACAAAGCGTCCTGGAAGAGATACTCGAAGGGATACATGCTCCAATTCTCAGTTCCTCAGGGGACAATGGGAACACTCACTTTGCCATTTGTGAGAAGTCCAAAGAAGCCTTCTATCAAGATTGACGGACACGACATCAAAAGGGGGTTGGCGTATGAAAATGAAACCGCAACTGTCACAGTGGCTGGAGGGTCACACAATGTAGTTGTTAGATAGTGGTATTAGTGCAGCAGTCTTATACTACATAGATAGCAACGGAAGATCTCTCTGACTATACGTTTAAGTATCTGTCGTAATACTTTACACTTGTAGACAAAGGATGTATCCCTAGGTAGCCTGAAGTTCCCGGCCACCAAATGCTCACTCCCCCACCTAGTGAAATAGGAAGGCTCAACCCAGCAGGGAGCCATATCACGTCAACCATGAACCCCTCGTGGGTCTTCGATTAGTCGTCGTGATGCACTGTGTTTGTCGTTCACTGAATTTTTTCCCTCTTCTTGTTTATGTTTTCGTTTGTCTTGTTATTCCTCTTTCACCACTTCCTTTCCTTCTCGCTTATCCGAAGATTTCGCGGTTTGGAACGAAGCAAAAGAGTTTACTCCGAGGGTCAGTCAGGTACCATATCCCCAGCCGATTACGCGCGTCAATGTTATGTCTGACAAAGTCTGCTATTCGCGTAGCTTTTTTGGCTTACTTTCTCGCTGCTCTTTCTGCGTAACAGCCATGGAAGCCATCTATCACTTCGATCAGATGTCCATAGACGAACCCGTCCCGGTGGCGCCGACGGAAGCACCGGCAGAAGCACCAGCAGAAGGACCAACAGAAATCCGTCCTTGTGCTTACTGCAGCGAGGATATTGAAGGTGAACAAGTACGACCCTGCAAAGAATGCGATTGCTATTGCTGCACCGAGTGTATCAGGCAAATCTTCCTGATGGCTTGCAAGGATGAAGCCCAGATGCCGCCGCGCTGCTGCCAGCCCATCCCGCTGGCTGTTGCACGCAGACATCTTTCTGATGAGGAAATTGCCTTGTACAAGTTGAAATTCGAGGAGTGGAGAACGGTCAACCGCTGCTACTGCCCCGTTCCCACCTGCTCCGGCTTCATTCCCCCCAGCTACATACAGCAACAATGGAAGGACCTCGTGGCTTCTAGTGGCTTTTATAGGCAGTTGGCAGCCAGCGGGGCTACACCATCTCTTCCCGTAAACCCGTTGTACATCTCATTCCCCGTGCTCTGCCCGAAGTGCTTTGCTCAGGTATGTTGGAGATGCAAGAAGCTGTACCACCACGGCTCTACGTGTCAGGTGTCGGATATTGATCCTGAATTGGCGCGGACCTTGGAAAACTTGGGAATCAAACGATGTCCCAAGTGCCGTGCTGCAGTTCGCAGGATGTTTGGCTGTCGTCACATGCAGTGCCGTTGCGGTGCACAGTGGTGCTGGTATTGTTGCCGGGCTATCGAGGTCTGCAAAGCGAATATTTGTGCCAAAGGGCGGGCGGCTGAGATAGATATTGGTGATGACAACGCTGAAGAGATTGCCACTCAGGTTGACGAGGGAGAGGCTGGAGAAGAGGAAGAGGAAGCGGAAGACGAGGACGAGGACGCTGAGGGTGACGCCGATGATGAGGATTATTGGGATCGTTATGGCAGCTGGAGATCTGACACAGATGAGACGGACGATGAGCAAGACGACCAGGCAGCGTACGAGGATGAAGATGACGAGAATCAAGCAGCTGAAATGTCGCTCGCTAGAGCTGTCCAACACAGCCACTTTGCTGCTGAGGTCGGTAGCGATGTCGATCTTGACGCAACCTCTGACTGGGAGGAAAATTCGGACTTCTTCGGGACCGAACCAGATGGCTCAAGGCTGGATCCTTTTGATTGCAATCACGATTTTGCCATAATAATTGATAATTCTGAGGTGGAGAACTCAGACTATGAGTACGAATGTGAAAACTGCTGGCGCAGGATCTTACCCAGAGAGACCTTGATCCCGGGTTCTCTATGGGAACAGGTCCAATCCGAAGACACTTCGCCCACTGCACAGCTGATCGCCTCGATGAATGTTGTCGAGCGCTCGGACGCACAGATGTACTTATGCAGGAATTGCAAGTTCAGACTTTGTGGTCCATGTCGAGCTGGTTATGGAAATTATGAGTTTTGATATGCTATGGTCTACAATAACTGTCCGCTCGGCGGGATTTCTGGATGGACTGTGTGACCCGGTTACAGAGACTGGGCATAAATCTATGGGTCATCTTTTTGTACGAGTAGTTTCTTCCATAGGAAATGAAGATTGGTAGTTCAGTATGGGTTGTATGCGCACTTGGGCTGAAGAGCTGTCTTTCAGGGCAGCGCAGATCACGTGCATCCGCAAACTGATCTCCGCCGTCACCTCATGGTCTCGACCGTGCCATTCGTTCATACCTAGGTGTCCACCTCGGATATCAACAAAATGGCAGCAACATCTTCGATACAAGGCTCATTTCCCTGGCGTACTTGTGGCCAGTGTCTCCGACGCCAATATCTCCAATCGAATCACCTACGCTCCGCCGGCCGTTTTTTCTCGACCGTCAGTCCGCTCCGCACCGCTGCGAAGAACCCCCTTCGATCGTCAGGAAATGCGCGCACACGCGAGGCTGAGATTGCACAATACCGGCGGTCGATGACTCTGTCTGCGGCCGGAATTGCGGCCTGTGCCGTGGCCATGTATGGAGTCATCAAGATGGACCTGTTTGGTCTTTCCCAGCTCGAGGAGACCAAGCCCGCGAACAACGACAGGAACAGCGATGCGAACAACGGAGCGCTAAAGCTGGACGGCCCAGACGGCTTCCCGAGTAGCCCGTCGGTGATCCGCATTCAAGGACAAGATGGTGTCGAGCAGGTCGCCACAGGCACCAGCACCGTCCCTCACTTCCCCAGCACGATCCGACTCCCCAGGTCCCTCGACGACCCCTCGCTCAAGTCCGGAGAAGACCTCCCCGCGGGCCCTGGCGTGGAAGAGGACGAATACCAGCTCCTGGGCCTGGGGATCCGCACCGTCTCCTTCCTCCAGATCCAAGTGTACGTCGTCGGCCTGTACGTCGCCAAGGAGGACATCTCGGAACTGCAGCAGCGGCTGGTCCGCACGGCGGTGAACCCGCCCGGCCGGGACAGCGTCATCCGCGATACTCCGGGCGCGACGTCAGCGACGTCGCTGGTCTCGACCGAGCGGCAAGGGCTGAAGGAGCTGCTCCTGGATCCGGAGATGGGCGAGGCCGCGTGGGCCCAGATCCTCAAGCAGGACGGGCTGCGCACGGCGTTCCGGATCGTGCCGACGCGCAACACGGACTTCTTGCATCTGCGGGACGGCTGGGTGCGGGTATCACGGCGCGGGCGCAAAAGGCGAACGCAAAGGCTAAGGAGGGCGCTGCGGGCGCTCCCAGCGAGTTCGAGGATGAGTCGTTTGGGGCTGCGATGAATGAATTCAAGAGTCTGTTTGGGGGTGGGCAGCGGAAGAATGTCCCCAAGGGGCAGACCTTGCTTCTGGTAAGGAACGCCCGCGGGGAGCTCAATGCGCTGTTCCATCCTGATCCCGCGAAGCCGATGCGTTTCCTTGGCCGGGTCGCCGACGAGCGCATCAGCCGTCTGGTGTGGTTGAATTATCTGGCCGGGAAGACGGTCTCCAGCGAGGGAGCGCGCCAGAGTGTTGTGGATGGAGTAATGGGGATTGTGGAAAGACCGGTTGGAACTGTAGTCCTGAAGGTTGTTTAATTTATTCTTCTACTGTACTATAATATTCCATCTCAACCCATGAACACAAAACTGTTACAGATCACAGTAAAACACATCGATTTAGCGTAGACCAGGATTCTAAGCATATCTATCTATAGCCAATCTACAACGCACCCGCCTCCTTCAACAAAGCCGGCAACTGCGCGGACTTGGCCTGCAACTCCGAGTTCCCACCAATATGCTTCTGCCCGATGAAGATATTCGGCACGGTCCGCTGCTGCGTGATTTCATACAGCGCATTCTGGATCTCGGTTCCGTCGTCTACATCACAGTCATCAGTTAAGTCTCATTCTCTTTTCATTCAGGGAAATTTTAGGGAAAGGGGGAAAGGAACGAACCAATCTCATCCAGTTCCAGCGCATAAAACTTGGCGCCGAGGTCCCTGAGCGTCTTCTTGCTGGCGTTGCAGTAGGGGCAGTAGGATTTCGAGAAGACCACTTCACTCACTCATTAGCTTTTGCTCAGGTTGATTTGAAGGGTAGAGCGTAAGGGGAGGAGGTGAAGGTGGGACGCACCAACGGCATTCTCGTTGATCAGGTTCTGAGCTTTGGTCTTTGCGGCTGACATGGCTGCTGGGGAGGGGCCGGCGAAGGAGCCGAACAGACGGGTGAATATGGAAGCTATGGTGGGCAATTGGTTGTTGCGACAAAAAACGAAAAAGAAAGCGTTGGGTGGTGGTGGTGGTCGGGGGGAGGCGCGTGGGATTACCTTATATTCCGTTGACGCTTGGTGCTGGCGCTGGCAGGTGGGTGCGATCCCCGATTAGAGCCCGATGATGTTATTTATCGGATGGCGAATGCTTATTAAGCGTTCCGTGTATGTGGCTCTCTAGTTGAGATGGGCTTGGCATGAAATGAGATCATCGTCCGTCTACATTTCATGATTTTGATTACCAATGCATAGGAGGTAGAAATTGAGTCCTTTGTATGGTTGTAATTTAGCTATGACCATGTTCGACGGGAATAGTCGATGTCAGCATGACTAACTTGGATATAGATCAGATAAGAAATGAAATGCTGTCGCTGAAGTATGAAACGGCGGAAACGAAACAACAAAAAACAGCGGGGTATGCAGGTGATCGGTCCAGATCAAGTTTTGAGCAAGGAAAATTGAAGGAAGGTATGCATATCAAAGTCATCAAGTGACGGAAACCCTCGCCTAGAAGTAGCAGGTATGCGTACGCAATTGTCGTCGCTCACATGCGAATTGGAAAGACGAAGGGGTGAAAAGAAACAGAAACCTCGAACAGCTCGGAGCAACACACAACGCCGTCGGCCAACCTGACGCTGAATGAACTAGCGAGAGAAACAGTAGACAAAATGCAAAAGAGGTCAGACTGAGGTATCTTCCAATCTAAACTGTTCCGAGAATGTCCGTATTGTTTGAATCACATAATGATGCAACATCCGCATCCCTTCTCCTTCGGGGGCGGAGGTTGCGCAGTCACCACCGGAGGGTTCCATTTTGGCGTCAATCCAACCTGGGCAGCGGCCGGCATCTCCTGTAGCTTAGGCATGGGGCTGTATCCCGTACTGGAACTCGGCCTTGATGCGGGACTCTTTGGCGAAGCGAGGAGATTGTCGGTCTTCTCCGCTTGCACCGGTGAGAGTGACTGCTCTTCAGCCTTATCCGGCGTGTTCTCCACTTTCTCCGTATCTTCCTCCTTGCTGGAAAGCTGAGGTCGATCGTCAGGCCCGATAGCCAAGGGAGCAAATTCCCGATCGTACGTTGTAGGTGTCCGGCCCTCCTTCTCCCATTGTTCCTGCAGCATTCTTCGTGCATGCGTAGGGAGGATCTGCTGGTCGGGAGGGAGTCGAGGGTCGGGTTTATACATGGTCGCCAACCATGGAGGATCTCCCTCGGGTCGATTGATGGGCTGCGGCGGACGGGGCTCGCCTGATCGGGTGGTAGGGCGCTGGGAATTGGTTGAAACGGTCCGATTTCGCGACGATTTCCGGGTATTGCTGGGAGGAGCAGAAGTTTTGCGGGTTGCAGAACCTTTGCTCGTTGGTCCTCTTTTTGCCGGAGAATTTTGGTTGGGCTGTATGCCGCGACTGTTTGGTCGGCTGCCTGCAGATGGAGTTGCAGATGGAGTGGCAGAGGAGTCGGAAGCTTCCACCGCGATTGGCTCGCTGGCTCTGCGTGGCTTTCCAAACAGCAAGATTTCCTCCTCGCCGTTTGTGAGGGTCCGCGCACGCTGCATGGGAAACTCGCGTCCCAGATGCTCGGGAGAAATAGGTGCCGGGCTGGCAGTCGATATGGGTATCCGAGACGAGCTCTTTCGAAGTCCCGGGTTACGATACATACTCGATGCGCTATCTGTCACCTCGTCGGCAGCAATTTCCTCTGGTCTACGAAGATCCCAACCTCTGCGCTCCTCTTCCGTCACGTCCCCAGTGCCATCACCGTCAAAGGGCGTCGGAGAGCTGGTATGGTTGCGCTGCTCGTCGCGCAGGTTTGGCCATGGCTCCATGGACTCTGATGCCATCGGTGCGCCTACCGACCCACTGAACCCGCTGAACCCGCTGTTGTTGGAGTCGTGGTTTCTCGCCCGGCTCGGCTTGCCATTCTCCAGACCAGCACGACGGTGAAACAGATAGGCCGCCTGTTGCAGCTCCTCGCTTTCAATACGGGCCAGCTTATCGCGATGGATCCAATGCGCACTGTCTAGTTCATTCAGCTGCTGTCCCATCCCATCTTTCTTGTCGCTACCCTTGTGAGGTCCATTGTGTTCAGAATCTCTCGCTTTGCTCCCGGCCCGATTCGCGGCTTCATATCCATGCAGGTCTCGCGGGAATCCAGGCTCACTTTCGTGTCGCTTTGGGCTATGTTCGCGCCTTCCCCTCAATGCTAGGAAGTTTGCCTCTTGTGAGTAGGCATGTCTGGATAGGGACGAGCTTCTGGAGCCCTTGTCTCGGGATCTTCTGTGGCCAGAGTCACGAGAGCGTGACTTGGGACGAGCGTTACTCTATCAGAAAAATTAATCAGCCATTGTTCCGGCAGATTGATGGCATGTCAGATGCGACGCCGCAGCCAACACCATCAGGTCCGAAAAACACGATACGGCACTCGACAACAGATGCAAACCACTTACATTCTGCCTCGCGGGAACAGAAAAGTCCCATGGCTGCTGACTGGCGTCTACGCTACCGGGCGAGGTCCAAACATCTGCAGAGTAAGTTGCGGTTGCTGCCCCCGCCATTCCAGCAGCCATCAAAAATTAACGAAAAAAATAAGTAGGCGTCAAGAATAGGTCAGACCAGCTGGAACCCGGTGAATAATTCGAGGGGGTGCAGGTATGGTGGGGTCTTTGCCAAACGCAGACCGAATTCCAGCAATCTCCCCCTCAATCAGGCCATCCCAGGGGAACGGCACGGGCGCCGACCGGGCGCGGTCAATCGACGAAATATATTGTTTCAATCGACGAGGCTTTACGAGACGAGTTGCACAGCGTTCGTGGTCGTTCGCGAAATGGATTGATTCGGTGTCAGGGGGTGGAAGCTAGGGAGAAGGCCGGATAAGAGGGAAGGCCGCCCGAAAAGAGTAAAACGTAAATAGGCCAGAAAAGAAAACAGCAGCAGGGTATTCTCTTTGGTTCAATTTCTCCGCTCGAGCCGGGGATTTCGACTCTTGTTCCGCAGCTGGTGTTGGTAGTTAAAAGGGAACCGGCGGACTCGGTACCGTGGATAGGTGATGCTTCTTCCCGTTTAACAAGGCCAGGCGGTTTCGGTATGAACAGTCAAAGATACCGAGCGACAATGGGATATAAGGCAAGTATAGAAAGAGAGAAATGAAAATTAGATTAGCGACGACGGCGTGAGGGGACGAAACCCGTCGGAGGACGAGGACGAGATGCGAAGATAGAAGAGGGGAAGAACGAAAAGGATGAAAAGGAGTGGATGCACAGGATCTGGGCTAGACTGTGGCGCCGACGTAAGAGAGCTCCACGCTGTTGCAGATTAGTGAAATTTAGAGACAAGCAGCAAAAAACATCATTATTAAAGGTGAAGTGGATAATGGAAGTGAAAAAGTAGAAGAAAATCAGGGCGAGGGTGGGGATCGACAGCACCGGAGCCAAGGAGAAAGGAGAAGAGAGATCACAAGAGTCCGGAGTACGGAGTAGAGAGAGAAAGAGGAAAAGCACGAGAATGACAATAAGAGAGAAGAGAAAGAGAGGAGAGAGAGATTGGAGAAAGAAAGACACGGCAACGGGGCTGATGAAGGTTTAGCTCGAAGCCTCAACAGTCCAGCCAATCTTGCAAACTAGCTCAACTGGTGCTTGGATGATAGACAGTCGATAGGTAACATCATCTAGAGTTCAGATCTGGGAGCCTTAGACCAGTTTAGATTAGTGCGTCTACTTAGGTACTATTCCAGGCTTCCTGGTTGAAGCATGTATTCTGTGGCTCTTCAATAATGTTCTCGATTCTTTTGTCTCCAGCAAATCGACTTCATCTTCATGTCAAGAGCCATCTCATCGGTCCCTAGAAACAATCCCGAGACATCCATCCCAGACGCCATCTCAATGCAAATTTCCAAGTACATGTATATGTGCATTGGACACGACCTGATGTCCATAATCCATAAACATAAAGCGATGCAAGTTCCAGAAATACCTGATCCCTCTGTACCTTGTCTTGATCAAGAGCAATTCTATTCCCTCTTCTGTCGATAGCCAGACCCGGAAACACACGTGCCAAATACATACGTTCAAGTAATGCAAGTCCCAAATATACAGTGTTCACAATCAATCAACTTCCCCAGGTGCAGCTCACTCCCTTGCAGCTTTGTCTAGACTGTTGAGAGCCGCCTGCGCCTCCTTGACCAGAGCTTTACGCGCATTCCGAGCAGCCTCATCGCCGTCCGGTTCGATCCCGTCCGCTTTGAGAATAACCTGTGCCAGGATCGTCTCGCTCAGCTTCTTGTGCTCGAAATCGCGTGTCTTAGCATCAGTAGGCGGATGAGCGACATACGCCTCGCAGAGAGGCAGTAGCTCGGTCCGCAGGTATGTGATCAACGCATTGGCTTGCTCGAGAGGAGTGCGTAAGACTTTCAGGTTAGGAGATGGCGCCGGTAACGATGACGAGCCCCCAGCAGAGGACGGTCGCGGGGGTTCCGCCGGCGGGGCGAGATCGTCCGCATCATCAGCAGCCGCATCAGCTGTCTTATTCCGACCCTTGCCCTTCTTCTTCTTGTTTCTGTTCCGATTCCTCTTCCTTCGTTCCCCGCCGCTCTGCACCTCGTCTAGACGGGGAGCCTCATCGGCTTTCTCCGGCTCCGCCTCCGAGCCTTCACTGGGCGTGCTCTCGCCGGGCTGCACTTCCGAAACAACACACAGTACCTCCGACTGCTGCTTGAGGCCCTCAGCCCGGCACGGCATTGAGTCATCATCCAACAACTTCCCCTTGTAGAGTAATTTGATGCGCGCCGGGTTAGGTGTGCGCGTGACCTCCGCCGCCCGGCGCCTCAGCTCGCCCACACTGAGCGCCCCGTCATTGATGGCGTACGCGGGGAAATGCAAGGCGTAGGTATTCTTACGATGCTTGAGAAGAAGAGTATCGGGCTCATCTTCCTCCGCGCCGGTGTAGCCCGACGGCCTGTCAACGATATCCTCCGGGGTGAGGTAGGTATAGTCGCTGTCGCTGATATGCGGCGGCGTGGTCTTGGCAGCCGGATAGGGGGAGCGGCGCCAGAGATCGCTGAATCGCCAGCTCATGGCGACGAGGGCAATCGCGCAGGCGAAGACGGTGAGAGCGGCAGTGGGAGGATGTGCAGGATCGAGGACCCAATCGGGTGGGAGGGTCAGAGTACGCAGGGAAGACGACGCTTTGGCTGACAGGAGAGGCGAAACGAGTCGTTGGGTGAGAGTGTCACTGATCGCTGTGATATATGAGGCACACCTCTCGCCCACGGAGGACTGAGCAATGTGTGATGGGGGAAGGTTCATGGATCGAGAGTCCAGCTAGAAGCGCAGGAAAAAGTCATTGAAGGATGTGAGGTCATGGAAGCTGTGGCCTGTTTGGTCAGGATTTGGTCAGACCGCAAATCATACGGCGGGGCGCTAGGCTAGTGGTCAATTCTGCCTGCCGCCTACTCCGACAGCCCACACAGCATGTACAAGTTGAAGTTGGAGGCACCAAATCTTGGGGCCACTCAGTCAGAATGGTCTAGCTTCTTCTCATACCACGTTTCCCAGGCGGAGAGCGAGATCGGCATTCACAATAGGATGCCTGGTCTAATGCTGTGTATGGGGGCTGTATGTCAAGTCCTGCGCAGACGTCAACGCCAGGCACCACGCGAGGAAATATATTCACACGATTCAGTCAGATTAATGGACAAACCGCAACGCACTCCAGTCTTCGAGCCCATGATCTATTGATGGCTAAAGTAAATATACATATTATATATCAAAAGAAATATATGATCAGCCAGACGCCCTCGCCATGCAGGATACTGTACAAAATACATAGAGCAGCGTACGCGGCTACTAAAGTCTCACCCCACCGTCAGCTGGCCGACCACCAAACAACCTTGTGAGACCATTACTTCCTTGAGCCCTATCATTGCTCATCCATCTCGGAAGACGGAACGGTTCGCCCTGGAGCCATTGAGGTTTGCTTGCAGTCTCAAAGGTATTTCTGACCCGATGCGCAAAAGATTGGAAGAAATTCTCCTCATCCGCCTCGTCTTCTAGGACGGCGGAGGATGCGGGAGGACCTCTGGGAGGGCGAGTTGGTCGAGCACTGTCGGTCCGAGGTGTTCTGGAGGATATTGATCCTGGAGCATCGGTATTACGGCTCGACTGCCAGGTCGATTGCCCAATACGGGAGGACGGCGCTAAAGATCCGAGGCCGTTCAGTTCTCGATCTATGAGTTCGCGCCCTTCTCTCCAACCGCCTAGCCCATAGCCGCTAGGGTTATTCTCCAACTCATTGTCATCCTCTTCAATCAGACCCAAGCCGCATACGCTCTTGATTCTCCCGTAGAGGTTGAAGAGAGTTGCAAAGACAGGTAGTAGGATGAAGACCGGAAAGAAATAATCAAATCCCTTTCCTAGTGGCGTGAGATCAATGAGCCGACCGAGGAAATGATAGAAGATGGTGTTTTGTCGTACACCCAGCGGCAAGAACGTCAGGAAGTTGTAAGCAATTGGAACGGTAAGCCTGGCGACTAGGCTAGCGTACCAACACGCGCTCTCCCCGTAAGTATTTCGGCGAACTAGGGCACGATTGCCCCAGACCTTGGCATCATTGACACCCACCAGAGCAGCAGCGCACATGTACAGCAACCAGGCGGAAGCGGCCAGCTGCCTTCCAAAATCCACCGGTTTTGGATCTTTATGGTACGAGATGATGGAGAGTGTCACGACGGACAAGCGAGGAGCCAAGGATTTGATCAATTCAGACCAGATGACACAGACGGACGCGATGGCACAAAGCGCACCCAAAACGAGCCGCAGACTGGGAATGATGTTGATATACAGGTGGTACCGCATGTAGGGGGTCAAAAACTTGACGCGTGGCAAAGATGTCGAACGCCGGGGCGATTGGCCAAAGTCCAGCTTCCGAGATGCGGAAGAGTCGATAATTGCTTGCAAGTCGGCCGCGAGCAGAACCAGTCGATCCCATTCATCGACAAAGCGGGCCCTCTGGTGCCGAGCGCGCTGTAGGCGTCGGGTCAGGTCCGCCATGTAGCGTTCTGTGATGACCGGAGGAACGGTGCCTTGTACACTGGAGGGTTCCAGAATGGCGGATCGCGACTCGATGGGGCTGGATGTGTCGGCCAATTCTTCAATCCAATCCTGAAAATCTCGAGCGGTTCCAGTTTTCCGCTGCTGCAATTGAGTGACTTGTGACTCGAGACTCTCGAGATCATTGATGGCATCCATAAGTCGGTCGTGCAGTCGAGGTGCATGGGCCTGGACTCTGCGTAGCCTGCCACTGACGTTGGCGTTGCGGAATAGCGTACGAGGTATGGAAACCAGGCCATGGCCCATCGCATAAATTGCAAGCACAAGACCCCATACATAGGCCAAGGCCATGACGAGCGCCTTGATCGACGCGAACTGGAAGCCATTCTGAATGGTAATGTAGATCAAGCCGACAAACGCACAGCATAAAACGATCAGCTGGTAGCGAGCGTTCGAGCGCAGCGAATACAGAATGCGACTTTTGGTATCACGATAACCCGAATCGATGTATTCTCCTAGCAGCGGGAGGATAGCCCTGCAGGAAACCAATTACCAATGATCAGCACTTCTGCAACGAGAGGGTCAGCAGGACCACATGTGGTACAAACCAGGTCAGGACGAAAATTAGCCAATAGGCGATCCGCCATGCTACCAGGATTAAACGATCCGGAAGCCATATCGCCTTTGGGCCGCCTCCGTCACGAGAACTTGACGCAAGATCGATCGGGACTAGAAGTACTACGCTGGCGGGGAGCGCAAGAGCCAGGAAGACGGGGACAGAGAGGTATGCCGGAGTGGCTCGCAGGGTAAGGAAACGTCGGAGCAGCAATAACACTGAAACGGAGATGGCGAGCAGGGCCAGTGCAAAGAAAATACTGGACCCGACCGGGACTGGAGCTGCGGAGAATATGAACATGGCGCTTAAGGGGGCCACCGGGGACACAGACGAGACAATTAGTATGGCTTTAGGTGTCCCAAATTAGATGACCATGACGGGAGGAAATGCAAGGAACGTGACAGTAAAGGAGAGACTATCGATCGGAGGGCCTGTAGGACTGGCTGGAAAAGGCCGAAAAGATGATAGAAGAGAAAGCCCGGACTATAAGTGGTAGAAAAACAAGATGAGGAGAGAAACAGATGGATGAGTTGAGCGACCCAAATACGTCGAAATTTAGATGTCCAGTGATCCGGTGATCCAGACTATCTAGTGGATCTCCTTGATCATCATCATCGAAGTACGTATACAGGCCCCAACGGAAAAGGGAACTGTCGTCGCTGCTGAGAGTCTAAGACGGGCGGTGACGACAGCAGTCATCACGTGATATGGTCTGACCAGGGGCGCCGAATAAGGAAGACGGAAGGCTACCATCTCCTGCTAGGTACAGAGCAGAGTGAGTGGGTCCAAGCACACCGGCATGCTTATCCTGCACTCTGGAGTCTGCAGTAATTCTGCTGTATATTGTTGTGAAGAAGCCTATACAAATAAGAGATCTTTCATTATGTGTCAATCCATTCGATCTTAATTATTGTTGTTGGCTCTATCTGGTACTGTACTCTTTTCTTATATAGAGAGGTACTCCCTGGTCTAAAGGCGTTGGTGGGGGTCTATGATAAGGTACATACAGTCCTCCGTAGTAGTAAGGTACCAGTCGATGAACTGACGATCTAGTCTGGATTCCTCTCAAATCAATGGGAACTCCCTCATAATAATAATGGTAATAATGATAGCAATAATAACGAGCATTTCCGCGACACTGTTAGTGAATAATACCTAGGTACCAATTTCCCTTGTGGTAGGCACGGAGTATATCTAGTATTGCCTATCTACTAGGTTCGCTGTCTGGACTCGAGAGTCTAGTCTCAGGACCTTGCGTCAAATTTTAGCAAGTCAAGAGCACCTGTTGTTAGAATTAATCCTTTGACAGATGCGAGAGTTACCTTAGGACCGTACTCCATACTTATATAATGGCCATCCTGATTATTGCCATCGAGATGCTACTCATTTTCTTTGGAGAATTCCAATTTCCAACCAGGGACTTAACTAGTACAGGTATAGACTGGTAGTACGGAAGACTGTAACTAACTACTAACTAGTAGTAGTAAGGTAGTGCTGGGTCCATCATCCGCTCCCGTCAACTAAAATTTTCTGGGTCTTTTGGGTCGAATCCCAAAACGCCTGAAGGGTCTAGTACCTTGTTTAGTAGCCACTTGGTCCTCTCGTAGTACCGCCAAAACCCATAGGTAATTAATTATCCATTAGATAGATAGGACTTGAGTAGATTACTGACTTCGAATCTATTATGTCGTAGCCGCAGGATGAAGAATTATCTAGGATGAAATTCCTGAGTAGACTATAACTATCACTATGGACTGACTATTCAGCTAGTGAGCCTCCAAAGTCTGTCAGTAATAATTAGTACCACTACGAGGATCATCACCTTCACTTTGGGGACTGTTTCCTCCCTTGTTAGGCTGCTCCACCCATCTTTTTTCTTTTCTAAACCGTTCTTCATTTTATGAGCTTCATATTCGCTGGTCCAATCGAAGGTTCCCTTCTCACAAGCCTTTTTGTCATTCCCTTCCCTTCTTCGACTGTTCTTCTTCCTCTTTGACTTCTCTTCTTAATACTCTGTTTGTCGAGGAATAAGAAGAAAAAGAGGAAGAAGTTGGTTTTCTGAACTTCTTACCTCCATCTGGACAATATTTCCTCCCATCATTTTCCCTCCAGCTGACGACCCATCATATCATCCACGCCACCAGACAGCTCTTCTACGGTAAGCCCACCACCACCAAACAACCACCCACCTCCTCCTCCAGATCTTCATCCCCGACCGTCCATCATTTCGTTTCAAGTGACTGTTGGAATTAATATTCCACACCACTGAACACGCATTGTTCGCATGTTCTTACATTCTTCCTCTTCTTCTCTTCTTCCTCTTCTTGTTCTTCTCGTCTTATCGGTTCTTTTATTTTATTTCGCATCCTCTTTCTGAAAAATACCCCCTCTTTCTCTTACCTATACTTCGTACCTGAGCCTTTTTTGCGCAGAGATTCGTTCTAATCTTCACCGTTACACACTTCTAGGAGATCCTCTTTCTCTCTTTTTCCTCTTCAATTATTACTATTATCATTATTTTCATTATTACCATCCTCCTTCGACTCCTCTGACCCCCTTTGTTGTCGGCCAGAGATCTCTATCTTCTATTCGGACGATATTCTGCAAGCAACGTTGTCGCAACATCCCTGTCACTGGCCCATCCTTTACCGGCGCGGTGTCATTCCTCTCCCAAGCCACTTTTCCGACCTCTGCCAGCGAATCCCCTCGACTGATAACCTGTGCCCAAACGCCTCGATTTCTCCGCTACCTTGGTCCTCAAATCTACGCTCTCTGATTTTCCTCAAACCTACATACCTTATTTTCACTTGCAACAATCCTCGAAACCGCAGATCTTACGATATCTCTTTGCCTTCGAGCCTGCTTCCAGGCTACCTCTCGGCGGTCATACATCATAAATCCTTCTGTATTCTTATCATTTTCTCCATCAACACCTGAAGCTTTGACGACTACTCAATCCCACCGAACAAGCTCTCTGAAAACCCCCGGTTCGACAAATAAGACATTGCAGCGTGTGAGGATTATTTGGATTTACCAGCGAATGCTGGCGAGACAGGAAAGCTTTCGCGGATTGCTCGCCGATCCCCTCTGACGGGGCTGCAGCCATGAATCCCGCAAACTTCCCCAATGTTGGCGGGGCATGCCTGGCGGAGCCAATCCGCACGGCCAGACGCAGATGCCGCAGAGAAATGAAAATGCATCGGTTATAATGAACCAGGTGGCTCAGGCGCTTCAAGCCCAGGGTCCTTTTAGCGGTTGGAGAGCGGAAGTTCCGATTAAAGACCGAGCTGTCAAGGTCTATCAGATGTGAGTGCTAAGCTTCTGGTATTCCCTTCACTTACTGCCTAAGGGCCGCATGTGATTCATGTTCTAAAATTCTACTGTTTTCTTTGACTCTCTCCGCGTCGTATTGGGCTAACTCTTCTGTCCAACAAGGATTACATCCCTTCGGTTGATTCAGCCACGAATTGATTTTCAGAGCGCGGCTCAAGCTGCAATGAGCTTTGAGCAGAAAGCATTCAAAGACGCCAGGGAAAAAGTCAGTTTTTTCTTTTTCTTTTCGCCCGTCCTCACAGATAGTCTAATCCCGAATATCTTCACAGGTCGACTACGACAAGGAATGCAACGAGAAGTTAATCCACATACGAGACACTAGAGCAAGACAAGCCGCAGTTATGCAGAACGGGATGATGCCCCAAGGGCCCGCAGCGGGTATGCCTGGGGTAGGGCAGAATGGGTTTCCTCAGCAGTTGAACCGACCTGTGCAGGCATCTCCAATGCCAGGCCAACAGCAGATGCCGATCGGCATCAACGATCCCACACAACAAGCTGCAATTCAACAGCGCCAACAGCAACAGCAGCAGCAGTCACAACAACAGCAACAGCAGCAACAGTCGCAGCAGAATCAGGCTATGCTCCAGCAGCAGCGTGCGCAACAACGACCAGGCGGCAATGCTTCCCTGCCTGACGATCTCAATACTCTCTCGGCTCAAGAATATGAACATGTCTGTCGGATAGCCAATCAGATCCTTGCAAAAACGCCCCAGGAAGATATGGAGAAGATTCGCATGAACCTACAGAATATGACACCAGAACAAAGACAGTACCTTACCCGAAAGAACATGGATCCAATCACGTACTTCTTCCGTTGCCAGGCTTTGAATCAACTCAGAAGGCATAAACGGAACCGCATGGAAATGGCACGAGCGCAGAGCGCCGGTGTCGATCCCAATGGGGCCATGATGACAGATCCCATGATGAATCCTCAGCAGCGACAGATCTTTCAGAATATGATGACCTTTCAGCGCAATTCGGGATTTCCCATGGGCAACCAACAGAGCCTTGATCCGTCGTCGTTCATCGGCAACGTGGAAAATATCCAGGGCCAGCAAGCGGATGGGTTGCGTTCCCAAGAAGCAGGTCAACTCGTGGTGCCTGCCAGTTCTTCCCAAATGAATCAACAGCCATACACTCCTCCTCAGAACATGTTCCAAGTGGGCCAGCAGATGGGTCAAGGGGGTCAGGCCAACCTCAATGGCGCCTCTATCAGCCCTCAGTTTCTGGCGGCACAGCACCTGCAGAACCCTCAGAACGTCCAGCAGGATCGAAATCAGCAGGCAGCACAGTTCCAGCCTCAGCCCCAAGCGCAGACCCAAGCGCAAGCACGAGCTCAAGCAGCCCAAAAAGCGCAAATGGCGATATCGCAAGCAGGCCAGGCTAATCCACAGATGCAGCAACAACTATCTCAAAGTCCCGCTATGCCGATGTTGAACCGTCCCATGCCGCCTGGGCAGATGTCCCCAGGGCAAGTGGCTGCACAAGTCCGGCCGCCGTCGCGGGCTCCTGGGATGGGACAACAGCCCAATGGTGTGCAGGGTCTTGCTGGACAGCCCGGAATGCAAGGTCGACCCCAGATTCCTCCTGGTCTGCCACCTGCGGCGCACGAACAGCTGGCTCAAATGACTCCTGAACACCTTAATGCTTTTCTTTTAAATCAGCAGCGCCGTGCTCTCGCAAACAACCAAGCTCTCGCAAGAGCAAATGCTAGTCAGCAACCGTTGCCCATGCAGCAGAATTTGTCGCAACCCGGCCAGAATCAGCAGATGGTGAACAATCAGATGGGTAATAATCAGAACATGCGCGCGTCTCTCGGACTGCAACAGCAACTGACCGGAATGAACGGTGGACAAATGCCCAATCAGATGCTCGCGGGACAGCAGATGTCGGCTCAGCAACGGCAACAGCAACAGAGGCAGCACGACTTGTACAAGCTGCAACTTCTGCGGCAGCAGAGTGGGAGCATAGAGATGACGCCTGATCAGGTCAAGGAGATGGATCGCATTCAGTTCCCTCCTGCGATCCTTGCTAACAACCCGAATATGGTTTCCCCAGTCCCGAAGCATATCAAGACTTGGGGTCAGTTGAAACAATGGGTGGCTGCAAACCCGCAAGCTCTTGGGGGAGTTGATTTGCAGAAACTCATGACTTTGCAGAAGCTACATCTTGCCCAGATCATAGCTCAAGGGAAAGAAGGAGCCGTCCGTAACGTGGATCAGAATGGCCAGGGCAACTGGGGACAGATGATGTCTTTTCAGGGACAGCCCCAGCAGTTTGTGAATCCACAAGCGTTTCAGGCGGGCCAGCAGCAAGTACCAATGAACCTGCCGGCGTTGCGGCCGGTCACCGCCACTGAGATTCAAATGGCTCGCCAGCGCTTGGGTGCTCAAGTGGCCAACTACTCCGACGACCAGCTCCGCGAGATCATCCTTCGGAACAGGCAGAAACAACTGATGCAGATGGCCCAGAGCCGAGCAGCCCAGGCTTTAGCCGCGCAGAATATGAACCAAAACCAGCAGAACCAAACGGTGCAACAACCTCCGTTGACGGGGCCTCCTACCACTTCTCAGGCCAAGCAGGGTCCTCAGCAGCCCACCCCACCTCAAAACCAACAAAACCAAACTGCCAAGGCTCAAAATACGGCGGCTGCGAAGGGCGCAAAGGGCTCGGCTCCCAAACAGGGCACCAAGCGCAAATCAGCCGCTGAAGAGCCTACAGAAGCCCAAGCAGCGCCGGTCTCAAAGACAGCCCAGCCTACTACTGCTCAAGGAGGAGTATCGGCGCCGCCTTCTAGACCCAATATGGCTATCACACCCGAGCAACTGGCTGCAATGACCCCTCAGCAACGCATGCAGTTAGCGCAAATGCGCAGACAACAAGGTCAACAAGGTCAACAACGGGTTCCGATCAGTCGAGCAGCGGCGGAGGAAGCATGGAACAACCTACCCGAGAAGATTCGACAGCTCTACAACGATATCGCGAAGAATGCGCCTGCAGCGGAACCTGTTGCCCTTTCACCTGAGCAGAAAGCTGCCATGACCCAGCAACTTCGTGAATGCACCGACATGCTTGGTAGAATGGACACTCTTGCCCAATGGTTCTCAAAAATCCCCGGCCAGGAGAAGAACGTTCGCAGTTTGCTTGCAATGGTATGTCCGCAGTCGTCCCTGGACTCTGCGCCTCCTGGAATTCACATACTAACTCAATTTTGACGTAGCGTATACAATTAATGAGGCAATTTAAACCGGGCCCGGACTGGACGATCAATGACCAGTTTACCATTGCTCCAGAGTATCTTAGCGGCACCATCAATTACATCAGGAAGCTATTCCACGCTATGATCACTCGGGTGAACCAACAGCAAAACCAACCTTCTGGCCAGCGGCCCGGTAGCGTGCCACAAGGATCCTCTACCATGCCGCAGCCCAATCAAAACAATATGCCTGCTCTAAACGCAAGTAACTTGCAGCAGCTCCAACAACAAGAAGAGGCTCTCCAGCGAGCCCGAAGAGCCTCAAGCCAGGCTGCTTCGGCAACCTCTGCAGTGCCGCAGCCACCTTTTGGAGCGCCATCTCCCCAGGGGGTCCCGCACGCTTACGGCCCGGGAAGCATTCCGCCCGAGAAGTTGAAGATTCCTCCTTCGAAGAAGAGGAAGCAGTCTCACCCTGGCGGGACTCCAACCCAAGGTCAAGCTCCTGGCACGCCAGTCTCGAAGTTGCAGGCGGCTAAGCAGGCCGTGCCTGATGCTAAAACAGCTGCTCCAGTCCTAGGTGGCCCATTCAAATGCAGCGTCATTGAGTGTCAGCATCACCATCTCGGGTTTGCTACTCAGGATGCACTTGACAAACATGTCGAAGAAAGCCACAAGGTGGAGGAGCCGATCAACGATCCTCTCGAGTTTGCCATTGAAAGCTTCCACACTAGCCTTGTGAAGGACGAAGAAGGAGCACAACCTCAGGATCTCACGAAGGACCTTCTTACCACCGGTATCGTTCCGTCTTCCGCAAAGCATGAAGTCAAAGGTGAAGCAATCGCTCCTAATACTACCGGTGTGGGTCGCGCGCCCGGACCCCCGGCACTAAGCCCGCTTCTCCTGGTTCGACTCAGCAGACTCCTCGTACAACTGCGGCCAAAGTTCCCACCTCGTCGGCACTCAAGCCAAGCCCGAGCAAGGACGGTAAGAAGGAGGCCGTAAAGCCGGTGGATCAGTCTGCGCCATCTGCTGCCGTTACCAAGGATCCTTGGGCAGATAGCACCATTTCTCTCGAGGCAATTCAAGATACGTTCATGGATTTCGGCGGCGATTCAGGCTTTGGCTTTGGATCTATGGATGAGTTCATCAACCCCGAAATGTTCGCCAATGCCCAGTCGGAGGATACTCCCGACTCTGTCGAAACTGGCGTTGCTACACAGACGCCAAAGGATAGCGAGGTGCCAAAGATCCAAGATGCTAGCGGCAAGTTCGATGTCTCTGAGGATAGCTGGATCCCGACGGACTGGATCAATGTTCCTTCACGTTTTGAAGACGCGCTCGTGGTTAATGACTCCTGGGAGAATTTCGATTGGGGTACAGTTGACCTGAACAACGGGGCCATGACTGTTGACGACAATGGCATTGCCATCTATGCCATGTAAGGAAAGATGGCACTTCGCAGCTGAATTGCGCGATATTCATTTATCTGGCGTAAATAGGAATGATTTATGTGTACATTAACGCACGGCCTGAGAACGGGAGGCTCCAGTTTGCTTTCCGCAGTCGGCATTATCGTTCTGGGTATCCCACATGGTCTTGTGGGATTGGTTTCTGTTTTCTTGTGCCATTTTCATCTTGTTGATCTGGTTAGATTAGCCATGGCGTTATCTGGAGTGACAGAATATGGGAAAAGCGAGGGGTCTTGTCAGTTGTCTAGATAGGGGAAAGGCTCGAGAGCGTTCCTTGTGAGAAATATTGGGTACTTGCAATAATCATCCTAATATTATGACTTATCCAATTTCAACCTGGTGTGCTATCCTAGATCCCCATCCATGAAGATAGTACCTAGTATGCTATCATCATCTGATACGAATCATGTGCCTATGTGCATCTATACTGGAGACTGCCAAGCCAATTTAAGACTCTGGCTGATCAGCTGGCTGATATAATCATGCTGATAGGGATGCTGATAAGCCTCCCCATCTCCACTACCTCCGTCACTCACGCACTCGCTCGCCTCCGCCCTTTGTTCTCCTCATTGATCTCTCCTCTTTGGCCCAGAATGGTACTCAATAAGTGATTGTGATTGTGATTGTGGTTGCAATTTTCCATTTGATTCTCGGTCTCTGAATTTCGCTGGATCGATTATATCGGAGATCAAGCCTCGATTGTCCTTCAGTCAGTCCATTGTCATTATCGAACTACCTCAGCTCATAGCTAGCTATTATCTTCGACAGCCTTGCATATTGTATACGCAGTACATGCTTTCTTCTGGTTTATGACTACCTCCTAACTGGTGCAAGATGGCTACTCAGGCTGTGGTACCGTTTCTGGTCACGATGATGCTCGTGACCGGGGTCTGCAATACAATCCTTAATAAGTATCAGGTCTGATACCAGGAGTCTTTTTGGTCTTTATATCTAGCTAATGCCATGTGAAAGGATATGCAATGTGTACGGAACTGCGACTCTCCAGACCCTAAATATCGGCAAACTTTCGAGCAGCCGGTCGTCCAGACGTGGGTTCCCCCCCTCCTGTATCCACTATGTTACACAATCGATGCTAAATTCAATCCCGTACCGATGATAGTGTTCAGATGTTTATTGGAGAAATGGGCTGTTGGCTCGTGATATTCGCCTCATATGTTTATCAATCGTTTATATATCCGCGTCTGTCTCCCAATTCTTCTCCTCTCCTTGCGGGCGGGTATAATCCCGTCCACCCCGATGACATAGGTGATGAGGAGGACCATACGATTGACGGTCCTGATACATCTGACCGTACTCCCAAGCGCACCGATGCTGAAGGTCGGCCGTACCTCAGTGGACGTCGGATCCTCCTTCTCGCTGCGCCGGCGTGCTGCGATATCGCAGGTACGACTCTGATGAACGTGGGTCTACTCTTCGTTGCGGCCAGCATCTACCAAATGACGCGTGGAGCATTGGTCCTTTTTGTCGGGCTTTTCAGCGTTCTGTTTCTCCGTCGGAAGTTGTTCCTATACCAGTGGGTTGCGCTGTTCGTGGTGGTTCTTGGTGTCGCCTTGGTAGGACTTGCCGGTGCACTCTTCGGCCAGGACCAAGGCCATGATGTCTCACGGGATGATACGCTTGCAATTGCCACTCGGGCCGTGATGGAAGCTCGGGAGATGGTGAAGACTCCTGAAGCGCTCAAGGCTGTCATTGGTGTGCTCTTGATTGCAGCGGCACAGATCTTCACGGCCTCACAGTTCGTGCTGGAGGAGTGGATTCTCGAGAACTACGCCATGGATCCTCTTCAGGTCGTTGGATGGGAAGGCATATTCGGTTTCTCCGTTACTGTCATTGCTTCCATCATTTTGTACCTGACCGTAGGACAGACGGAAGCCGGTCGCTACGGCTATTTTGACGCCAAAGAAGGATGGCGTCAAGTCTTCTCTAACAAGTACATTGCCATGGCCAGCATTCTTATTATGATTAGCATTGGGTTCGTGATTCCCCACGGCACCTCTCTCTGCGTTATGCACATTTCCGAGTACAAGACGCTAACTACTTATTCTCTCGCAGAGGCTTCAACTTCTTTGGGCTTTCAGTCACCCGAACCGTATCTGCCACCTCCCGCAGTACGATCGACACCTGCCGGACACTCTTCATCTGGCTTGTTTCGCTCGCCCTCGGCTGGGAAACATTCAAGTGGCTGCAAGTAGTGGGCTTTGCGCTTCTCGTCTACGGAACCTTTCTGTTTAACGATATCATCCATCCCCCTCTCAAAGCATGCCTTCCCCGTGACAGGCAGGAGAGGCAGATTCTGCTGCCCGAGGAGCCCATTGAACACATTTAAGTCAGGAATGGGCGAACGTCGCTGACTGCATCACTATTTCCTTGGTTTCTTCGTTTAGGACAATTTTGGCTCGGCCTTGGCGTTGAAGGTGGTGTTCACTCTGGTTGCTTGCATTCTTGGGTTCAGTTGTGCCGCGCGTTCAGTTTGGTTAATAGAGGCAGTCGTCGACATCGACGCTTTCAAGGTTGTCATACGAAACCGATTATTTTCATGTCACAGCATGAGGTTTGGAAACCATATCACGCCCGTTCTATCCAGCTAGGTTCTGGTTACAACCGGAATAAGAGACGGATATGATTTTCATTGTCAATTGCGAAGTCTGGACTACGAAATACAATCTATCAATTGGATACACATGGCACTTTCAAAACGAGGGTATATAACCAAATCTACTACACTATAGTACAAGTATAACCAAGACACGCTATTCTACCGACCCAGTATACATTTGTTCAGTTCAAACCAGGACATACAGAGCACACATCTATGACAACGTCAGCTATACATCGACCTGCAAGAAATGTGTAAAACTCACCATAGACAGCCCCGTTATCATCGATAGCCAGAAGAAGACGTTCTGCACATGTACAAGACGCAGTTAGCAAACTGATACCTGCTCAAGAGGGACAGGAGACGCACATTGAGGGTCCTCTTCCCGCGGAAGAATCGCGACCGTTGGACGGCGACGATGGGCATCTGGAGCATCATGGCTAGGAAGCCGTAGCCGCGCAACTTCTTGGTGATGCAGCTCATGACTAGCTCGTGGAAGACGGAGCTCACGAGGAACGTGATGAACATGGCTACGGGCTGGGAGAAGTATGGTAGGGAAGGGAAGTAGACGTGTCGGCGGAGGAAGTGGTGAACAGGGATGTTCCATTCGCGGGAGAATTCGAGCCTGCGCCGGTTAGATTGCCTTACTGCTGGACCGGGGCAAGGTATACGTACCAGTCAGAGGAGTTCCACCAGTCCGAATAGAACTGGCGGTCGGCGAAGCGGGTGATCTCTGCGAATGCACCGAGTACGTACTCGAAGATGACCAGGAAGACTAGCAGGAATGTAATCATAAATGGGAACAGGAGCATGCTGATTGTCTCCGCCAGGATCAGTGCCTTTTCGGAGGCGCCGTGGACCAGGTGTAGTTGGGCACTAGCCTCGCTGAGGACAGGCACAATGAACTCCTCGCTCGTCAGCGTTAGGAGGAAGATGCAGCCAAAGACGGCCAGAGCCTTGGCGGCCAACTCGGTCCATTGTCTGTTCTTGTTTCGAGGATACTCCAACTCATAGCAGAGTGTCGGGCAGAAGATGTAGTCGATGTAGTTGGTGAGAGAGAGGTTCTGTGGATAGGTCACACGTCCCAAGGGCGAAGTCAATTCAGATGCCAGATCCTCGCGTACTTCCTCGACCGATTTAGATCGTGTATGGTTGCTGTGCGGGTGTGTCGGGTGTCCGCTAGGTTCCGGGTCTGGGTATCGGACCGCTGCATCGAGTGAGACCGAACCAGGTTTGTCTAGTGAAGCCAGTCGACGCTGCGTTTCGCTCAGATGTCCATTGTAGAATGCGTATGAATGCATCTTCATCAGGAAAACAAGCGTATGCAAAGTCAGGAAAACCTGGGCTGTCCAGGTCCAGCGCATCATGAAAGGCCAGCTAGAGACTTTGTTAGATTCCAGGTGGTTGGCTTGGACGTAGCTCACTCACTTGATCCACAGCACAAGCCATACTACTTCGAAGAGACTCTGTACAATCATACCAGCTCGGCCCCACCGCAGCAAACCGTTGCTCCTAAAGAGATGATGCAGCGGCACGACAAGCCCACTGCTGACAACCATCGCGAGGTCACTGAGACCCAATTCCCACACATTCGCCGACAGCAGGCCCCATACTCGCACTCTCAATGGGTAACCAGTATCCTTGATATTCCGCAGCACAGTCGTGACTACCATGATGAATAGCGCAATCCAGAACAGAGTGAAGAAGCCGCGGAAATTGTGATGGTCGCTCCTGGGGTCAAAATGCGACACGCGAGGAGTATAATTGATGGTGTAGAACAGGCGAGTTCGAGCTCGCGCCTGCTTCCTGGCGCTGGATATCGAATGTACTGAGGGGGGCGCATCTTCGGCGATGGGGGTTGAGCGACCACTTGACGAAGAAATTAGCACAAGTTTAGTTCAAGTTCTCTTTGATATAAGTGCTGCCGACCTTGAATCAACAGATGTTATTCTATCTAAAGCGGGTGTCGTAACACCATCCTCGGCCTTTTTCATACCGCGCGCTCGTGGCAACCCATTGCCATTGCGCTGTAAGACGGCAGTGGACATGCTGACAACGAGGGCGAAGAGCAACGAAGTTCACATCGATTGGTTTCACATCGACCGCGACAGCGGCTATGAAGGGTGTTATATATAGTCAAAGTTCGGAACTTGATGGAAGAAGGAATTGACGATATGTGTCATGTGTATTGTCTGTGGATCCTATCATGAACCGCTGTTTGGGAGTCGAACTTGAGTAAAACTGATGATCGGCGCAGGGACCAACGAACGACAGGGAAAAGGGAGGGATTATTCGCATCCAAGGACCTCTCTAGCGGATCGACCGGACTTCCAAGGCACAATGGAACATCTGGATAGGCACTACAGCGTAGAGAGGCGTCAACAAAGAACCCGGGGCGCACGTCATAGCTTCATCGCCATTGTCACTAAAGGTAAGCCACTGAGCCGGAACCGTCTGTCGTATTCGTATGTCAATACTCAATTACCTTATGCACATCCAGTGATTCTCGGACCCACGGAGCTGCCGTCGGCCGATCTCCGGTACTATGTTTACAATACATGTCAGGTATTATTGTTTCCTGAGGGCTCAGGCATCAGTCAGTCAAAGTTGATGCCTGACTACCAAGGCCGTCCCACGGAGAGCTTATCACGTGGTGCGCCCGTGACAGACTCAGGGCACGAGGGACGCTAAGCCCGAACAAGAGGCTGCCAAGAGTGCCAGATCAAGCAAAGGACGGGATGAGGCTCGACATGCCTAACTAACTAAAAGGGCAGCTATCAAAGAAGAAAGTCGTCGACTTCCATTCATCGATTTATTCCCGGGTAGTGCGTCGACAGGTTTCTTCGCCGCCCTCTCTTCTTCTCAATTTCCCTGTCTCTTCTCTAATTGTCGCAACCCCCTACATCCTCCTATCTTCCTCCCCGTTCGGGGGTCCTTGCGACCGCCATGACATCCCGTACGTGTTTGCCCTCCGTGGACCACCCCACCCCCTTTGAGCTGGCAGTCGAATCACTAACTAATTCGTCGCCGCTTATGCGCGCTCGAAACAGTCAAACAATTCATTCGGAATGTCCGATCGGCCAAGACGATTGCCGATGAACGAGCAGTGATTCAAAAAGAAAGTGCCGCTATTCGTGCGTCGTTCAGAGAAGAGAGCCATGATTCGGGAGTCCGGTCAGCATTATACACCACACCTTACACCAGCACCCTTGTGGTTTTCGCCGGACAACCAGCTCATATATGACGCTTGCAGGAGAAACAATGTCGCCAAACTACTCTATCTTTTCACCCTTGGGGAGCGTACACACTTTGGTCAGATCGAATGCCTGAAACTGTTGGCGTCCCATCGGTTCGCCGACAAGCGGCTGGGGTACCTGGGCACCATGCTGCTCCTGGATGAGAACCAGGAAGTATTGACGTTGGTGACCAACTCATTGAAGAAGTGGGTCTTCGTCTCAGCAACTGCTTGCTGCTCTGCGGAGTGTCCTGGCTGACAGGATTTCAGTGATCTCAACCATTCCAACCAGTACATCGTCGGTCTCGCGCTATGTGCCCTGGGTAACATCGCCTCTGTCGAGATGTCTCGAGATCTGTTCACCGAAGTCGAGTCCCTCCTCTCCACAGCCAATCCCTATATCCGGCGGAAGGCAGCATTATGTGCCATGCGTATCTGCCGTAAGGTGCCAGACTTGCAGGAACATTTCCTGGAGAAGGCCAAGGCCTTGTTGTCGGATCGAAACCACGGCGTGCTGTTGTGTGGTTTGACCTTGGTAATAGACATGTGCGAGGCCGAGGAGGCCGAGGAAGGGCAAGAGGGCGTGATTGAGATGTTCCGGCCCTTGGTCCCCGGTCTTGTCCGTGCCTTGAAAGGACTGACGACGTCCGGTTACGCTCCCGAGCACGATGTTTCAGGCATCACGGACCCGTTCCTTCAGGTCAAGATACTGCGCTTTTTGAAGGTACTCGGAAGAGGAGATGCGGCAACCAGCGAGTTGATCAACGACATTCTGGCACAGGTGGCTACCAACACTGATTCTACCAAAAACGTGGGCAACGCTATTCTTTACGAGGCCGTCCTCACCATTCTGGACATCGAGGCCGACTCTGGTTTGCGGGTTTTGGGTGTCAATATTCTCGGAAAATTCCTCTCCAACAAAGATAATAACATTCGTTACGTTGCACTCAATACCCTGAACAAGGTGGTAGCGATCGAGCCCAACGCCGTTCAGAGACACCGCAACACCATCCTGGAATGTCTCCGTGACCCGGATATCAGCATCAGGCGACGAGCCCTCGACCTGAGCTTCATGTTGATCAACGAGTCGAACGTGCGTGTCCTTGTCCGGGAACTGCTCGCCTTCTTAGAGGTTGCCGACAATGAGTTCAAACCAGCAATGACAACCCAGATTGGTATCGCTGCCGACCGCTACGCCCCTAACAAGCGCTGGCACGTCGACACCATTCTGCGCGTCCTCAAGCTGGCCGGTGCGTACGTCAAGGAACAAATCCTGTCGTCTTTTGTGCGCTTGATCGCCACTACTCCGGAACTGCAGACGTACTGCGTGCAAAAGCTCTACACATCCCTGAAAGAGGATATCTCTCAAGAGGGGTTGACGCTTGCGGCAACTTGGGTCATTGGTGAATATGGTGATAGCTTGCTCCGTGGTGGTCAATATGAGGAGGAGGAACTCGTCAAGGAGGTCAAGGAAAGCGACATTGTTGACCTGTTCAACAATATTCTGAACAGCACCTACGCAACACAGACTGTGGTTGAGTATATCACCACGGCATCGATGAAGCTCACCGTGCGCATGACAGATCCTGCGCAGATAGAGCGTCTCCGACGCTTCCTCAACAGCCGGACCGCCGATTTGAGCGTGGAGATTCAACAGCGCGCGGCCGAATATACCAACCTATTCGGCTACGATCAAATTCGCAGAGGTGTGCTGGAACGGATGCCACCTCCCGAGATCCGCGAGGAACAGAGGGTCCTTGGCGCTCCCAGCAAGAAGCGCCAGAGTAAGCTGCTCAAAGACAAGTCGAAGAAGCCTGCCAAGAAGGCCGAGCAGGACCTGCTCGTCGATCTCATGGGCGGCGCCGATGTTCCAGCAACGAGCCCGGCGGCCAATGGATCTCAAAACACGGCAGACCTACTTGCGGACATCCTCGGTGGAGACTCCGGCATCTCTTCGCCCGCTCCCCAGGCTGCACACGCACCTGCCCAATCAGTCAACACGAGCGCCATCATGGACCTGTTCGGTTCAAACGGAGCGACCCCCTCACCACGCCCAGCGGAGCCGGCATCCGCATCTGTGGATATACTTGGAGGACTCGGATCTGCTCCATCCCCCGCACCATCCCCGTCGGCCGCAGCGGTTCATACAGCATACAACAAGAACGACCTTACTCTTACTTTGCAGGTACAGCGGGGCGGTAATGGGAATGCACAGATCCAGGCCCGTTTCCGCAACGTCTCCGACTTTAGTCAATTCTCCAATGTCGGGTTACAAGCCGCGGTGCCCAAAAGTCAACGGCTTCAACTCAGCGCGATCAACAGATCTGAGCTTTCTGCGGGAGACGAAGGGGTGCAGATGCTAAAGATTGCAGCCATCAGTGGTGTAAGTTTGTCGGCACTTTACAAGTCAACGCGTCGCTAACGATATCATCATAGGCTCTCCCACCCAAGCTCCGCCTTCGTCTCCGTGTTACATACTCAAAAGACGGGTCAGAATCGGTGACGGATCAGGTTGACTGGTCCGAGCCTTGAAGCCTTGACGAGCAGCAGGATATGTTGGATTCATGTTTATAGAAGACAGGCACATCAAATATTGACGCATTAATACCTCTGAAAGTCATTGCCACAGCATCCTCTAACATGTTCAATTGTTGGTGGGCAAGATTATACTCTTTCTTTCAATTGGAACTCTGGCCTACTTTTCTATTCCACACATACCCTTCCATTGCAGTTCCTTTTCTTGCGATGTGATCTACTTGATTCATTGTAAATGCTTCCCCCCATTGCGATCCACGTTAGGATTAACTGAATATGATGAGAAGCGTTCCGAGGTGTCTGGACAGTGGCCAGCGAGGTTAGCGCAAATACGTAGGTCAATTACCAGATCTAGATCTGTTATCGTGCCATTCCTATGTAGCACAGACCATGAACCGCGGATTCATCAATAAACATACATACAAATGCTGATGCAGGATTTACATCGTTCATTATATCATTCTGGCTGCGAGATTCCTCGCCTCGTGAGCAGGAAGCATAGTGCTAAATAAAATACAGGAATTATTCACAATAAGAGCGTTTTCCCTAGTTGCCGCAGATGAAAACTGTCTTTGTCTTCCATGTTGCTGGTCAGTGGTCAGGAGGAGCTCTCAGATAGGCAAAGCAGGATGATTCCATATGATGTCATAAATGTCATTATCATTTTGCATGTTCAGAATCATCAATCTGGGGTACATGAGATTTGTCATGTATTTACACTTGGATCCACATGTTCATGTTATTCCTCTCTGAGGGGTAATAGAATGCAGAATTGATGTCATGAATCTTGCGCTCAGACACCAGCCAACCTTGATTCCTGATAGGTTTCTTACTTGACTGCAACATGACGAATTTACAAAGTCTATGTGTCTGAAAGACAAGATGGTAACGTGAAGCAAGTCCACTGACCAGTGTTCAATTTCTGTCTGTCGTTGTAATAAGTGCTGTTCTGTTCCTCCCAAGGTGATTCGTTAAATCGTCATCATAGATATTCATCGTTTGCTCCCCAGTAGTGCCCCCCAGTACAGTATCATATCGGCTCAAATGCATGCAAGATCAATAGTAGTCCGTACGCCAACAATGTAATGTGATCGATGTGATGGGTAGATTGGAATTCCAGTCTACCGCATGCGCGATGGTGTCATGTGTAAAAAGACTTCTGGAAAAAATATAGGCAAGAAGGATAAAGTGTGACAGAAAAATAAAGTCCAACGGGACCCTTCATAACACCAATAATGAGACACACTGGTATAAGAGAAGAGAGGTCCATAGCGTCTAGAGTATCAGCGAAAAATGGAGCCACCTAGAATGGAGCTGTGCAGAGGACTTTCACAGCCCCGCCGCATGATTGCGAAAATGATAAGAATAAAAAGAGGCTGCAACATGATATGGCTTCTGTCGCTATCGTGCAGTCGTTCATTCATTAAGCATAGGTGGATTGGCGCCGTGGCGCCGGTGGCTGACGATATTCGTCGTAGTGCGGGCGAGGATAGGCATCTCGGGTGTAGACAACGTGCTCGGGCCTGATCTCGCGGACATACTTGATGTCCTTCTCCTTGGGATGCGCGCTATACTCGACTTCGCCGAAGAGTCTTGATGAGGACTGTCTAGAAGCACTCGGACGAGTGCTTTCGTGACGAGAG